AGAGCCACGAATAGCCAAGGCAATACTCAGTCAAAAGAACAATGCAGGAGGTATCACAATACCTGACTTCAAACTATATTACAAAGCAATAACAATAAAAACAGCATGGTACTGGCACAAAAACAGACATGAAGACCAGTGGAACAGAATAGAGGCCCAGATATGAAGCCACACAACTATAAGCAACTTATCTTTGACAAAGAGCTAAAAATATACGATGGAGAAATAGCAGCCTCTTCAACAAAAACTGCTGGGAAAACTGGTTAGCAGTCTGCAAAAAACTGAAACTAGATCCATGTATATCACCCTATACCAAGATTAACTCAAAATGGATCAAGGATCTTAATATCAGACCCCAAACTCTAAGTTGATACAGAAAGAGTAGGAAATACTCTGGAGTTAGTAGGTATAGGTAAGAACTTTCTCAATGAAACCCCAGCAGCACAGCAACTAAGAGATAGCATAGATAAATGGGACCTCATAAAACTAAAAAGCTTCTGTTCATCAAAAGAAATGGTCTCTAAACTGAAGAGAACACCCACAGAGTGGGAGAAAATATTTGCCAACTATACATCAGACAAAGGACTGATAACCAGAATATACAGGGAACTTAAAAAACTAAATTCTCCCAAAACTAATGAACCAATAAAGAAATGGGCAAGTGAACTAAACAGAACTTTCTCAAAAGAAGAAATTCAAATGGCCAAAAACACATGAAAAAATGCTCACCATCTCTAGCAATAAAGGAAATGCAAATTAAAACCACGCTAAGATTCCACCTCACCCCTGTTAGAATAGCCATCATCAGCAACACCACCAACAACAGGTGTTGGCGAGGATGCGGGGAAAAAGGAACCCTCTTACACTGTTGGTGGGAATGTGACTAGTACAACCACTCTGGAAAAAAATTTGGAGGCTACTTAAAAAGCTGACATCGATCTACCATTTGATCCAGCAATACCACTCTTGGGGATATACCCAAAAGACTGTTACTCCAGAGGCACCTGCACATCCATGTTTATTGCGGCACTATTCACAATAGCCAAGTTATGGAAACAGCCAAGATGCCCCAGCACTGACGAATGGATTAAGAAAATGTGTATCTATACACAATGGAATTTTATGCAGCCATGAAGAAGAACGAAATGTTATCATTCGCTGGTAAATGGATGGAATTGGAGAACATCATTCTGAGTGAGGTTAGCCTGGCCCAAAAGACCAAAAATCGTATGTTCTCCCTCATATGTGGACATTAGATCAAGGGCAAACACAACAAGGGGATTGGACTATGAGCACATGATAAAAGCGAGAGCACACAAGGGAGGGTGAGGATAGGTAAGACACCTAAAAAACTAGCTAGCATTTGTTGCCCTTAACGCAGAGAGAAACTAAAGCAGATACCTTAAAGCAACTGAGGCCAATAGGAAAAGGGGACCAGGAACTAGAGAAAAGGTTAGATCAAAAAGAATTAACCTAGAAGGTAACACCCACGCACAGGAAATCAATGTGAGTCAATGCCCTGTATAGCTATCCTTATCTCAACCAGCAAAAACCCTTGTTCCTTCCTATTATTGCTTATACTCTCTCTACAACAAAATTAGAATAAGGGCAAAATAGTTTCTGCTGGGTATTGAGGGGGGGAGGGAGGGGTGGAGTGGTGGTAAGGGAGGGTGGGGCAGGGGGAGAAATGACCAAGCCTTGTATGCACATATGAATAAAAAAAAATAAAAAAAAAATAAAAAAAAATTAATGTGGATCAACTAAAATTAATCAGCAAAAAAACCCTTGTTCCTTCCTATAGTTGGCTTATACTCTCTCTTCAACAAAATTAGAAATAAGGGCAAATAGTTTTTGGCCGGGTATCGAGGCGGGTTGGGGGGAGGAGGACGAGGCGGAGTGGGTGGTAAGGGAGGGTGGGGGGCAGGGGGGAGAATGACCAAGCATTGTATGGCATATACAATAATAAAAAAATAAAAATTAAAAAAAAAAAAAAAAAGACAATTTCATACTGCCAATTAGGGACAAACATTATAAGAAAGTAGTATGGCATTCCTTAAAACAGCTAAAGACTGAATGGCCATATGATCCATCAGCTGCTCTTGTGCATACATCAAAAGGAATGTAAGTCAGGATACAATAGAGACACCTACAACAGAGACACCTGTAGCCCATGTTTATCACAGCACTATTCACAATAGCGAAGCTTCGGGAAAAACAACCCAGGATGCCCCCCACAACTGATGACATGGATCAAAGCAAAGGTGGCTATAGTGGTATATATACATGAGGGAGTTTTACTTAGGCATAAGGAATAATGACAGCATTGTGTATGAAGGTAAATGGATTGTAACTGGGAGGATACCATTGTTAAGTGAAGAAAGCCAGCTCAAAAAAGACAAAGGCCATATGTTTTCTCTGTTCATATGTGGAAGGACAGATTCTAAAGATAAGCATATACACAAAAACAAAAACATAATCATGAATAAACTCATTATATGTTGGTAATAGTGGAAACAATCTTATGGAACTTGGGTGAAGGAGGGAAGGAAAGAGAATGATAGGCATTATCAGTATCATAAAATGTAGTATCTGTGAAGGTAAAGGGATTTAGGCTATGATACTTGAAAACTCGTGAAAAACAGGGGGTAGTGAAGTAAAAGGGTAAGAGAGGAATAACGGAAAGGGTTTAAAAGAACCAAAGTTAAAGTTATACTCAGGGATACATAGAGAAACCCCTTGGATACTGAACTTAGATACTAATACTAAGACAGGACTGTAAAATAGTACGGTGTGTGTGTGTGTGTGTGTTGGTGTGGGTACACGAGCGGATACTTTGGGGAGAGGGGTGAAACTAAGGAGATAAGGTGAAGGAGTATTGTTGACGGACTTCATATACTTATACAAAATAGAACAAAGGAATCTCTTGCTAATGGCTTTAATGATGGGGAGGGGCATGAAGGGAAGAGATGCGTGGGGTGATCTAACAGACCTGTAAGCCTATATGGAATTATCACAATGAATTCTCACCTGTACAGTGAACATATCCAATAAAAAAATTAATGGAAAAAAAGAAAATTTCATTCCCTCTCAACATTTTACTCTGAGCTCTATTGGTTTTTTGAAAAATATTTTTAGTCCTCTGTTATTAAGCAAATCAAAGGATAAGGAAGAATAGTGATACTTCATTGATAAATGGTTATTTCCGTGATCCCTTCAAAAAAGCATTTTGTAAAAACAATGATTTAAGTGGCTTATTAGTGCTTTAAACTTTATAATGATTATTTTTACACATTTTATCATTCTGACATTATTGCATAAGAACGACTTTAGAGATGGAGAGCCTGTGGCTCAGAGTATTAATTGGACATCCAGTTTCAGTGCCTAATTCATAAAATAATGCTAAGTCTCTTCATGTGAAAAGAAGTGGTAGAACTAAGAACCTGCCTAGCCAGGACTTGACCAAATCCAACATTTAGGAAAAATCACCAGCTCTTTTTGTCAGACATATCCATTTTTCTTTAAAAATTATAGACCCCTGGAACTGCAAAAAGTGCTTCTAAACTATCAACAGAACATGCAGCAATCAGGACAAACCTGTGCTACAGCCTGCAAGGGGGTGATCAGGCTGCTGTGCTGTATCTGGATGTCAGGGAGATCTCCGTGGCGGTAACTTCTATACAGAATGACCTGGGCATCCTGCTTCATTTTTAACTCACTCTTCATCTCCTAGAATCACCAAAAGCAAGGAAACATTAGAATTCTTATATAAGAAAATCAGGTGTGTATGAGATATGAAACTGTAAGGATCCATCGTCAACAAAATGGTGAAATGATAACTTTTATTCACACTGGTTTAGTCACTATAGCAGATGAGCACTGAAAGGATTAAATATTCATTATGAAATAATCCAAATATTCACAAAATAAGACAATTTGATTCAAAACTTTTTAAAAATATTAACCACAGGGCTGTGGTTCCTTTTTAATTCCTCTAAGAGTAAGTCTTGGCTCAATGCCCAAAGTCATGCCCTCACCTCTGGCACTCCTCAGTCTTGTAAACCAGTTAGAGCCAATCCTTAAATAGTTCCGAAATCCCGGCCAAGCTATTCTGTCTTCAAGCATTTCCTGATCAGTTGGTTGTCTTCTCAGTATTCTCTCTCCAGAGAGGCTTTCACCACGTGACTTCCACAGTGTGCTTCATCACTTGGTTCTTTACTTTCTTTTATTAATTTGCAGTACTGGGCTTGAATTTGGGGCCTTCACCTTGAGCCACTCCACCCAGTCCCCTTTTATTTTGTGCTGGATTTTTTTGAGATAGGATCTTGCAAACTATTTGCCTGGGCTGGCTTCAAACCATGATCCTGCCGATCTCTGCCTTCCTGAGTACGGTAGAATGGGACGGCGTGAGCTCCACAAGGCCAGCCTTATTTCTGATACTGCATGTATTATAATCTCAGCTTGTTTTTGTCTGCCACACTGTGTACTGAGGTCCATGAGAGCTTATACTCTGCTCACCTCTAAAGCACTAGCATGTAGCACAGTGGATGGCACTGAGTACAGTGCTACAGACACATTGGTTCAATGGACACATTACCACAAACACATGGTCTTCTGATGTCTGATTTACCTCTATGCTACTTCAAATTACTGACCAGCAGCTTCATACTTGAATTCAGTGTGAGAAGGAATGCATGACAACACAAAAATAACACAACTATATGAGTGGATTTCCTCTTTTTTTGGGGGGCGGTACTGGGATTTGAACTCAGGGCCTCATGCTTGCTAGGCAGGTGCTCTTACCGTTTAAGCCATTCTACCTGCCCAGAATAATATAACACAGTTGTAGCCCACAACCACAAATGTGGTGGGAGAGTAAGGCTACAGAACCTGGAGAGGATAGTATCCCAAAGAAAGGGGCAGATATTCCAAAGACCTTATATACTTCCTATAATAGAAAACAGATATTTCTGACCAATTAAATTCATGAAAACAATACAAACCTTCTCTCGCTTTTGTTCCACAAGGCCTTTTCTGGCATAAATCAAACTGAGTTTTTCTTGGTTCTTTAGAAATCGTCTTCGTAATCTCAATATTTCTACTCGGCTCTCTGTGCCTGAAAAACATAAGTCAAGTTTGGTTACTGATGGCCAATTCAACATCTAAAGTTGACCTCAACTGCTACCCAGGATTCACCAAAGTGAAACTGTATGCTTATCTCTACTTTTTAATTTAGTATTTTCTTAAAGATATAAGCATACAAGGAACAGCAAACGAGAAGCTGAGCAATTCTGGAAGTTAACGAATAGGAGAGTTGTAACTACCTCAGTGAATCCTAGCTAAACAGTAGAGAGAACAGGGACACAGACTGCAGAGATAACTGGAAAGGCTCAGGATCTGACAGAACCAGTCCCTCCAGAGGAGAGGGAAAGTGAGGCCAGGTGTGAAAGCCCAGCTCATATAAACAGTACAAGACCTGGAGTATACATAGGGCTGTGAGGTGGGAAAGGCAGATCGAAAAATGCAGTACCTAAGATGGCTACAAAATCTGCAATTGCCTCACAAGTGGCCCCCCAAAGTATTGGCAGGAAGCCTGTGGGAAGAAGGTAAAAACTCGCTCTGGAGAATGAACACACACAGAAGATCTATGTATCAGGGCTCCAGAGTCATAGTCCAGCACAGTTTCCCTTGGTGAGGACTGAGCCACAGACACTCCCCATCTGCATTATTCCAAACATCTCTCTATACTTAATCACCAGACATTTGAGGCAAGCTTTAAATATGAAAGGAAGAAACCTAAAAAAGTGACAGGGAAAGAGTAGAGTTGTTAAAGCAGACCAGGAAAAAATTTCAAAAAATAACCACTTATCAGAAAAATAAGAATAGATACTGCAGCCATAAATTGAGGGATGAAGAAACTCTGAGAGGAAAATAGCTAATCATAACTTAAAAGCAAGGGTTAGGGAACTGACAGAGTGCATGTCTAGCAAGTATGAGTTCCTGAGTTCAACCCCATTACTATCTTAAAAAAAATAAAAATAAAAACCAAAAAAGTCAAGGATTGGAAGATGAGGTTGAACAGATTTTCCAGAAAATGGAGACAAAAGGAAAAAATAGGAAAATGAGTCTGATGTCTGAGCATTAAGACTCTTAAAAGAGAGCATGGAGAAAACTGAGGGGAAGAAATCACCAGCAAAATCACTCAAGATGGTGCTTTAGAACTGGGAAGCAGGAGTTAGCAGTTTGAGAGGGCCCATCTTATGCTCAGAAAAAAAGAGATTCAAGAGAACTACACAAAGGACACTTTTGTGAATTTTTCAGAATAGATTTAAAAGAGGAGATTCTATGAGTATCAACAGAGAAAATACCTAGGTTCTTACAAAAAAGCAATAAGGAATACATCAGATCTCTGCTCATACCTGACAGCTCTCTACCTAGAAGTCTGCAGCTTACTTGCCCTGAGGTGTGCATGCCTTCAAAAGCAATGTGGCAACATCAAGATCTCAAAGAAAGCTTCCAGCTTAAGACCCCTTTGTCAGCAAACTGCTGAGGAGGTGCTCCACCAAAAAGAAGGAAAAAACAACAGAGGCAGAAGAATCAGGTCCAGGACTGGGAGGCGAAGGACTGCCCAGATGAGGGGGTCTCTAGACAATGGCTGAGGAGAGACCCTGGGGCAAGCAGGTCAGAAGCATGCTGGCACAGGAGAGACTTCTTTAAGAAGATAAACATCTACATGTTGGAACAATAAAAGAAAACTGTATAACTCAGGGAAATTTGGTGACAAAACCAAAAAAATTAGCAATGCCCAGGAAAAAATATATAAGGAAGGGAAAAAAATGATAGATACTATTACTCATGGACCAATCACAAATATTACCTAGTCAAAATAAGAGGAAACACTGAATACTGATTAAACAAAGACTATGACATAATTAAGTAGGAGGATAAGGACAGGAAGAATTAGCAGGTGTGCATGTACGGTGAAGGTGGGGTTGGGGTTAGGGAGGACAATCCTTAAAACCCATCCTAAAACACCAGAAGATAGTGACTAATATTGAAAGAAAAAAACAGTAACAATATAGAAACACTGGTCAGAAATATGGAAGTAAAGGCTAAAACTCAGCTAAAAAGGTTGCACATTGACTGCCTCTGGGACTTGGGTAATAAATAAATTTCTATTAACAAATTTTTGAGAAACCTCTGTTTAATCTACATGAATCTTCCCATGTACCTTCATAGATTTATTTACTTAACATACTGTCTTCTTTTGGCATATGCATACTTTTAGGCCATTTCTTAAAACATGAATTGACACTCACCGTGTACTATTTAGTATCATTGAAAGGAAACCGAAATAAAAAGAATAAAAGCTAGGCAAGTACTCTAGCTTAGCGGTAGAGTACTTGCCTAGCATGTTTGTGGCCCTGGGTTTGAGCCCCAGAATGACAAAAAATAAAATAAAAAATATAAAACTCTTAATATAAAACTCTACAAAAGAATTAAGCCAGGCACCAATGGCTCACACCTGTAATCATAACTACCTGGGAGGCTGAGATAGGGAGGACTGTGATTCCAGGCTCTTCCTGGCAAAAAGGTTTGCGAGAACTACCTTTGAACAGAAAAAAGCTGGGCGTGATAGTAAAATAGGAAAATCACAGTTCAGGCTGGCAAAAAGCAAAACCCTATCTCCAAAACAACCAGAGCAAAATGGATTGGAGGTGTGGTTCAGGCAGTATAGTACCTGCCTAGCAAGTGTGAAACCCAGAGTCCAAACCCCAGTACTGGAAAAAAAAAAATTTAATTAACAATTGTAAAGTGAAATTTAATTAAGCTAGAATTTTTCTTTGTGGTGGTACTGGGACTTACTGTCAGGGTTTTGCGCTTACAAAGTGGGCTTGCTACTGCTTGAGCCACACCTCCAGTACGGATTTCTATTTTTTAAATTGGTTTCCTTGCAATGATAATAATATACAGTATTAATATTTTAAGAAATTCCAAAATGTCCTCATTTATACAAGAAAGTTTGCATATCCCAAAGAAGACAGTATGTGAAATTTTTTAAATCTATAACGGTACAGGGGCAGATTCAAATAGATTAATCAAATTAAAATGGACAATTTACCTAAGTTAGTCCTACACAAATCCATACACAAAACTTCCAAGGAAATGGTTCCTTCCTTAATCTCTACACACATTCCCTGAATTCCTCCTGCTCTACACATTACATATTTTTTACTCTAAAAAGGTACACCATGAAGTAGTATGGAGTAATTTGAGTCATAGACAAATGCTGCCATCCTCAACATTTTTCTCTTAATTCTGAGCTTCATCTCTATTCAATAAAGAAACCAATAGCCCAGAGTCTACCTACCAATCACCATAAATCTGGACTGCAGATTGCCCCAAACCTCTCTTTAGCATTTTCCAAGTGCTTACAGTGAAAGCCTCTTTCACAGGAAATGGAGTGTGCTTATGTGTCTCAGATGATCAGGAGAAAGGGTGACAGAGACAACTGAGAGGTGAGGGAAGGCAAGAGTCACCTTAGGATCTCATTGTGGACAGAACCAAGGGCTATGCACACTTGAGGATCAGAAGCATGAAGACCTAATGGCAGAGGAGGAAGAAGACAGAAGATGTTTTGTAAAAGAAGCTGAGCAGGGAGAAAGGAATGGAAAGTAACCTCTACTGACACACCTTCAAACTCAAGAGCTTTTGGCTAAAAAGATGGCTACACTTCCCTCTCTCTAAAGGTAAATTTAGAGAATTGGGTAGGAGCCACAGATTTGCAACTGAGAAGTATGAAAAACTGTTTCAGTTCTTTTTTAGCTCCTACTTTTAATTACTCTTCCTTCTACTCTTAATTCCATACACCTAAATGTACATGTTGCATTTCCCCAGGGTTCTGTCTTGGGACCTTTTTCGCTACATATTTTCTTTCTTTCATTCACTCACTCCTAGTGCTAGAAGTCTTGCAAAGAGCTAACTTCTCCACTGCCCTCTTGATAATTGGGTTTAGCAGCCTGCCAGGCTATCCACTCTATTCCCTAAGTGTCCCACTGGCTCTGACATACAGCCACCCATATACCTTTAAGCTGCCAAGTTCCCAGGCTGTAATACCTCTGGCTCTGCCTCCCAATCTTCCTCACTCCATTTGATGCCTCCACAAACCTCTCGGACAGGGCCAGAGTCCTTGCACCTGCCTCTACTTAGTGCATGAGGTGGCTGCTTCCTGACGTGTACCCTACTTCCCACAAGCCTTTTCAGTATTCTTTACCATAACTCCCAGTGCATCTGCGAGCATCCATGCACATGGATTGCATAGGACCCTTGGGGGCCTTAGCATGAAGTCAGCTCTTCATAAACATTCACTGAACTTCACTGAGTCCTGCCTACCACACAACCATGGTTTACATTTCCATCTTCACTGTGTTCCTCCTCTTCCTTCCTGTATCCAGGCTCCTCTCAAAGGCCCCTCCTCCACCCAGTCTTCCTATTTTCTACCTGGATTTAAACTTTCTCAGAGCTGAGACTTGGCTTACAAACTCTTTTATCTCTGATACCAAATTATTGTCTTACCCACCCTTAATGTTCTAGAAAGTCACTAAATGAATGGATATTTTTTCTGGAACACCTAAAAAGCAATGTCTTCAACATGGTAAGTTTGCAAACAAGATTTACAGGGTACAAGGAAATGTAGATACTAACAGAAATACACTCTCTCAATCTAAACCTCTGTACTAATTTAGAGGATAGGTTATTTTAAAATGGTTTCAGCAAGCTTACTTACCACCCTTTGCTTTGTTATCCACCTCATCACCAGGAAGGCCCAGCTTTTTTTTCCCAAAATCAGGTCCCACTGATTTCCAGGGTATTCTCTGTGATTTTTCACTCTTCTTGTGGGCAAACAACAAGGAGGAAGACAAGGAGTCAGATGACATGGAGACTGTGTAAGCAGCCACTGGGTCAATGCTGCTTCCAGTCAGCCAATTAAATGAGCTTCTTTCATCTGCAACAAGTAAAACCAGAGCAATGAGGACACTCAATATTAGTATCATAAAATTTCCATTGTGATTATTCAAATTAGTCTTACGTTCAAAAACAACAATATGAAACAAATTATATAAAGGAAAAATGCTGAAGCATTTATATATAATAATTAAAACATTTTACTCTATAAATGATACTTTTCTGATCAAAGGGAAGAGTTAATTCATTTGAGAAAGAACAGCTTAATAAACTATTAACATTAGTAAATGAAGTTGGTTTAGCTCTACTCTGCTTTTGGGATGTTTTGAATTTGATCCACTAAAATAAATAAATAAATACATAAAAAATGTAAATAAATAAATAAATTTGTTCCACTAAATAGTTTTGTGGAAAAAAAACAAAAGGACAACAAATGATTCCTGGCTCTTCTAGTCAAAAATAATCCTTTTCTTCCTTTTGTAAAAAAAATTGTAGTAAAATACATAAGTACAGTCACCATTTCTACCATTTTAAATGTACAGTTCAGTGGCAGTAAGTCCACTCACATTAACCACAGATCTCTGTTCCTCTTACACAACAAAAGCTCTATGTCCATTAAACTATAGCTCCCCATTTCCTCTTCCCCTAACCTCCAACAACCATTGCTCAACTTTGTCTCTGAGGATCTGACTGCTTTGGAAACTTCCATCTTTTTCTCTTTTGACTGATACGTCTTCTTTGTGGTCTTATGACTTTGTTACCACTTTACTCTTTCACATTAGGTCAATGTTCCTGCAATAGAAGCTGCTCCTAGAGGTCAGAGCATCATGGTGCTGGTTACCTGCAGCTTGTGTAGGAGTGAAATCATACTGGTGTTGGGTGACCCGTACTTGTCCAACCTTTGGCCCTTGGGCTGGGAAGAAGCCTTCCTGGGTTTGGGTCTGGAGAGTGCTTGGGGAGGCCTGAGTCTCAATAAACATTGGAGTGAGAACAGTACTTCGGAAACGCCAGTCAGGATCAATGGTACACTCCTGTAGTAAGAAAGTTTCCAAGGAAATTATGCTCGTTCTGCAGCAACACTGAAATATTTTTATTTAAAATCCAACAGTACAGCTGGGAGTGGTGGTGCTCACTTGTAATCATAGCACTTAAGAGGTGAAAGCAGGAGGATGGCAGGTTTGAGGCCTGCCTTGCGGACTACATAAGTTCAAGGGCAACCTGGACTACAGAGCAACACCCTGTCTCAAAAAAGCAAAAAATAAAATAAAAGATCCAAAATCAGTAGATATGTACTATTATTTCATATTTCCCTCCGAGATTCACCTGAAGAAGAACCATTTCTAATTTAAACATTTCAACAGACGAAAAACTAATCACAATTAGGGGAGAAACCATTCTCTTGGTTCCATATTCTTCACTATAAGGCTAATGCCATACTTGGCAGTGACACAATCACATAGGTCATACCACTCAGTGTTCCTGAGTACTCCCACAGCCAACCACTGTGCCGGGCACAGGTGGAGCACCCCTCATCTAAAATATAAAATCCAAAATGCTACAAAATTTGAAGCATCTTGAGCAACAGCATGTTGTTTCAAGAGGAGAATTCTACATGTGACTTATTGCAGTTAAGATGCAGGCCTGCTAAAAATACCATGTAGCTGGGCACTGGTGGCTCAGCCTATAATCCCAGCTAGCCTGTAATCCTAACTACTTGGGAAGCTGAGATAGGGAGGATCATGATTTGAGGTCAGCCCAAGAAAACTGTTCATAAGACCCCATCTCCAAAATAATTAGAACAAACTGGACTGGAGGTGTAGCTAAAATGACAGATCACTTGCTTTGCAAGCATGATGCCCTGAGTTCAAACCCCAGCCAAGCAAAAACAGGGAAACAAAAACCTATATAAATTTACCTTCAGGTGATGTGTATACAGTATATATGAAATGTAAATAAGCTGTGTTTACACTTGGGCATCTCATTATGGATATGTAAATATTCCAAAACCCCAAAATAATCTGAAATCTAAACTACTTCTGGTTTAGTATAAACACCAATGTAAACAGGGCACAACCAAGCCCTGCCTATGAGGAGCACCCTTCTCAATGTGTAGACCATTGTGACTGTTATGACTGCCAAGAACTTGGTATCTCTCAGGTAGGCAGGAGGAGGACAGGACAGATCCAAGCAGAATCTGACAAGGTTAGGAGAATGAACCTCCAGGAGGAGGATAAGCACATATGGATGTCCAGAAAGGAATATATTCCAAGAAAATTAAGAGAGCAAGTTTAACACTATTAGAAGATGTTCACTAACAGAGAAAGCATAAGGAATTCATCATGATTAGAAACATAAGCACATCACCTGAAATTCACATTCTGACAGAGGATGCTCAAACATGGGGTTCAGATAATCTGGGCTCATCCTGGTCATTTCAAGGAGAAAATTTGTTGCTAAACTTAAAAAATGGACTTCTATCTTAGGAGAATATAAGGAATTTAATGCTAACAATCGGTCCAAGGTATTTGATGGTAATCTGGTTTCATGGCTCCAGAAATTCCGAACAATTAATCTGAAAGCAGAGAGGAAAAAGAGCACATGCTTAGACACTGGCAAATGTAAGAAACTTCTCTACATGTATCATATGGGGAAGATACAGCTTTCCATATAAACTACACTCAAAACTGTAAAGAATATAATCTGAGTTATGAAAAGTAAGATACATTGGAGGAAGGAGAGCCCCAAAATTATAGCATATTTAACAAGAGGTGTATCTCTATTCAAGGAAGTTTTTAACAATGAGTATACAATATTAACAATTTTGAAACTGGAAAATCATTTGAAGAAATTTCAGGAGGTGGGTTATAGCTCAGTGGTAGAGTGCTTGCCTAGCATGCACGAGGCTCTGGATTTGAACCCTAGCACTACAAACAAAAACAAAATTTCATGTAATCCTTCACTGCTTTGTTAAAACAATTCATCCAAAAATTACTTATAATATATCCAAAACTTAACTAAAAACTGGTTTAGACTTCATAATTTATGAATGCTTAGGAAATCTAAATGTAACTTTAAAAAACTGAATGAATTTAAAACTGTAGCAAATGAAAAAACAATATATCAAATCTTACAAAAAGTTTATGCCCCTTCTTATGTAATTAGTCCTTGATAAAAATGCCCATATAATGACTTAGGGTAGGCATTAAATGACAACAATGACAGGTCATATTTGTAGATGTAATTAACATTACGGCTGTCTTCTATTTCTAAAGTTTCCAACAGGACATGCAGTATTAATAATACGTAGAGTGTGATCTCAACTATGTATGTTTAATGACAACCAAAACAATCGTCGTTACAGATTTTCTCTTCATTTTGAAAAACCTTAACTCATTGCACTAGCAGTTTTATTCATAAACTTGAATAAAAAGCTTATTCAAGAGTTTTATTTTGAAATAACTATTCGGGATTTAAAAATCTTATTCTTCATATTATGGTTTAAAATAAAGTTTTACTAAACATTAGAAAATGCAAGAGGCAGACATAATGCTGATACTGAAAATACGTTTCTAAACTTACTGAAAAAATATTCTTATCTAGCTACTAGCTACATATCTATCTAGAAAGCAATACCCCTAAAATGTAATTATCTTGGCCCAATTATTCCAGGAGGAGCACATACTGAAGCCCGAGGTTCTCATCAACCAATCCTTGAACCAATACATCTTTTGCCAATTTAAATATTTCCTGGGAGTCATCATCCATTTGACTTTCTGGATCTCTGTTTGAAAAAAAATAACAAAATGACAAAACATTACAACTCTGTTCTACATGTTAGTAACAGTAAAACTACTCTATGGAACTCAGGGAAAGAGGGAAGGAAAAGAGAATGGTAGAGCATTAGTAACATCATGAAAGAACATCTTTGAAGGTAGAGGATATAATGATGTGTACTGAGGCCTGTTGAAAAAGGAAGGATAGGAGGTAAAGTGGTAAGGGAGAGTAATGGAAGGGGATGAACGGAACAAAATAAAGTATCCCCACAGCAGGAATACACAGAGAAACCCCTGTGAACATAAACTTAAATATTAATAATGAAAGACAGGACTGTAAAATAGGTACAGTGTATGTCTGGGATGGGGTACTAGTGGGAGGGGACAGGGTAAATGAAGGAGATTAAGGTGAGAGTACATTACTGATGCACTTCATATACTTACATAAAATAGAACAAAGAAATCTCATGCAACTGCTTTAAGTGGGCCCGGAGAAGGGATTGAGGGGGAGATCTAACCAATGTGCAATATAAGCCTAATTGGAACTGTCACTATGAATACCGCCCCCATATAATGAATATATCCTAATAAAAAAATTTTATAATTAAAAAAAAAACCTCTGTTCTACCCCTCTTACTCAACACTAATCACACTGTCTAGAATTAACTCCCCACAGGTGGTGTATTCCCATGCCTGATACCTCTTTCTGTGCATAAGCCTGGTATCCCTGGCAGGCACAAACTCTTGAGGGATGACATATGCTGACAAGAGTTCTCTCCTTAATTAGATCTTAAAAGGATAATTACAAAAATAAGTTTTACAAGAGAACACTCATATACTTCTAACTCGGTAATTTCAGTCTCTGAAAATTTCCTACATATTCATGAAATGAGTGGAAATAAGGATAGAATACAATATACTGACATAAACTTGTTTTAGTTGTTAATCATAAATGGCAAAAAATATTTTATTATGTTCCAGATTGGTAAATACACCCAAACAATACCTTTAAAAAGTAATATAAAATGCCAATGTATACGGTTACCTGTAATTGTCATGAATCCACATGAGAATGTTATACATTTGTTCCCTACACATTGGAGAAGGATGGGAAACAAATTCCACAACAGGATTCAGAAGTTCTCGGAGTTCTACTGGTTTCAATTTTGCCATCATCTTAAAAATTATGTCCAAACACACTTTTTGTCTTTCATCATCTCTATAATAAAAGAAATTTTTCAAAACACAAATTTAGCAACTCTTATACTTTCTAAGTATGCGGCAACCTTTTCTTCTTTCTGCTGTGCACAGCTTCAGAGTGTGTTACAACATATACAGTACACACATATATATACTAACACAAAAATTTCATTCTTCAAAATTATTATCACAGCTATATTAACAAATTGATTCAATGGGACAGCCTGAATTGGACCATGGAATAGAAAAAAGGATGTTAGGGGGAAAAGTGATGACATGCAAACAACGTCTAGTTCATTTAACAGCAATGAACTAACACTAATTTCTTAGTTTTGACAATCATATCATGATTATGTAAAAATGGGAAAAATAGTTGAACAGTATATGGGAATTCTGTATAGTATCTTTCAAATGAAAAATTACTTCAAAATAAAAACTTTACTTAAGAAACACAGCGTTGGGCACGGTGACTCACAGCTGTAACCCTAGCTCTGTGGGAGATACAAATCAGGAGCATTAAGATCTAGGCAAGCCCATGCAAAAAACCAGCAAGAGCCCAATCTCAGCCAGTAAAATCTGGGCATGTGCCCATCATCACAGCTACATGGGAAACATAAGTAGGAGGGTGGGTGCAGGCTGGCCCAGCCATAAACATGAGGCACCATTTGAAAAATAACTAGAGCAAAAAGCACTGAGGGCACAGCCAGGAGGTAGAGCACTTGCCTAGTAAGCACAAGGCCCTGAAAACAACAACAAAAAAATATGACAGTGGAAGGTAGACTCTGGGGAAAAGGGGACCCAGAGGGAGAGGGAGTGGGGAACGTAATTGAAGGTTAACATGTATGAAAATGTAATAATGAAGCCTATCACTTTGTACAACTAATAATATACCAATTTAAAGAAAACAAAGCCAGACATGGTGTGCACACCTGTAATCCTAGCACTTGGGAGGCTAAGGGAGCAGGATTGCTAATTCAAGGTCAGTCTGGGCTACTCAGTGAGTTCCAAACCAGTTTGAGCTACATAGTGAGACCCTGTCTCAAAATTAAAATAAAAATCAAAGAAATAACATAAAATGAAAAAGACAGAGAGGCCAAGTATAAAGTATACCCTTCAAAGGCATACACTCCTAGTAACCTATTACCTCTAACTATTATATTCTACCTTCTAAAGTTCCTACAACTTCTAAAGTGTTGCCTTAGAGTGTTAGATAGTGAAGTTAAGTATAGTCTGGGCTCTAAAAAAGGCAAACACCTATTTCTTTGTTTACAGATCTTTTACACCTTAAAGCACTCAGCAGATAGTAAATATTTATTGAAGAATATCACAACACAATGACATACAATCTTTCTTATTGGCATATTACACATTTATCAATAATTCATCACTAGTTGGGCGCACACACCTATAATCCTAGCTACTCACACCTATAATCCTAGTTACTCAGGAGGCAAAGATCAGGAGGATCAAGGTTCAAATCCAGCCACCCCAGGCAAATAGTTCATGAGACCCTATCTTGAAAATACCTACTACAAAAAAGGGCTGGTAGAGTGGCTCAAGTTGCAGAGTGCATACCTAGCAAGCATGAGGCCCTGAGTTCAAACTGCTGTACCACTAAAAATAACAGTATTAATAATTCATCACTATGTAAAAATAGAACAAGACTGTAAAAGAGTACAGAGTGATTTTGAAACTAAATGAACAATTTTAACACATAATGAATGGAAAACGCTTACCTGGCAAAGCAGATAAGGAACTGAAAACCACACATGAATCTAAAGAGACTGAGGCATTGCTCTAGGCAACATCCTTTACCTATGGATAAAAAGTCACAAGAGGGGGATTCCAAGATGGCGGCTAGAGGTAGGAGGCAGAAAGCGACCCTCCTATAGTGAAATCTTGGAGAGACGCTGGAGACACACTTTGCAGGCATAATCACCAAGAAAAGGCATAACTCTGACCCCTCCACATCTCCAGCCGGCGCAGAGAATCTCCACTCCACGTTAAACGGAGAACTGAGGAGGGCCCCCGGGCCGCCAGTGGCTGGCGCCCATACGGCTTGGGAAGACGCGGACCAGGTGACCTTCACGGTACCGCGGTAGCCCCACAGACAAGCCTGGGCCAGAGCAGCATAGCCCCCTGGACAGACTGACCTCCACCCGGGGAAAAAAGAGAAACTGAGTAATAAGCAATAAGAACAGTTAAGACGCTGGAAAGAGGGTGGGGCGCCCTGAGCGCTGAAGATTGGGGGAAGGGAGCCCTTCCCGGGACTGTAAATAAACGAGCTGGGCGGCAGGAGAGGCTCTGGCGGGAGCGGGGCGCGCCCAGCAACCAGGAGTGGGGAAGCTTGTGAGAGGAGGGAAGACCCACTTCCCACGTGAACTGTAAACAAACATGGCGGCCGGCAGGAGCAGCAGCACCGCCCAGTAAGCAGGAGCAGGAAAGCTTTTGAAAGTGGCAGTGGGAGGAAAACTTCAGAGGAGAGGAGGGAAGACCCACTTCCCACATGAACTGTAAATAAACACGCAGGCCTGACAACGCGGGGCAGTGTCACCTTTCCCAGTGCTTGGAAAGGGGAAAGCCTGTAGCAGAGGCTCCCGCACAGGAGAACTCTGAGCAAACAAAGCCTGTGGGACCAGGTGAGTGCTAGCTCACCCCAGAGATCTGCATAAATAACGCCGCCAGCTACAGGCTGAGAGCAGCAGGCAGGCAAGCCACAGTTGCAGATACCACTCTCAGAACTGCCTCCAGACGCTTTTTTTTCTTTTTCTCCCTACCTTTGATGAGAGAACAACCGAATTACACCTGCAAGCCGAAAAACTTACTGAAACTGTATTGCATTTGAACTGGGGACACTTGGTGGGGCTTTTTTTGTGTGTGTGTGTGTGTGTGTGTGTGTGTGTGTGTGTGTGTGTAGTTTTGTTCTACTTTATGCATCCCCTTTGATGAGACAACTACAGAACAACATCTGAGGCACCAACTCCAGGACTGGAGATTGAGACGGACAGCCAAATTATTAAGACTGAAACTGCATTGCATATAAACTTGGAAGTTTTTTGGTTTTTTTTTTAATTTTCTATTTTCCATTTTATTTTAATTCATTTTTATATATAGATATTACTTTCATATACTTATTTTTTATTTTTTTTATCTTTGATTTTCAATCCTCTCTCTGTCTCTCTAATGTCTGTTCAGCTTACTGTCGATTAGTACACTAACACTCCCTGTTTATACCTTTGAAACTCTCTTGTCTGATACCTTGTTCTGCTTTCTCCCTCTTGTCTGTATATTTGTTTTCCCCTTTTCTTTAACTTCTTGCTTTCCATCTCAGCTCACTCTTCCATTCTAATATTACCATTGTTATTATTACAAGCTAGAAAATACTTAATTACACAGTACAGGGACAGTAACAACACCAAGGACAATGAGGAAGACAGAAAAAACAGGGAAACCAGTTTCCCCACAGCAAAAAATTAGTACAGGAACCAGAGGGGAATGAAGAGAACAGAAACTCAGATCCAGACTCCAACAAAATGAAGATAAACTATGCCAAAGGACCCAATGAAGCCCACAAGAATAATTTAAAAGAAGACATACTACAAGTACTCAATGAGAATTTTATAGAGATGATACTGGATAGGGTCAACCAAAATGTACAGGAGACACTCAAGAAATTCCAAGACAATAAAAATAGAGAATTTGAAAAAGCAAAAGAAGAAATAAAGGAAACCATAGAAGCACTGTATAAACACCAAAGTGAAAGAGAGAACACAATGAATAAATGGATAAATGAACTCAGGACAAAAATAGACAACAATAAAGAAGAAAACTGCCAGGATATGGAAAACCTCAGAAAAAAGAACGAAACAGAACTGCAAAACAAAACGGAAGGCCAATCCAGCAGAATAGAACAAACAGAAGACAGAATCTCAGAACTTGAAGATGAAATGGTAATTAAAGGAAAAACCAAGAACTATTAATTAAACAACTCAAGACCTGTGAAAAGAAAATGCAAGAACTCACTGACTCCATCAAAAGACCAAACTTGAGAATCATGGGCATCGAAGAAGGAGAAGAGGTGCAAGCGAAGGGAATGCGTAATATATTCAACAAAATAATAACGGAAAATTTCCCAAATCTAGAGAAAGATATTCCCATACAATGCAAGAGGCCTCCAGGACACCAAACAGACCAGATCAAAATAGAACTACTCCACGACATATCATCATTAAAACAACAAGTTCAGAAACTAAGGAAAGAATATTGAAGGCTGTAAGAGAGAAAAAACAAGTAACATACAAAGGTAAACCCATCAAAATCACAGCAGACTTCTCAACAGAAACATTAAAAGCAAGAAGAGCGTGGGGTGAGATCTTCCGGGCACTGAATGAAAATAACTTCAACCCCAGGATACTCTACCCAGCAAAGCTATCATTCAAAATAGATGGAGCAATAAAAGTCTTCCATGATAAGCAGAAACTAAAACAATATGTGACCACAAAGCCACCATTACAAAAGATTCTGCAAGGGATCCTGCACACAGAAAGTGACACCCAACTTAACCATGAAAAGGCAGGCAGCACCAAACCACAGGATAAGAAAAAGCAAGACAGTAGAGAGTAACATCAAGTTAGGTACACACAATCAAACCTTCAAACAACTAAGATAACTAAATGGCAGGAATCACCACATACCTATCAGTACTAACACTTAATGTTAATGGACTTAATTCACCCATCAAAAGACACCGTTTGACAAAATGGATTAAAAAAGAAGATCCAACAATTTGTTGCTTACAGGAGACTCATCTCACCGACAGAAATAAGCATATGCTTAGGATGAAAGGCTGGAAGAAGATTTACCAAGCCAATGGCCCCCGAAAACAAGCAGGAGTAGCAACACTTATCTCTGACAAAGTAGACTTCAAGCCTACATTGATCAAACGAGATAAAGAAGGACATTCCATACTAATAAAAGGGGAAATAGACCAAAAGGAAATAATAATCATCAATCTGTACGCACCCAATGTCAACGCACCCAATTTCATCAAACATACCCTGAAAGACCTAAAAGCATATATAAACGCCAACACAGTGGTTGTGGGAGACTTTAACACTCTATTATCATCAATAGATAGGTCATCCAAACAAAAACTCAATAAAGAAATCCAAGATCTAAAATAGATCAAGCGGACCTAGTAGATGTCTACAGAACATTTCATCCAACCTCTACACAATATACATTCTTCTCAGCAGCCCATGGAACCTTCTCCAAAATAGATCATATCCTAGGGCACAAAGCAAGCCTCAGCAAATATAAGAAAATAGAAATAATACCGTGCATACTATCTGACCACAATGCAGTAAAAGTAGAACTCAACAACAAAAGTAAAGACAAAAAACATGCAAACAGCTGGAAACTAAATAACTCATTACTTAATGAAGACTGGATCATCGATGCAATAAAGGAGGAAATTAAAAAGTTCCTGGAAGTCAATGAAAATGAAAACACAACCTACCGGAACCTATGGGACACAGCTAAGGCAGTCTTGAGAGGAAAGTTTATAGCCATGAGTGCATATATTAAAAAGATTGAAAGATCCCAAATCAATGACCTAATGATACATCTCAAACTCCTAGAAAAACAAGAACAAGCAAATCCCAAAACAAATAGAAGGAGAGAAATAATAAAAATAAGAGCCGAAATCAACGAAATAGAAACCAAAAAAACCATACAAAGAATTAATGAAACAAAAAGTTGGTTCTTTGAAAAAATAAACAAGATCGATAGACCCCTGGCAAACCTGACTAAAATGAGGAGAGAAAAAACCCAAATTAGTAGAATCAGGAATGCAAAAGGGGAGATAACAACAAACACCATGGAAGTCCAGGAAATCATCAGAGACTACTTTGAGAACCTATATTCAAATAAATTTGAAAATCTAAAAGAAATGGACAGATTTCTAGATACATATGATCATCCAAAACTGAACCAAGAGGAAATTAATCACCTGAATAGACCTATAACACAAAATGAAATTGAAGCAGCAATCAAGAGTCTCCCCAAAAAGAAAAGTCCAGGACCTGATGGATTCTCTGCTGAATTCTATCAGACCTTTAAAGAAGAACTGATACCAACCCTCCTTAAACTGTTCCATGAAATAGAAAGGGAAGGAAAACTGCCAAACACATTTTATGAAGCCAGTATTACACTTATCCCAAAACCAGGCAAAGACACCTCCAAAAAGGAGAACTATAGGCCAATCTCCTTAATGAACATTGATGCAAAAATCCTCAACAAAATAATGGCAAACCGAATTCAGCAACACATCAAAAAGATTATTCACCACGACCAAGTAGGCTTCATCCCAGGGATGCAGGGGTGGTTCAACATACGAAAATCAATAAACGTAATAAACCACATTAACAGAAGCAAAGACAAAAACCACTTGATCATCTCAATAGATGCAGAAAAAGCCTTTGATAAGATCCAACATCATTTCATGATAAAAGCTCTAAGAAAACTAGGAATAGAAGGAAAGTTCCTCAACATTATAAAAGCTATATATGACAAACCTACAGCCAGCATTATACTTAACGGAGAAAAATTAAAACCATTCCCTCTAAAATCAGGAACCAGACAAGGATGCCCACTATCTCCACTCCTATTCAACATAGTACTGGAATTCCTAGCCAGAGCAATTAGGCAAGAAGAAGGAATAAAAGGAATACAAATAGGTAAAGAAACTGTCAAAATATCCCTATTTGCAGACGACATGATCCTATACCTTAAAGACCCAAAAAACTCTACTCAGAAGCTTCTAGACATCATCAATAGCTATAGCAAGGTAGCAGGATATAAAATCAACATAGAAAAATCATTAGCATTTCTATACACTAACAATGAGCAAACGGAAAAAGAATGTATGAAAACAATTCCATTTACAATAGCCTCAAAAAAATCAAATACCTAGGTGTAAACCTAACAAAAGATGTGAAAGACCTCTACAAGGAAAACTATACACTTCTGAAGAAAGAGATTGAGGAAGACTATAGAAAGTGGAGAGATCTCCCATGCTCATGGATTGGTAGAATCAACATAGTAAAAATGTCGATACTCCCAAAGTAATCTACATGTTTAATGCAATTCCCATCAAAATTCCAATGACATTCATTAAAGAGATTGAAAAATCTACTGTTAAATTTATATGGAAACACAAGAGGCCACGAATAGCCAAGGCAATACTCAGTCAAAAGAACAATGCAGGAGGTATCACAATACCTGACTTCAAACTATATTACAAAGCAATAACAATAAAAACAGCATGGTACTGGCACAAAAACAGACATGAAGACCAGTGGAACAGAATAGAGGATCCAGATATGAAGCCACACAACTATAAGCAACTTATCTTTGACAAAGGAGCTAAAAATATACGATGGAGAAATAGCAGCCTCTTCAACAAAAACTGCTGGGAAAACTGGTTAGCAGTCTGCAAAAAACTGAAACTAGATCCATGTATATCACCCTATACCAAGATTAACTCAAAATGGATCAAGGATCTTAATATCAGACCCCAAACTCTTAAGTTGATACAAGAAAGAGTAGGAAATACTCTGGAGTTAGTAGGTATAGGTAAGAACTTTCTCAATGAAACCCCAGCAGCACAGCAACTAAGAGATAGCATAGATAAATGGGACCTCATAAAACTAAAAAGCTTCTGTTCATCAAAAGAAATGGTCTCTAAACTGAAGAGAACACCCACAGAGTGGGAGAAAATATTTGCCAATATACATCAGACAAAGGACTGATAACCAGAATATACAGGGAACTTAAAAAACTAAATTCTCCCAAAACTAATGAACCAATAAAGAAATGGGCAAGTGAACTAAACAGAACTTTCTCAAAAGAAGAAATTCAAATGGCCAGAAAACACATGAAAAAATGCTCACCATCTCTAGCAATAAAGGAAATGCAAATTAAAACCACACTAAGATTCCACCTCACCCCTGTTAGAATAGCCATCATCAGCAACACCACCAACAACAGGTGTTGGCGAGGATGCGGGGAAAAAGGAACCCTCTTACACTGTTGGTGGGAATGTAGACTAGTACAACCACTCTGGAAAAAAATTTGGAGGCTACTTAAAAAGCTGGACATCGATCTACCATTTGATCCAGCAATACCACTCTTGGGGATATACCCAAAAGACTGTTACTCCAGAGGCACCTGCACATCCATGTTTATTGCGGCACTATTCACAATAGCCAAGTTATGGAAACAGCCAAGATGCCCCAGCACTGACGAATGGATTAAGAAAATGTGGTATCTATACACAATGGAATTTTATGCAGCCATGAAGAAGAACGAAATGTTATCATTCGCTGGTAAATGGATGGAATTGGAGAACATCATTCTGAGTGAGGTTAGCCTGGCCAAAAGACCAAAAATCGTATGTTCTCCCTCATATGTGGACATTAGATCAAGGGCAAACACAACAAGGGGATTGGACTATGAGCACATGATAAAAGCGAGAGCACACAAGGGAGGGGTGAGGATAGGTAAGACACCTAAAAAACTAGCTAGCATTTGTTGCCCTTAACGCAGAGAAACTAAAGCAGATACCTTAAAGCAACTGAGGCCAATAGGAAAAGGGGAACAGGTACTAGAGAAAAGGTTAGATCAAAAAGAATTAACCTAGAAGGTAATACCCATGCACAGGAAATCAATGTGAGTCAATGCCCTGTATAGCTATCCTTATCTCAACCAGCAAAACCCCTTGTTCCTTCCTATTATTGCTTATACTCTCTCTACAACAAAATTAGAGATAAGGGCAAAATAGTTTCTGCTGGGTATTGAGGGGGGGAGCGGGAGGGGGCGGAGTGGGTGGTAAGGGAGGGGGTGGGGGCAGGGGGGAGAAATGAACCAAGCCTTGTATGCACATATGAATAATAAAAGAAAAATGAGAAAAAAAAAAAAAGTCACAAGATTAGAGGGTCCCAGAGCAGGTCCACCTGAGTCATTCCTACACCGTCTTCTCCTTTTTCTCCCAGAATCAAATCTTACACGTATACCTTTTATGAAAACCCACAAGTGCCTCATGAGTAAGAAATATCTGAACAAACAGTTTATGACCCAGTGGGATCCCAGGGTGTGGGGGCTGGTATTCACTCACCTATGTCTCATGACTTGAAAAAAGCCCTTACTCTTTAGCTGGAAGTACAGGTCTGTTATTTGCTCTGCACGACAAAGCACCACTTTCAGACAAAGTGTCTTCATTACACCATGAAATTTTGGCAGCAGAAAGAACACAGCATTCAGGAACCTGGTGAGAGGGGATGGAGCCTGGTGAGAGGATGGCTGTTGACCACCCTCCACCCCAACACCTTCCACCACAGTCCAAAGACTGCCCCCTACCTGTCAGCAAGGGGAGGGAAGCCCTTCACTGCTTTGTTCAAGCATACAATAAATTTGTCCTCCATAGTACTTTGATGTTGCTTCAATTGTTTTACAACCAGTTCATATACCAACTCTGCCAGTATCTAAAAAATTAAGTTTCTTTTCAAATACATAAGTGGAAAGTTATGTTAAGTATTAAAAATAAACATTTAATTGAACCCAAATAAAGTGTACAATGTTATCACCTATACCAAAGTTCACAATGTGAATGATGAAACAGGAAGCACTGGGAATAGCCAGTGGTTTGCATTAACCACGTGAGAGTCTGGAGGCTCCAGATCCCTGACTTCCTATGAGAGTGAGTGGTACTGTGCTGTGAGCCAATAACCTGTGCTTCCCTCTGTCATGGAAACACTACAAGTAAATACTTTGAGAAGCTAAGCTAAAATTAGTTTTAGTTTAATGTGTCTCAAATACAGCTTAAGATGTATTTTATAGTGTTTGGGTCTCTGGTCAAGTTCTCACATAGAACTCTAGCAATTCTAAACAGCACCCATGTCATTGCCTATCTGCCCATATCCCACTGTCTCTTCTCTTATTACTACTATTAAATACTCATTTGTTTATTGTCTGCCATGTCAGTCTCCAAGGACAGGATAGTGCCCTGGCCCCTGATGAATCTTCACAGCCTAGACCAAATAATTAAGTCCTCAAAAGTAAACACTCAACGTTAGATACATGCCCAACAAAGTCTACTGGAATGAAGTGATGGAAAATGTTTCCTGGCTCTTGTTCCTCGTAAATACAGAAAAAAGTCATTATGACCTTTCAAAAGCACTGGAGAGTTTTACAATGCAAATTTACTAGCATGAGACTATTTTAAAATTACTCTCAAGGGAAATCCTTAAGCACAAATTACAGTGGTGTTGAACCCACTATAGAATATTCATTCATTCATTCATTTGTGGAACTGGGGTTTGAACTTAGAGTATTGCACTTAGAAAGCAGGCACTCTACCTCTTGAGCCACACCTCTAGCCCTAGAATATTTCAATTAAGTATTTCACTATTGATTCGTGATATGTCTTTTAGGGCTATGGCTAAGCCTAGTGGTAGAACAATTGTCTACTGTATTTCTTTTTATTTAAAGAATTTAATCTGATGACAGGATGAAATGGTCAGGCTAGCAAGTATAGAAAGCAAGTTACAAAACAAACAGTATGGGTAAAGCAAACAAAAGAAGCAGATGTAGTGACAGGGTCATGCATACAAATTCTTGGTGGAGAGGACATAAGCCACTCTATTTACTTCTTAATGTTTCATTTTACTTACCAAATTTCTATACTAAACCTGTACTACTTTTTATATTTGGAAAAAAAAAACTAAGACAAAAGTATTATTATTAAGTTGAAATTTAAGTAATGAGATAATCAACCTGGGAATCAGCTATAACTTGTTCCATTTTGGTGAAAAAAAAGCTTATTACATACATTTAAATCTAATACTTAGGGATATTAGCATCATGCCCTCTCTGAAAAAAATGAGTTTTATATTTGGTATACAGTAGAAAAGAGTGAGAAGTTAATAAATGCAGATGCCCACTTCATTTCAAATAGCATATAGGATATACTTACAGTATCAAGAGTCATTACAAATCAAAATTGACAAAGAAGGACTTGTTTACGACTGTATAACACACTTACATTTTTTCTTTCAGTAATATATTGAAGAATAAGTCCTAGAACTTCTGCTGCTGCTGCATATACCTCTTTATATTTTACAAAGGACATATTATTGGTCAAAGCTTGAAAATATCTATAGCAAATACAGAAAATAAAAATTCACAAACTAATTCATTTTGATATTTGACACAAAAATGTAATACTTCCTGGTGTCACATTAACTGCATAAATTGAGAAAATCTGAACATAAAAATGATGCAAATTGCTTGTATGAGTATGTGTATGGCATCATAACCAAGAAAGTCTACCCTCCAATCATAGGGAAGTGCTGTGGTCAGGATATAACCCCTTGCTAGACACCAAAGAAAACTGTGGGAAAGCAAAGAGCCACTATCCAAGACTATGAGGCACTGACCCCTTGTCAAAAGCCTTCTACCATGGCAAGGCAAGGACAATACAATGATAAAGAAAGAAGGCTTCCACTGCATGGGAGTGGCATATAACTGTTGGACATCACAGAGATTCTGTGTGGTGGTTCCTGGTGGGGAAATCAAAGCTTAAAAAGTTCATGTCTGAAAGTGAGCAGGTTCTCCAAGTCTGTGCTGAGCCAACAGCTGCCTCAGACCTGGGGTGGCAGCAGAGGTTGCTGCCACTGTTACTGCGAAGCCAGTATGAAGAACTAACTAGAACTACTGAAATGCTACCCCACTGAGGTAGAGAGGCAGGGCTGAAGCCTACAGAGCAACTATATTGTGAATACCAACTTCAAAAATCCTAAACAGTAGGGTGAGAAAGGATCTTTTTATGATGCTCTAAAACTACCTTACTAAAGCCGTATCCCTTCCCACATCTCACCCATCCCACCCTGAAGAAGTGACCATCATCACTCAGGCAGGACAGGGTGGGGCTGAGCAGAGTAGAAACAGAGCAGCTAATGTTCAGGGGCATTCCCTTCACAGTCCAAGACTCTGTAATGAATCCTTTCAGAGACCATGTTACTTTCAAGGGTAAATGTTGAAAATGTCAGTTTCAGAAATATCTAACAACTCTCACTGGCTGACACATACATGATAAACTTACACAGATTTTTTTTTTTTCAAGCCTGTATTACTTATTCACGGCAGACATAGTTCTACTCCCAAATGACCTATGAACCGAACCTTATAATTTTAGGTGGAAACACTTTAAACATAGGTTCTGGTACTTAAATGTATGAAAACTGAGCCATGTTCTGCTATGAAAATCTAATCCAGGTAGATTAAAGTCTACCTAAAAAAGAACCAAAGCAAAAAATATAATACTTACTTAATATCTTCTATGCCACAGTTAGGGTCATAAGGAGGCAAATTATTGGCCATTACAATGCCTAATAACTGAATTCCTATGGAGTTGTCTTTAGAATTAGGGTCTTGACTAGAAAACTTTTCAAATATTAATCTGAAACAAAAGCACAAGGGAGAAAACAGAGATTGAATGAGAAGCAGGAAAATACAGCATTTTCTAAAGCTAATTTTCAGCTAAAACATGTATGAAACACTTTGCCTTTTGCTACTCCCCTTGCTCACATTCAGTTTATTCTAGTTTTAGGATATCAGTGGTTTTATCTTTCTTATATTCTAATTATCTGCCCCAATTCTCTATTACTTAATAGTAAAACTTTTTTGAAAGTTTTAGTTTGCCCCAGGCTACACTAAAAGGAATCAAACAAAAGGCCTACAGGTCACTCCTGGCCTAGAGCAGTGCAGAGTGCACCCTAACTGCCTAGTGTGGGGCCAAAACCAGAGGTGAGCCGAGACACACAGCAAGGAGCACTGGTGGCACTGACTGCCAAGTGATGCTTTTGGTGCCAAATGCTGGATGTTATGGTTTTCATCAGTAGCAAGTATACCTTACAAATAGACTCTATTTCAAATTATGTACACCCTAACATTTAGTGTAATTACAATTTCATTGCCATCACTATTTATAACATGCTACATTTTACCATAAACTTCTAAATAATATTGCAAAAACTAGCAAATACATACGTATAAGGGATGGAGAGACACTCTTTCCAACATTCTACGACAGTTTTTATAATTTCAAGGTTGTGTCTAAACACAGCTCTTTTTGGATGGAAGACATGTTTCATTAGGAAATGAAGCAATCGATTTGCTAACACTTCATCTTTTGGGACACCCTGAAACACAGAAATTCTGTATTAATATACAGCATTCGATTCTAGAAGAGCATTTTTTATTTTAATCACAAGTCCAATTATAAAACAACAACAAAAAAAAATTACAAAAACTGGCATTTTATTGAGTTGTCCATTTCCTGGCTAAACTTGTGTGATTTTTTTCAGTGCTTACCACAGGCCTCCCTGGCAGGCTGCAGGGGAAGCTACTACTGGACACAGACTTGGGCACAGCCCATGCACTACAGCCACAGAGGTTGCTGCAGTCAGGGGATCAGACCCTGGCCAGCCATGCTCTTCACATTATCTGCCTAGAAGCCACTACTCCTAGGTCCCTATTATCTGAGGCCTAGGACAGAGGTCCTCTTCAGCTGCCTCTTTTGAGACCTCTTTATGGGGATGAAGAAACCAAGAAAAACTGCTTTTACCAGTACTCAATGCTTTTTGACTCTGAGTCCTCTCTTACATCCTCCAAATTTCCCACCTACCTGCAAGTCTGTAAAACTGTAGGAGCCTTTTGTTTGGGGCTCCTCCATGATGCTCAGCCACCTGATCCCAACTAGCCTGCTGTCCCAGTGCTTCTTGTAAGTGATTTCTCCCACTGAATGACTGCAGTTAGTAAAGAGATTAAAGGCAGCATTATCACTGTTTTTTGAGCTTCTGTTATCACTCTAATGTCTGGCAGTTCCATCCTTTTCAATTTACCTGACCTCCTGACATCTGTATCAGTCTTTCCAATGGTCCCCAATTTAAATACCCTCTTAAGTTTTTCATGTTATTGGTGAGACTATAAATTATGTTACCACATTATGACTAAGAAACCTAGATTGCTTTCCTGTGAAATAAATGAGATAGGAACACCCAGATCAAACACATGGAAAAGCTGAACGTATGCATATTATGTTTCCTAAAGACTGTGCATGTGATACGCTTACATGGAAACCTTTACACACTGTCAAGTGTTCATGATTTCAAGTGAACAGGCAAAACTCCAATACACACAAATCTATTCAGGTGGGTGTTACACATGCTTCAGCATAACGCAGTGGGTGGCACTCATTTGGTAGTCACTATCTTAGCAATCTCTACCATTATGTGTAACAGTCAATACTCTGGGAGTAAATGAACTGGTAAAGAAATGCTAAGAATGCTTAAAAAAAAAAAAAAAATCCAGAAACTTGAGTCACAGCACAAGTCCTAGGAACCTCACATTCAGGGTCTACAGACGTTTATTATACACATAATTTTAATAAATCTGCTACCTAGTTTCCAAGCTCCTAGTAAGTAGCAGCAACAAACAAAACAAAACAAACATCTGACAGCTTAGTAACAAAAACAAGGTCAGAAGGATTATCAAAAGTAGATAAAAGCAAGCAGAGTGAAGCCACATAGTGTAAGAGCAGCACAGCAATATGACAATTAATGGTAACGTAGTGTATTCATCATTAAGAAGACTGTGAATTGTTCATTATCCGCTCTGTAAGGTATTAGCAAAGATATAATACACTAATACATGAGAGATATATAGGTCCTTACTGTAGGAGTAGCTAAACCTGTCCATGAAAGAACAGTAGCCACTATCTCAACCACCATGTAGTGAATTCCTTCTCCGTTGTTTTCCGAAATGGCCAGCTGTAGCAAAGGGCTAAGCCAGTGCTTTGCATAAAGGCGAAAGACCTAAAAGAATTTAAACATCAAATATGGAAGAATCATTCTGAATAATCAAAATATTAATACAGGAGTGTATCCTTTATTAGTTAAAATTGTATAACTTGACTTAAATCTAAAACACATGTAAATTATAAGATTCACCCTCCCATTTAATCAGATTAGATTTGCACTGAATTAGCTCTTAAACAATTTAATGGAAAATTTTTATTAACCTCATCGCTTAAAACCCTTCAAATACAATAATGTTCATGGAAATAAAAGTCGAATATTCTATATCAGCCCTCTCTATCTCATCTAAATAATATGCAGCTATAAAAAATTTTATTTTATGTGTATGAAATATGAAAAATAAGGTTACAACAATCAGGTAGGCACATGTGCCTAAATTTTTTTCATTTGCTTCTCTGTTAGAAGTCATTGTTATAAATTTCACATGTTTAAGAACTCTGAAATCTAAATAAAATGTACCCATACATAAAATTCCATTTAATTTATCTTAGAGATTGCAGGAGAATAGCACTTTGGTTGGAAAGAAGATTGAAGACTACAGTTCAAGCTGTCTACCTTTTCCACCTTCTTTTTTTCAAATATACTTTCTTGGGGATTTCTTATCTACTCTCATAGCATAATTTGTGTGGTCACAGATCTTTTCTTTGATCAAGGACAAAAAAAAATCTCACATACCCCATCTATATCATTAGCTTTTATTTATAATTACATATGAGAACCTCTTTGCTATGTTACTTAACTGTAACAAATAACTAAAGGTTATTTATTACATAAGAGGAGCACTGCCTGGGGCTCCTTTTGGGAATGACAATCCTGAATTTTCAGGTTACAGATATACACATAGCTCCAGGGAAACATCCCAGTGACATCTCAGAGGCACCTCTCACCCACACTTACAAACACAATGTAGCAGAGTTCCTTGTCAGTCCCTCTGCTCATACCCAGTCCAATCAAGAAATCATCCAAAAAACGCTTAGCTCCTCTGTGGTTGTTATCAATTTAGCACTTGGAGGAACTTGAGCTAGAAATCATGTATGATCTCAAGTGTTATGGATTGAACCCTGTCTCCCACAGAAGGACTCAAAATATGACCTTATTTGGAGACAGAGTCTATAGAAATAATCAGGTTTAAGTGAGGTGATTAGGGTGGGCCCTAACCAAATATACTTGTGTTCTTATAACAAGAGGAAACATGGACACACATGTGCAGAAGATGGTGTGACTACAAGAATATCATCCACATGTCAGGGAATGACTGAGGCTACAAAAGTTAGGAGAGGCCTGGACCAGAAGCTCCTCATAGTCCTCAGAAGGAACCAACCCTGTCAACATCTGGATCTCAGACTTCTGGTCTTCAGTCATTGCTTAAATTCAGTGTTACCACGTGAAAACAGCCCCAGGAGCTGAAATTCAGCAAGAACCTGAGGAAAGCAAGCTCTGCTGTATTCACAGGCAACCTTTCTTGGCTTTCCACATCTGCAGAGCTATCTAGAAGGGTTTTCTAATGGATGGTGAATCATATCACCCTTCTCTACCTAGTGCTCTTCATTGGCTTCCTACCACTTAACAAATGAGCCAGACCCATGAAAAGACCCTGATGGCCTGGCCTAACTCATCTGTTCCTTGGATGCCTCTCATTCAGACCACATTCAAGTGGTCTGTGCAATCAGTACAGACATAACTCTCTCAAGGTTTGCTTCTGCTCATGCAGTTCCTTCTGCATTTAACCACACTAACCTCAAGGGCCAAAATAAAACTCTCATTTACCAGAAGATGCTCCATGGTGACTTGTTCTATGCATAGACAAACTAATAAATTCAGCAGCTACCTAAGACAAAGTGAACAATTTTTCATATAGAGTTAACAGGAATATTTTCATTCATTTTTCTGCTACTATAAACAAAGGTTAGCAGCCTTAAGAAAGTTGAGATACGTTCTTTATACAAAGTTCACTGCTAATTCAAAAGAAGTTAATTAACATGTTTGATAAAAGAGTATCAAAGAAGTAGGTCCAGAGGTATGGCTCAAATAGTAAAGCACTGCCTACTTCATGAGGTCCTGAATTCAAACCCCAGTACCAAAAGAAAAGAAAAGAAAAAAGTTGCAATAGATCAATGCAGTTAGCTAATTTACTAAGAGAAAACAATAAATAATGTCATGCTGTGTCCCTTTAAAACTTCCTTGGGCAGGGGACTTAGCTTAGTGGTAGAGCTCTTGCCTACTATGCATGTGGCCTGGGTTCAATTGCCAGAACTACAAAAACAAAAACAAAGCTTCCTTTGAAGTATTTTTTAAGTAGGTGCATAGAACTGCTAAGAACTATTAAAGAAATGATAAATTACTTACCTCTTCTGCATTAATAACAAGCTTGGCTAAGAAGAGGCGGATATTTAATGGTACTGATGGATTTCCTAGTTTGTCATGAATAACTTTCATCCAAGGAGGAAGATCTTTTGACACTGAACCCTGAAATATACAAAATTACTTTAAAAAGCAGAATAAAAGAACCTCACATTTTTACATTATATGAAAACAATCAGAAAGTAAGAAATGAACAGGGCCTGAAGGAGTGGCTCAAGTGGTAGAGCACCTGCCTCATAAATGCAATGTCCTGAGTTCTAACCCCAGTTACTGCCAAAGATGTGAACAGTGTAAATCCAGGTTTTGGTTTTTTTTTTTTAATCCTCAGATTTTATTATACATGTATACACACATGTACAATGAATCACAATTTATCCATCCATTCACGTGACATCATTTGGATCCACAACTAAAATCAGCTTTTTGTCTATGAAAATAACAAGATTATTTTAGAAATGTGATGATGTAGAGGATTGCACATGAACTTTAAAACAAAGGAAACATGGGCTTATCTTTTTTTGGCAGTGCTGGTGTTTGAACTCAGGGCTTCCAGCTTGCTAGATAGATGCCCCTGCACTTGAACCATGCCCCTAGTCCTTTTTGCCTTTATTTTTCTTTTTTTCCTCGTTTTTATTAGCATAGTCACTGCACCAATTCTGAATAGCCTTACATTATACAATACAATCAGTGGTTTTTTAAATAGTAATGTAGTTCGGTCTTCAAGATGAAAAGTTAATTCTCAATATATACCAATAAATAATATTAATAGCGGAAAAAAAAACACCTCTTCTTTGGGTGGGATCAGATTTCTCTGCATGTGCTTAATCAGGGCTGTCATGGTTGCCATACATTCATGTTGATTGAGCTCATCCATCTCTAACTCCAGGACATCATCTTGGATCTTGGGGTCTTGATGTTTCTATGAAGAAGGAAGAATCCAGCAAAGGAGAATACAATCTTAAATGTCAGTGGACATGACATGCTCATTTTTGGAGCAATGTTGTATGACAAACACTTAAGTAATGATAATTTGGTAACAGTATCAAATATAAGTTCACTAAAAAGTGAACAGGTTGGTCCTCAAGTTTTCTTTACATTTTAGCACATATGAGCTCCCATCTGCCTAATCACTTACTATCTTGGACTTACATCTCAGGTCAGAATGTTTCTCCACCTTGACTCTAGGCCCCATGACTTCTTTCCTGTGCTGAATCTACAAGATGAAATACTAGGACTCAGATCTTGGAAAATTCTCCAAATTAACACTATTCTCCAAGGACTACTGAGAAAGAACCGTCTCTCCCTATGTACGACAGGGTGCAAACTTTGATAGTACTCTTTTAATATGGGAAATATGGTTACCAGTGTCCGAAAATGACTAGTGGTAGAATTAGAGTCTTGGGAGTTATAAGAATAGCTCTGAACTCCAGTTGAGAAGTCAAATTGACTCATTTCCTCACTCAGGCTACAGTCTGCCAAATATGACAAGGAAGACATATATTGAGGACCATCTGAAACGTAAATAGAAAGAAAACACATATACTCAAACATAATATGTAAGAAATATATTTCTCTAAGCTCAAGTAATATTAAAATGAAAGATATTTTTAGCTAAGGCTCTGATTCTCAGCCTATTGCACAGTTCAATAAAGAAAAAGGAACTGGAGAAAACACCTCCTTTTTCTTTTATCATTATCAAGCAGTTACTCTCTCGTGTCATAGACAAAGAATTAAATTGGATCAAACTTTTTTTTAGTGGGGGTGAGACTGGGTTTTAAACTCAAGAGCTTTATGCAAAGCAGGCACTCTACGCTTAAGCCACACTTCCAATCCACTTTTGCTCTGGTTATTTTAGAAATTGGTTGTCTCAGTCTCACAAGTAGCTAGAATTATAGGCATGATCCACCAATGCCCCAATTTCCAACAGAATTACACTGTATTTAAATTTTTGATGATGAAGCCAGGAATGATGAGTCACACTTGAAATTTTAGCACTCAGAAGGCCCATGCCAGCCTGGGTGACATAGCAAGACCCTGTATAAAAAAAAAAAATTGATGATTTACATCTTGCTCATGAAAAAATGTCCAAATTTTACTCTCAATTCAAAAAATGGTAATAAGACTTACAAAGAAAACTAGAGCAAAAGAAAAAAATATTGAAACAAGGAGTAAGTAGAAGTATAGAGGGTTAACTTTAAATAGGAAGGCCAGGCAGAGAGCCTCCTTCACAGTTGAATTAAGCAAAATGCTGTGAGGGAAGAGGATATGTGGGGCCAAAGCAAGCCCTGTGCCCCTAAGGCACAGCAAGGGGCCTTGCTGCAGGAATGGAGTGGGCAGGAAGAAAGGCAGCAGGGGAGGCACTGGGCAGCTCTGTCCTGAGGAAGAGAAGAGTCACTGATGAGTCAGGACAAGACTTGTTCTGTAATGCGGATGTCTGAATACATCTAAATAATAAATAAACAAAATCTATACAAAAACAAAGTAATATCAAGCCAGTCTTGCCCCATCTGGCCCTCTGAGATCTTTTTTACTAGTTACCATAGCTAATTACATTTCTTTCAAAAGAGCTGTCACTGGTGAAGTGGCTCAAGTGGTAGAGTGCCTGCTTAGCAAAAGAGCTGTCACTTGAAAATAACTATTTTTTTAAATCTCAATTTCAATGTTTTTGAGTATTAAAACTATATAATCTTTTAAAAATACATTCCATTTACATAAACAGCTATTAAACATTTTGAAACTTTTTGATCATTTTGGAAAGGTCTTACCTGAAGCCCCATTTGCTGCTTCTCTGGCTTCTTTTCTGATTTCAATGTACTTTTTCTTTCTTTCCATGGGAATCTTATTAGGCAAAACAAATAAACGATTTAAAATGTTTTAGAATCACAGTCATACTTTTACTATTTTAGTAGCAATCTAGCATTTGTATTGCTGGGAATCAAACCTATGGCCTTGTGCAAGCTAGACAAATGCTCTACCTCTCACCAACAACCCCAGCCAAATTACTAATTTTTAAACAAACTTTTATCAAATTTAAAAGTATTAAGAAACATTCATTAAAATTGTGTGTGTGTGTGTCCCTTATGGAAAGTCTTTCCCAGGAAGTCCCCCAAAACCTTACTGAAACTGCTGATTCTGGTGCAACTCACCTAGCACATTGTGTGCTGAGCTTTTATAGCCAGAGGCTCCATTATTTGACCTTTGAGCCTCAGTTTCTCCAACTACATATCATAGCGCTTTACAGCGTTTTGTAAAGTATAGAAGTAACATATAGTAAGTGTCTGGATGCGTATATAAACCACAGCTATTTTGTTTTTGTTCTGGTACTTGCAACATATGCCTACTTATCCTACTGTTGTTCCAAAAGGGCACAAGGCAAGAAGTAACAACTCATATGCATTGATGAAGCACTAAGACATGGTTGAAGTAAACAGCTGTGTGGGGAATATATAGCCTATGTTATGTGAGTTCGGTGCTCTGCCCACCTTCCTACTTTAAATGGGATGTGGAGACAGTAGTTGTCATCTTCTCACCAACTGCTGAGGCTGGTATCCAATGTGAGCTACTCTAAAACCAAATCGGTACCATCTGCTGGAGCAACTCGTCCAGTTATTTCCATGACTTCCCCATTATCCTGTCAGGTCAACCAAACAGGGCCACAAGGCAATAACTCATACCAGTATGGGATTCATTTCTTTGACTGGAAGAATTTATTCAGTAAACAACTTCTGGAATATGTCCTAAAAGGTTCTTTTATTGATACTCTTTCCTTCACAACACAAGAAAAGGAAAAATTAAGTTCTGAAGAATTTCACTATTTTGCTTGAGATTAAACCTCAAGCTGAAACTATCCCTTTTTTCTAGCTAAAAGCAAACTTGAGCCTGTTTTTCATTATGAGCACTTGTTTAGGGTTTTTAACTTATAAACAGAGTTGAAAATTTCACTCACCTCAACTTCTACAGGAAATGTATAGCAGCGCTTCAGGTCTACCAGATTTTCAAAAATAAACAAGTTCTACAGATCAAAAAAAATCACATGAACATATCTGAATGGTAGAGATCCTTAATAGTAATGACACTACAGAATCAATTCTTCTCAACAAATCACTGAGAAACACTTCAGATTACAAATATATTTATGTATAACTAAAAAATGTTAACTTTATAAGAAGGTACAAATTATGATATACTAATTGACATAATCTAACTTTTAAAAATCCTACAATGATAGCCATAGTGAATACCTTTGGAGAGGCATACCTTCTCTGGTTTCTCACTGAACAGAAAACCTTGGTAAAATCTCAATTCACTGAAGACACAGCAGATAACCGAAATGGCACAATTATATGCAGCACAATGGTAAAGTCTTCTCCTCTCCAACAACTGGCTCTCCCCTGCCATGTTCTCTGTAAAAGCATCGTGGCACAGCCTGAAAGTAGATCCAGGTCATAAAAGTCACTTAACATGGAAATCAATGCAGACAACAGAATCTAATTCAGTTCAGCCTTTCTCAAGCATCAGGTGTGTGCCAGGCACAGTATCGGGCATTAGGATTATAAAAATAAACATGTCACCATCTCATGCATAAGCCACATAAGTGGATCTTAACCTGGTGTTAAGTGAAACAGTAAGTACAATATAAACAGACAGGGAAGCAAGGTGGATGGATAGTAGCTTGGTCTAAGAAACTAACAAAGGATTTAAGAGGAAATATCTGAGCTGAGTTTCTGGGGGAGGTTTTGTTTTCAAGAAACAGGGCCCCACTATGTTGCACAGGTTGGCCTTGAACCCCTGGGCTCAAGAGATCCTCTTACCTAACCCTCCAGAGTAGCTGGGGATGTGCCCAGCTTGAGCTGAGTTTTGAAATGTAAGTAAGCTAAAGAAGAAATGTATGTAGCCATTATGAGCACAGGAGTGTTACTAAGAAAAAAGGATGTGATGCGTGGTATACAGGGAAGATGTAGAAACAACACTGGCCACTAAGCAAGTGAGAGAAAGAAGGTCTGTTCTTGGCAAAGCTTGTCTCCCATGAGTGGACCTATCCAGATAGGTCAGCAAACCACAAAGACAGTCAGCTACTTCTTAAAATAGTTTTCTTGAAATATAGCCATGCGCATTTGTCTAGCTACTATCCATGGCTTATTTGCAGTTCCAGGTAGTAGTTGCGATAGACTACATAGCCCATGATGCCAGAAATATTTACTACCTGGCCCTTTACATAAAACATTTGCTCAGTATGGAAACACTGAAGGGTTTTAGGCAAGAGATGAAACAACCAGACTCATATTCCATCTGTATTATCATTCTGCAGCAGTGGAGAGAGAAAAGAGAGAGAAGCCTATAGGCGCAGGGAGAAAAATTCAGAGGAGAAAGATGACTGCAATGGCTCACAAGGAAGGTCAAATACTAAAACAAGGCCACAAGAAGGGGAAAAGAAAGGGAATTGGTTTTAGGGACACTGAAGAGATAAAATCAGCAGGTCTGGTGACTAACAGGGTATTCGTGGAGGTTAGAGAGACACAGATGAAAGAAGAACAAAATATGACTTCTAAGTCTCTTATTTACACAAATAAGTAGATGCTGACATCCATCATTCACTGAGGAGGTAAGATATGAACTAGGCAGAAGAGGAATAATAATGAGTTCTCTCCAGATGCAAAATGAGACACAGCAAAGTCCTATCAGGAAGAACTTCATTAGAAAACTAGTTTTAGAGATATTTTGGGTATCTGTTACTTTGTGTTTTATAGACTATCTGTTAAAGTTCAAACCCCAGTACCACCAAAAAAAAAAAAAAAGAAGTTCTAGAATGCCTGTGAAAAATATTTACCACTTTTAAATTTCAAATGCCAGTAATAAAAAACAAAATTGCTTCCTACTAAATCACACTACTAAAAGTGTGCCAGGTTATTTTGGGGTGGGGGGGGCGGGAAGCAGAAGGAAAAAAAAGAATTTAAAGAGTTTTAGGGGATGAAACCCAGAGCCTTGTACAGGGTAGGCAAGCATTCTACCACTGAGCTATATCCTCAGACAAAATTTTTTTCTGGAAGTTCTGGGGACTAAGTACAGTTTTATTCTTAATAAAAAATGAGTATGAGATAAAACGTGTTCTCCAACAACACTTTTATCAATCTAAGTGTTCTTCTCAGTTTTATAGTTTCATGTTGAAAACTATAAACATATTTAAGTTAAACATTTATTCAATTATTTTCACAGAAGTATAAGCACCAAAACTATGAACAAATCAAATAAAATCCAAAATTAAGTAAACTCTTACTTAATAAGTGTCTTTGTAAGTTCATTTCCTTCTGTCATACAGGAGCCATGGAAAACTTGATTAATTTTAGATTCCTTAGAGTGAACGTCATCTTTTGGTAGACGAGAATACATCACATCTAGAATTTTATAATAGCCCATCTTCTTGGTGATTTGAGTGTCAAAGGTAGATTCATTTAGCTTAAAAAAAGTAACATAAAATTATCTCTAGTCTTATTGAACATGAAAAATATCCTATTCAAAACATCGAATTGAATGCCCTTTAGAGAGTAAAAACTAATAAAAATGCTAAATCACTTCAATAAAAGAGTGCCCTATCGTCCATGGTTTCCAACACTGATATATTATGTTGGGGGAAGCAGGAAATAGCACACAATGTCCAGAGAGTGAGTCCAGAGTATAGAATGTTTGCACAAAGTCTTACTGAAGGCATGGGAACAGAAGGTAAGAATTCAACATACTAAAATGTTAACATTTCAATTATTTTAAGTTTACAGTACCAGTGTGCCAACTGGGAATTTATGGACTCTCCCGATATGAGAGGTTGAATGATGCCCCCACCTCCACCCACAGAAATTATCCAAAACCTGTCCTAATTGCTGGATTCTGTGAATGTAACCACCTCACAGGGCAAAAAAGGGCTCTGAGAGATAATTAATTAAAGACCTTGAGATAGGGAGAGGTGACTGTGGATTATTCAGGCAGGCATTAAATGAAGTCACAGGTAACCTTAGGAGAGGGAGGCAGAGGAAAAGGGAATGTGATGGCAGAGACAGGAGCATCATCAACACAGGCCCAGCAATGCTGCAGTCACTTCAGACTGAAAGGGACAAGGAAAGGCTTTTTCACTATAATTTCTACAAAGAGTATGGCCTGGCAACACTGTAACTGACTATAGATTTTTGGTCTCCAGAACTATGGGAGAATACATTCCTGTTACTCTAAGCCATCATGTGATCAATCAGTTTTTATAGCAGCCACAGGAAACTGCTGTGATTTCATGAGTCCACAAGTTGTGATCAGCACAAAGGGAATCTTCCTTGAGCAAGAGTCCACCTGACTGAACACACAGCAGTCTCTAAAGACCTGGTCAGAGAGATCTTCCATTCTCATTGAAACTGAGTTTAATAAAACATACGATACCTTTGTAAACCTGGACTTCAACATATCAATGGCATCAACCACAATTTTGCTAAAGAATTCTCTCAGAGCATCTAGGTTGCAGTGCCACAATAGAGTCAGGAGGGAGCGGTCTACAAATGCTTGACGAGTGACATTTGAAAGTAGGTCATCCTTCTGGAACATTCTATACACACTTTCCAGGAGGCTTAATTGTGTGACACATGAACTCCTAAGAAAAAGATATATAATTACATGCATACTCATGCTTTGAACAAATATTTCAGTGGTAAAGTGCCTGCCCAGCAAGTGTGAGGCTCTAAGTTCAAACCCCAGTACTGCCAAAAAGAAAAAAGAAAAACTTGTATTTGATCATTTCCTGGCCATTTGGCTAAGAGCGAGTATTTTAGAAGTCCTTATTATATAATAGACAGATTAGACATATGAACCCCAGTAAGTACAAAAGGCATTTGCACATGAACCACACTGCTTTACTCATTCCCAGAAATCTTCAAGTGTAGGCATTAGGAAGAAAGGGGTTCTTTTTGCTTGTTTGCATTTTTTAAAATTTATCTTCCAATCTGGTCTTGCTTAAAGAACATCTGGAAGGATGCAGAAGAGTTTCAAGCCTATAGACAATCACATTTCAAGAATCTGAAATTCATGAGTTATGATTTAAAATAGCCTAAGTATTGGTATTATTTCTTCCTTAAATATTTGATAAAGTTCTCTAGTGAAGATACATATGGATCTGGCCTATCTCTGTGGGAAGATTTTGTTATTAATTCAATTTATTTACTTATAAGGAGACGTATATTCAGATTTTCTGTCTCTTCTTTTTTTTTTTTGGCACTGGGACTTAAACTCAGGGTCTTCACCTTGAGCCAATCCACCAGTCCACCAGCCCTATTTTTTGTGAACGGTTTTTTGAACTATTTGCCCGGGCTGGCTTTGAACTGTGATCCTTCTCTTGTGCAGGACCTCTGCGTCCTGAGTAGCTAGGATTATAGACGAGAGCCACTGGTGCCCAGCTTCTTACTCCCTCTTCTGTCAAGTTTGGTAATTTGTGGTTCTCTAAGAGCTTGTGCATTTCACTTTCCTCACTACTTTTGGCATGGTGTTGTTGAGAATAACCCCTTACATTTTTTAAAGAATTTCTGAGGCCAGTAAATAATGGCCTCCTGCTTCATTCTCCTTTTCATGAACTTTTTTCCCTCTTTATTTTTGATCTAATTAATAATCTGTCAATGCCATTTATCTTTTCAAAAACCAATTTTGTGCTGGGGATGGCTCAAGTGGTAGAGTGGCTGACTAACAAGCTCAAGACCCTGTGTTCAAACCCCAGAACCATAAAAAAAATGAGAATCAAAATAATTTTTAGTTTAATGTTGCTTCTCCACCATTTTCCTATTTATTTCATTAACTTTCATTCTAATCTTTATTATTCTCTTCCTTCATCCTGCTTGAGGTAGTTTGCTTTTTCTAGATTTTAAGGTGGATTATTTATATGAGTTTTATCTTTTTACTAAATTAGGCATTAAAACATATAAGTTTCCTTGTGAATACTGTGTTAGCTGTATATCATAAATCTAGATTTGGTTTATTCTTGTTTTATTAGATCAAAATACTATATGACATCCCTTGTACTTTTTTCTTTGACTGAAGGGTGGTATTAATTAGGTCATTACTTAAAAATAGTTTTAGATCCCCCAAACTTCCTCCTGCTGTTGTTTTGTAATTTAACATCATTGTGATCAGAGGAAATACTTTGTATGACTTCAATCCTTTTAAATTTATTAATACTTACTTTATGGCCTAGCTTAGGGTGTATCTTGAACGATGTTCTCCATGTGTTCAAAATGAAGTGTTGTCTTCTGCAGACTGTTACATAATTGGCTAATTTTGTCAATAAAAACAAATCAACTACTAATTCATGCTACATTGTGGATGAACCTCAAAAACATCATGATGAATAAAGAAGCCAGACATAAGAGATTGCATATTGATTCTACTTACATAACATTTAGAAAAGACAAATTTATGAACACAAAAAGTAGACAGTAGCTCCCACCTGTAATGCTGGCTACTTGGGAGGCAGAGACCAGAAGGATTGGGATTAGAAGCCAGCCTGGGCAAGCAGTTCGCGAGACCGTATCTCAAAAATACCCAACACAAAAAAAGGGGCTAGTGGAGTGGTTCAAATGGTAGCGTGCCTAACTAATACTCTAGGTAGTCATTCTACCCTAAGTTCAAACCCCAGTACTGCCAAAAGAAAAAGGAAAAAAAAAAAAAACAAGAAAAGAGAAGACAAGTAGACTAGTCACTATCTAGGCTAGGGCCAGGAGTAGAAGGCAACTGTAAATGGTCATGTAGAATCTTACTAGAGCATAAAAATGTTCTTCAGTGATGGTTGTATCACTCAGTGAAGTGCCTAAAAATCACTGGATTGAGTAATTAAAATGAGTAAATTCTATGATATGTGAAACATAACTGTTAAATAAACTTGTAAAGGTATTTATAAATTCAATATAAATAAATATCAATTAAAAATTTATTGGAAATTTAAAATCCAAAATAGCCCATGGCATTAAGCCCTTACTTTAAAAATCAAAAACTGGGCTGTTGGAGTGGCTCAAGTGGTAGCATGCCTGCCTAGAAAGCATGAAACCCTGAGTTAAAACCCCAGTACTAACCAAAAAAAAAAAAAAAAATCAACAATCAAGGCCAAGTGCAGGGGCTCACACTTGCAATCTCAGCTACTCCAGAAGCAGAGATCAGAAGATCTCTTGAGGTGAGCCTAGGCAAAAAGTTAGTGAGACCCCACTTTTTTTTTTTTTAATTCTTATGTGCATACATTGTTTGGGCTGTTTCTCCCCCCTGAACACTCCTACCTCCCCTCCCTCTACCCCCAACCTCCCTCGCTTCCAGGCAGAATCTGTTCTTCCCTCTTCTCCAATTTTGTTGAAGAGAAGACACAGCGTTTTTGCTAGTTTGAGATTAGGATAGCTACACAGAGAGATTCCTAGCATTGCTTCCATGCACGAGTGTATTACAACCTGAATTGATTCACCTCTACCTGACCTCTTCACTACTTCCCAGTCACCTTCCCATAGTGACCTCTGTCATTTTGAGGTTACTACATTAATTCCTCTACAGTGGACACATCAAACACTTTCAACTCTTGGGTTTCCTATCTTTCCCTACTCCTCATGTATATGTTCTCCCCATAGCATGTGACCCATGTTCAATAACATTACTGCATTTGCCCTAGATCTGAAGTCTGCATATGAGGGAGAACATACGATTTTTGGTCTTCTGAGCCTGGCTAACCTCGCTTACAATGATGCTCTCCAGTTCCATCCATTTACCTGTGAATGACAAGATTTCACTCTTCTTCATGGTTGAGTAAAATTCCATTGTGTATAAATACCACATTTTCTTAATCCAATAGTCAGTAGTGGAGCATCTTGGCTGTTTCCATAACTTGGCTATTGTGAATAGTGGTACAGTAAACACGGGTGTGCAGGTACCTATGTGAAGGATGAGCTGTTTCTCACACTCCCTCCCTTGCTGGAGCAAGGTTTTCTCTATCACTCCTTGGTTATTACTGGACCTAACATGGCTTAACTGGGGGCAAATGGAGATTTTAGAAAAGACACAGGATAGACAGACAGAAAGACAGACAGAAAGTTGGGGTCAGGTGTGTTGTATGTTTGGGTGGAGACCCAAAACTCTCATTGCTTCTCTTCTTTATCTTGATTCTTCAAGGCCTTATTCCTTGCAGTTCTTTAAAACCTTGCTTAAAACCTCTTTCTTGATAAGGGCAAAATAATTTCTGCTGGGTATTGATGGGGGGGAGCGGGAGGGGGTAGAGTGGGTGGTAAGGGAGGGAGTGGGGGCAGGGGGGAGAAATGAACCAAGCCTTGTATGCACATATGAATAATAAAAGAAAAATGAAAAAAAAAAAAACACCTCTTTCTTTAGGCTAGCTCTGTCCCACATTTGCTCTTAACTTACCTTTATCTTAATTGCTCTCAAAGTCTTTTGCCCCCAGGCTTACACTGTCCCATCTCTCTTTAGCTCTCTTAAAGCCTCAGTGCTCAAACTTGCAAACCAGCAGCCGCCATGCCTACAAACTGCATATGCATAACTCTTGAGGTCTCTGTCCTTAGACTTGCACTGTGCACTGTCCCATGTTCTCTTTGGCTTTTCTTAAGCTTTAGCTTTCCTAAGGCCTACATATGAAGTTCTTTCTCAGCTTTGCTTTCTGAAGCCTATGTTAAAGTTCTCAGTGCAGACTTTCTATCAACACCTCTTAGCATTTTCCCTTCAGCAATTTTTCCCTTTTCCCTTTAGCATTTTCCCTTCAACAATTCTTTTCCCTTCAGCAATTTTTCCCTTCAATAATTCTTTTCCCTTCCAAAAGTTTCCCACACCAAAAGGTCCAAAGTAAAAGCTTCTTCCCAATATTCAAAGGCAAAAAGCCCCCAAAGCAAAAAGCCAAAAGCCAAGCAAAAAGTCCAAAAGCCCAAAGTAAAGCCCCTCTTCCTCCTTCAGGGGTCTTTTATAGCAGCAAACAGGGTGGAGCCACAGGGAGGGGCATAACATTGTAACAGGAGAAACCTGCATTCCTGCTTCTCTGAACGCAAGTTAGGAGACTCAGCTGTTCTGCTTTTTTCTGTTTCGTGGCTGGGGCTGTGCCTATCTAGGCCTACAAGTAAAAGCAGTTAACTGCATCTCGCTTTGCTTGTGTCCAGTTTCCATAGGCTTTAATCTGCTCCCTACACCTATGGAGTAACCTTGGGTGAGACTCCATCTTCAAAAAAAAAACTGGGTATGGTGGTACATACCTCTGATCCCAGCTACACTGGAAGCATAACTAGGAAGAGTGACACCCATGCCAGCCTGGGCACATTTCTGAGACCCTACTCAGAAAATAACTAAAGCAAAATGGGCTGAGGGTGTGGCTCAAGTAGCAAGCATGAGGCCTTGAGTTCAAACCTAGTACCACCAAAAAAAAAAGGTCAAGAATCAGGCTTGTGGAGTGGCTCAACTGGTAAGAGTGTCTGCCTTGCAAGTGTGAGGCCTTGAGTTCAAAACCCTGAGCTGCCAAAAAAAATTATAAAAAAGTCAAGAATCAAGTACGTCCCATTTTTTTTCATTTTATTTTTCTAAAATGATAAATTGTATTTTAGGTAACCAAGTTGCACTAAAGTAAGGGCCAAGTTCTTCATCATAGTATAATTCCAGCTACTAAATTTAGAAGGGATAAGAGAATCAGAAAAAATGTTATTTGTAACTCCTAATGAAAGTAACAATTGGATTAAAAGCAACTGAGGCCAATAGGAGAAGGGGACCAGGAACTAGAGAAAAGGTTAGATCAAAAAAAATTAACCTAGAAGGTAACACACACGCACAGGAAATTAATGTGAGTCAACTCCCTGTTTGTTCTTTCCTATTATTGCTTATACTCTCTCTTCAACAAAATTAGAGATAAGGACAAAATAGTTTCTGCTGGGTATCGAGAGGGTGTGGGGGGAGAGGGAGGAGGTGGGGGGGATAGGGGTGGGTGGTAAGGGAGGGGGTGTGGGCAGTAGGGAGAAATGACCCAAGCATTGTATGCACATATAAATAATAAAAAAATAAAAATTAAAAAAAAAAGAAAGTAACAAGTGGAGCATGGATGGACTTTATCTAGATTAAAATTCAAATATCCAACTAAGAGAGATCACCAGGGAAATCTAAATGTGATTTACCAAGGACTTTTTTCAGTTGAGAATGGCACTATTGTTGCCCAGGAAAAAACCCTTTTTTTGTATTTCATTTTGTTGGTGGGACTGAGGTTTGAACTCAGGCCTTACGCTTGCAAAGCGAGCACTCTACCACTTGAGCCACACCTCTAGTCCATTTTCCTCTGGTTATTTTGGAGATGGGGGGGTCACATGATCTATTTGCCTGGGCTGGCTTCCAACTGCAATGCTCAGGATCTCCATCTCCCAAGTAGCCAGGATTTCAGGACTGAGCCATGGGCACCCACACACAGCTGTATTTCTTTTTTAATTACTACTTGAGCATGCCCCTAGCCTTTTTTGGTATTAATTATTTTTCAGATAGAGTCTCATGCTTTTACCCAGAGCCAGCCTGGGATCATTATCTTCCTCTCTCTGCCTCCTATCCCCTACTTGTTCTTTGAGATAGGGTCTGCTTTTTGCCCAGGCTGGCCTCAGAACATGATCCTCCTATCTTGGCCTCCCAAACAGCTGGGATTATAGGTGTGAGCCACCACACTGAGCTAGAAAAAAGCATTTTTAAGAGAGATGTGCAGAAAGACTCGGAGAAATAACAAAGCAAAAGAGACTTGTCTTAAAACACAATTAACAACAGAAAAATGGAAAAGGAGCAAAAAGAAAGCTTGGAAGATGCTGATATTTCTCCCAGGTGAAGCCTTATTTATACTTTCTTGGGCTTTAAGTATATGTGAAAACTTTCATAACAAAAGTTTGTTTTAAAGAAAAATAAAATAAAAAGCAGCATCAAGAGATTAGCACATTTGCCACTTGACTTTTCTTGGAAGAGAAGATAATTCCCAGGCTGGAGGTGTGTGGCCCACGAAGCCCGGAGTTCAAACTCCAGTACCACCAAAAAAAAGAAGAAGAAGAAAATTCTCCCCAGAAATAATATGTGTCTGAAGCCTGGGATTCCAGACTAGAATGACTTACCTCCTGGCAATCTTTTTGAAAGTGGTTTGAAATAATTCTTCCATAACATGCTGCTGTTCCCGACAAAGAATTTCTGTCATCAACTTTAACAATATAGGACTTTGAGATAATTCCAAAGCATCTAGAAACTAAAAGAAAAAAAATCAGCATCATTCTTTGGTTTTACTTTTATTTTGCTTTTTTTATAGGTGCTGGGGTTTGAACACAGGACCTTGCTAGGGAGGCTCTCTAACACTTGAGCCATACCCCCAGTCCTATTTTTCTGCTTTTTAACAGCTCCAAGTTTAAAAATAGAAAAAAAATATAAAGAATTTCACAAAGAATTTTAAAATGCTAATTTTTCTGTTATTCTTGCAGAAATAGTGATTGCCTGGCATATGATAATGTTCATTAAATACTTCAGTATTGATTCTTCTGTTTTATAGATATTTTTCCTTACTTACTCCCCAGAAACTGAAATTCCATAATGATGTGCTTTCACTGGGGTCTTCTTCCCTCACCAGGTCAGGCAGCCTTGGCCTACTCACTCAGAAGACGTGTGTCTTTCTCCTTCAATTCTCACAGCAGAACAGCTATCCCTTTCCCATATACTTCAATGTCTATTTGTTGTACATTCTAGCGATATCCTCGACTTTAAGCTCAGAACAAAAAAATTTTAATTTAAATTTTGCTTTTATGTATTTAATTTCCACAAACCACTATTTGTCCTGTTTCTTAGATACCATGCAATCCTTCACCTCTCAAGCTATTCTGCAGTTTCTTTGACTATTCTCTTTCTTGGCCAACTGTTCCCTCTGAGCTCCTTTTTCCTGTTAGCTTACATCTTTCTTTAGATTTTTTTTTGGAGGCAGCACTGTGGATGTGACTCAGGGCCTCACACATGCTGAGCCCTCTACCACTGAATTGCATTCCCAAACCAAAGTAGTTTGATTTTTTTTTTTTTTAAGAGAAGTCACCTTTTGTTGCCCAGGCTGGTCTTGAACTCCTGGACTCAAGTGATCCTGCACTGCTGGACTCCAGGCACATGCTGGTATGGCCCTAGCTTTAATCTATTTTTTTGGGTGGGAGGGGAGGGAGCAGTGACATTTGAACTCAGGGCCTCACGCTTGCTGCGCAGGAACTCTTACCACTTGAGCCACTTGGCCAGCCCTTTTGTGATGGATTTTTTTGAGACAGGGTCTCGGGAACTATTTGCCTGGGACTGGCTTCAAACTGCAATCCGCCATCTCTGCCTCTTGTGTAGCTAGGATTGCAGGTGTGAGCCACTGGCACCTGGCTTAATCTTTCTTATGTGAGAAACTTTCTTCAAACATTCAGTAATTATTTGCACTCACATTCACTTGCATTTACTTTAAAAGAAAGCAGTAAGGGTCTATTTAGCATCTTTGTGGATGATAAATCCAGTAGGTAATAGACCACTGGAGAATGGGATACTTATATGATACCAAGATAACCAGACTAAGGTCACCCTGGTAAGATATACCTCTTACTGTGTTATTGCTGCCAAGAAGGTTAACCTTTAAACTTAACTTCTCATTTAAAGGAAAACAGAGAATAAAGAGAAAAGTTTAATGTGCACCTGCACATCCATGTTTATTGCGGCACTATTCACAATAGCCAAGTTATGGAAACAGCCAAGATGCCCCAGCACTGACGAATGGATTAAGAAAATGTGGTATCTATACACAATGGAATTTTATGCAGCCATGAAGAAGAACGAAATGTTATCATTCACTGGTAAATGGATGGAATTGGAGAACATCATTCTGAGTGAGGTTAGCCTGGCCCAAAAGACCAAAAATCGTATGTTCTCCCTCATATGTGGACATTAGATCAAGGGCAAACACAACAAGGGGATTGGACTATGAGCACATGATAAAAGCGAGAGCACACAAGGGAGGGGTGAGGATAGGTAAGACACCTAAAAAACTAGCTAGCATTTGTTGCCCTTAATGCAGAGAAACTAAAGCAGATACCTTAAAGCAACTGAGGCCAATAGGAAAAGGGGACCAGGAACTAGAGAAAAGGTTAGATCAAAAAGAATTAACCTAGAAGGTAACACCCACGCACAGGAAATCAATGTGAGTCAATGCCCTGTATAGCTATCCTTATCTCAACCAGCAAAACCCTTGTTCCTTCCTATTATTGCTTATACTCTCTCTACAACAAAATTAGAGATAAGGGCAAAATAGTTTCTGCTGGGTATTGAGGGGGTGGGGGGGAGAGGGAGGGGGCTGGAGTGGGTGGTAAGGGAGGGGGTGGGGGCAGGGGGGAGAAATGAACCAAGCCTTGTATGCACATATGAATAATAAAAGAAAAAAAAAACTGGGCATAGCAGTACTGTCTGTAATCCCAGCTACATAGAAGGCGCAGGTAGGAGGCTCAAGGTCCAAGGCTGGCCCCAGGCAAAAAGCACAAGATCCTATCTGAAAAATAACTAAAGCAAAATTAAGGGCTAGAGTGTGGCTTAAGTGGTAAAGTGCCTATCTAGTAAGCACAAGGCCCTGAGTTCTAACTCCAGTAATCTCTTCCCCTCCCCCTACCCCATGCCAAAAAAAAGAATGCACATTGGAGAAAAGATAGTCTTTCCAATAAATAAATCTTGGAAAGCTGGATATCCACATTCAAAAGAATGAAATTAGATCCCTGTCTCTGTCTCTCACTGATTACAAAATTAATTAAAAGGGGGTGAATTTATTGTAAGAACTTTTGTAAACGTCACAATGTACTCCCAGTACAATAACATGATAATAATAAATAAATTAAAGACTTAAATATAAGACCTGAAATCACAGAACTACTTGAAAACGTAAGAGGGAATGTTCTAGGACATTGGAATCTGCAATGATTTCTGGAGTAGATCCCCAAACCATAAGAAACTAAAGCAAAAATAGACAAATGGGATTACATCAAATTGAAAAGCTTCTACACAGGAAAGGAAACAATCAAGAGTGAAGAGACAACCTATAGAATGTGAGAAATATTTACAAAGTAGGCATCTGATAGTGGATTGATATCCAGAATACATATGGAATTCCAAAAAGAAAATAGCAAAAAAAAAACCCAAAAAACCTATTAATAAATGGGAAATAGATCTAAATAGGCATTTTTCAAAAGAAGAAATACAAATGCCCAACAAGTATATAAAAAGAACTCAACATCACTAATCATCAAGGAAATGAACATCAAAACCACGATGAGCTATCCCCTATTCCCAGTAAGAATAGCTATTAGCAAAAAGACTAAAGATAGTAAATGCTGGTGAGGATGAGGAGAAAAAGAGAATCTTTGAATACTGTTGGGATTATAAATTAGTACTGTCGCTATGACAAACAGTATAGAGGCTCCTCAATAAAACTAAAAATAGGACTACCAAATGATACAGCAATCCCATTCCTAGTGTGTGTGCATGTGTGTGTATACAGATATCCAAAGGAAGTGAAATCACATGTCGAAGAACATCTGTGCTGCTATATTTATTGCAACATTATTTACAATACCTAAGAAATGGGAATAATCAAAATGTCTACTAACTGGTGAATGGATAAACTAAATGTGTGTGTGTGTGTGTGTGTGTGTGTGTGTGTGTGTGTACACACACATATGCATCCTCCCTCCCTCCCTCCCTTCTTTTGTTCCTTCCATACACATATGCCTGTATATATACATACATACAAAAGACTATTTAAAAAGGCTGAAATCCTGCCATCTATGGCTACATGGATGAAGCTGGAGATCACTGTATTAAGTGAAATAAGCCAGGCACAGAAAAGCAAGTATGGCATGATGTCACTCATATAGGGAATCTAGAAAAGCTGATCTCATCAAAGTTCAAAGTAGAGTAGTGGCAGAGTAGAGAGAGGGAGGGAGGAGACGGGAAATGCTGACCACTGGGCACCACATCAGGTAGGAGTACAAAACTCTGGTGAGCTACTGTAAGGTTAGGCAACTGTAGGCAGCAACGATGTGCTGTGCATTTCAAAAAGCTAAAAGAACAGACTAAAATCTTCACCAAAAAGAAGTAACAAATGTTTGAGGAAATAATATGCTTAACCTGATTTAAACAGTAACAATGTATATATGTATTTAAACCTTATACGGTACACAAATTAATATGTATAATTTTTATATTTCTATCAGTTAAAAATGAATTTTAAAAAGTATTTTTAAATCCAAAGATAACAAAAATCACTTGATGTTTTAAATTTCATGATACTAAAAACTAACCTTTTTCATGCAGTCCACGTAATTATTGTACCTCAGCGTTCCTGGGGGAAATTCGTCAGACTTCATAGGGAAATTAAAAACAATGAGCTTTTCGAGCACATGCTTTAGGTCTTCCAGACTGCCTCCAGTAAGATTGGTGAAGAATGGAAGAAGAATTACAGCTTGGCTCTGTGGAGCAATGCAGACAAAGGAAATCACACTTAATTGTGGTTTATAGATCCTGCAGAGTACATAAAATTACTATGTTCTAATAACTGCAAATAAAGCACTACATGGATTCCACAAATGACTTCATAATAAATTCCAGATTACCTGAAAAAAACAATCTGAGCTTCAACTCTATATGTCAATTTTCTGAGTTGCAAATCTATATTTACAAATATAAGACACTAAACACAGACTCTGTAGATACTTTCTTGTACACACAAAACCTAGTACTAACGTACTTCACAAGTTTTGTGTGGAAAAACAGTAACTACCTATATGCAGAATTACCTCAGAACTTCATACTGAACTCAAGAAGAATAAACTGTTGATTCCTGTCTTCCTTGAATGGCAAGTAAATCCAAGACACTCTCATACCAAGAAATGGAAAACTTCATTAATCATACAGAACAAAAATTTCCAACCAATTATCCTCTTTATCTAATTAAAAACATGATCTTTCATTATTACCCCATTTTAATAGTTTAAAGGACTTATAAACTAACAACCTTGAAATTACAATATAAAATCTTGACTCAAAAAACTCACCAAGAGATTTTATAATATTACTTTTAATAGAAAAAGGATTAAGTTTAAAGGTAATATAGCAAATTCTGAATGCCAATTTAAATTATATGCATGCAAAGACAAAAGTTAATTCTTCCAAGTATAATAATTTCACAGCTATACTTTAGAAGAAATGTACGCATCTCCTGGAGAGATACACTGAAGCATGTGAAGAGCAGATAAACTAAAGCATGACATCTCCTTTCAGAGGAGGATGTACAGTTGAAACAAAACTGCCCACATACAGCCAGTTAACAAAAAGGGGAAAAGTACATGGGGTTTTATTGTGCCAATCTCTGTTTGAAATTTTCCACAAATAAGCAAAAATATAAAGATAAGAAAATGGAAAAAAAATATTTTAAAATCATTTACCTTTAAATGAAGCCCCAACTTGGAATCAGCAAGTAGACTAGTATATGTAGTGAAGACTTCAGGGAATGCGCTGTGATTTGTATTGAAAGACACAGATGAATCAATCTAAAGGAGGCAAAATAAAAACACAATCCATTTGGTATTATGTCTCCATTTTCTTTAACACATTTTTCAGGTATTTAAATTTCAAAAGTAAAGTTCCTGAACTTCAAATATTTCAAAAATCTTGTTCCAAAATATTTTAACATTATTTGCTAAGGCAAAGCATGTAAAGGTACAACAGAAAAAATATAAAAATGATAATCATAATAAATAATAGTATATAAACAATGCAAAAAAGTAAAAAATATAAGGTAGCAAGAAATCATCTCTCTCAAAAAAAAAAAAAAAAAAAAATTGGGAACAGGGCTACTGTGGATTGAACTCAGGGCCTGCACTTGCTGGGCAGCCACACTTGAGCCACTCTACCAACACTCATCCCTCCAAATAAATAAAATATAAAAAATAAATAAGCATATAAATATGTATATGTATATACATATTTCTTTCTTTCTTTGTGGGACTGGAGTTTGAACTCAGGGCTTTGAGTTTATAAAGTGGAAGCTCTACCCCTTGAACCACACCTCCAGACCATTTTACTCTGCTTATTTTGGAGATAGGTTTCATGAACTATTAGCTTAGGTTGGGAGGCTCCCAAGAAGCTAGGATTACAGGTGTGAGCCACTGGAGCCTGGTGAAAATGTTTTTTTTTAATTTATCAAAACCAATGAGCTTTTGAAGCAATATCCATCAGGCTTTCAAAGATACACGTTTTAGAGTTCAAAACAGCACGCATGCCTGTTACAGGAAGGCAGAGGCAGGATGACTGCAAGTTCCAGGCCATCCTGAACTACATATTAAGACCTTGTTTAAAAAAATGAGGAAACAGAGAATCAGACCAAAAGAAACAAATAAATAAACATAGTCTCACTATTTAGGTTTCTCAAAATACCTGTAAAATTTTTGCCAGTAAGGTCAGCACTGCCATTTTACTTTCTGGAGCAGAATCCTTGGCCCACCATGAATCACACTTCTTCCAGTTTTGTAGAATCGTAGTTGCAAGCTTCAGTCCTTGATGTTTCTGAACAGCTCGATCCCTGAAGCTCTGATCCAACATGCCATTTAAAACAGCAGTCACCTGAAATAATTTTATAGTGATTAAAGAAAATTCTTAATATTGAGATAAATATAAAACAAAAGAAGATGTTATTTCTATAACAGATGCTTCTCTACTTCAAAACTCTTCCAATTTGAGAAGAGCACTTTAACAAGTACATTTTGACACAAAGAGCAAAGGGTGGCTGCTTTCAGGTCATCATTCCTGTCCTGCCACTCTTGGTGTTGGTTAAGGGCATTCTCAATGGAACTCCATCGGGAAGAGGAGTGAGCTCCCTTCTGTGACCACCACCACCACCACCACCACACGTACACACACAGTTCCTGTCCCACCACCACTCCTCCAATGGAGTAACATCCTAATTTTGGTAAGATTAACATTCAATATTGCTGTCATTCTGATGATATAAACATTCACCATAGATGATCCATGCAATATACTACCAGTACTTTTATTTCTTGCTCATTTTGCTCTACTTAATCCTTTGCTGTTTCCAATGTGCCTAACCTTAATTTGTCATCGAACTTTCCGAAGTCAATTAAATTACTTCAAGCCATCTGAGCCCAACAGGAAGTCCATTTGTTCCAGATCAGTAGAAACACAGTTCCTGTTCTGCTGTGCAGTACCAGGCCTAGACACTCCATCCCCTCCTCTGCATATGGCTGATTTCCTGTATCCAACACCTTCCTCTTTCAAGGTTCACTGCCTTTTCACTGTCCACCCAGAAACCTCCTGACAGAAGGTACACAGGAGACACATCCCCTTTGGGATCCGGAATATCTGAAACTTGTGCATTCTACTTTCACACATAATTGATAATTGGGCTGCATTTAGAATTCCAGGCTGGAGATTTACTTCATGAATTATGGAGGAATTTTGACTCATTGTCTTGCAGTATACATATTTTTGTTGAAAAGTGAGATGTTTTAAATTTCTTGATCCTTTTACATGTAAACTTGTTTTTCTCCAGTGGTAACTTTTCAAGATCTTTCCTTGAAGTGAAGCATCTGGGTTCTAAAATCTTAGGAAGTAGATTCAACAGGCATTTCAGGGCCTTTATTTCTGTGGTGCTCTTGAGCTGTCACCAGGGGTCTCTTCCTGTTCCTTCCCTCTGGAATTAACATCCTGCTGCTTGATCCAACAGTATTATCATTTATCTCCTATTTTCTGATTTTTTTTTACTCTACTCTCTGACAAAGTTTCTCAATTTTATCTTCCAAATCCATTTAATTTTCAATTCCGGATACCTATGCTTAATTCTACAGCATTCTTTTCTGGTTTCTAATGTTTTTTCAGTAGCAATTTTTTTCGGAGTACTGATATCTGAACTCGGCTTCATACTTGCAAGGCAGGCACTCTACAGCTTGAGCCACACTTTCAGCCCTTTTGGGAGGTTATTTTGGAGACAGGGTCTCACAGGCCAGCCTGGACCACAATCCCATTTTAAGCTTCATGCTATCGCTGGGATGACAAGCCCAGGTTTTTTCCATTTGGGAAGGGAGAAGGGGGCTCACAAACTTTTGTCTGGGTTAGCTTGGAACCACGACCCTCCCAATCTCAACCTCTCAAGTATGAGCTATTGATGCCAGGCTTCAAAAACAATTCTTGTTTTAAGGATATTTTATCTTCTCCCATTTTGATGAAGAGCTTCTCACTATTCCTTTGTTTTTCTTGCCATCACTCTTGGAAGTCCTCTGTTTGGGCCTAAGCTTCCTGGCTGTTGGTTTACATTTAAGAACTGACTAGAACTGACATGCAAGGGCAGGGCTCAATGGCTGTAAGGCTGCTGTAAGTGCACCTGGTTGGCAATGATGACTGCATCATTGTTCTCTTATGCCTACTGAACTACTCTGATATCTTGCAGGGGGTAAACAGCCGGCTGGCTGACAGTATTCCGGAGGCAAATTGGGGACAAAGGCTGAATCTCGAGGTCTAGAATTTAGGTAAGCTAATCACCTAATTTCTCTTTACATGGTGGCATCCTTAGTCCTGATCCAGAGACAATCATCCATTCCCCCACCTCCCAAAAGAACTGTTACCTCTAGTCTCCTCTTGAAGTGGAAAGGACTGGGCCAAAAATTGAAAGGCTGACTTTACATCAGGCTTCCTTCTTCATCCTCTCCTCTAAACCCACTTGGCAAAGCTGGATGCTCCACACTACTGCTGCTGCCCAGCAGTTCAAGGACTTGGGGTCTGACACATCTGTCCTTTTTTTTTCATAGCTTTTGCCATTCTGGAAGTCTTTTCTCTGCATCACTTAAGACTGCTGTCTGGTTTGGTTTATTTTAAACCCATTCTACCATTTTAGAGTAATGTGGAGAAGGAACAGAGGTAAATGCATGTATTTTTATCCATCATTTTCATCAGAAGCCTGGATAATTTAAAAGCTCAAAATGTTCAATATCCTAAGTGTCATGTGTCTACTATAAGTTTATTTCTAACTTCACAAAGTACAAATTCCTGGGCTGGCAGAATGGCTCAAGTGGTAGAGTGCCTGCCCAACAAGCATAAAGCCTTGAATTCAAACCCCACTACCACCAAATTCCTACAAATTCCTAGTGTAATCAATCACAAAATACTTCCCAACTATAGACAAAGACTGTTTGTAATAAAAGCTAAACTTGGAAGGAAGTAACACCCTCTCTTACAATGCTCACACCATCAGTTTATAGTTTTTGACTATCTACAGAGCAGGTTACATTTTAAAATTCCAAAACTTTGGCAAACAAAATATTCTGTCAAATTCAGATTAACCACTGATCTCCAAAGACTCAACATGAGGGGGCAAAAAGGGATACAGTGGGATAATGCACAAAATGATAACTTAGCATTGAGGACATGAGAGAGCTCTGAGAACAAAGAAGTGTAGCAGTGTGGAGGACCAGCTTGTGGCTGATGGCGGGATGGTCAGTTCTGGGACATGGGACAAGTTTAGAAGCTCCAACATTACATCCTGGCAAAAGTCACTATCCTATGAGGTTGTACCTTACGACATTAAGCCTAGAGATTTGGGAGGCATGAGGCAATGGAAAAAATAAACCTTCAACCTCCATTAACACTCACTATTGATGAAGGCGATGGGGTTTTGCATGTGTGGATTTTGTTTTCAAGTATTAACAAGAACTTTAAATGGTTCAGGAAAACATCTTGTATTGTTTTGGGAAATTTTTCAGGAATACAGTAATTCTTTTATGAACATTATAAAAAAATATTTAGTTAAAAGAAAATCTTCTTACCATTTTGGGATTATCCACTGATGATTTCATGAGCGCTGAAACAGCAGTATCTAGATTTTTCAAAAGTTCAGCATTGATTATTTCTGAGAACAAGGAATAGAAATACTCTCCATGGGAGAAGCTATTGATACTTCTCGGTAAGCTACTCAAAGAGGGCGTGGACAGCAGCACTCCATTCAAAAGAAGACTCACAAGGTGTTCACACTGTGAGGAAGAGAGAAGACAATGGTAGGGTCCCATCTTCATGTGTTTGAGAAAGACTCTAGAGTAGCTGCTGACAATCACACAGAAAGTCTAAAAAGAGATTGATATGTAAAGACTGGATTCAAGTTTAAATTACACATACTTCAGTTTATTTCTATTTTCTAGGTTTCACTTTGTGAAAGGAATCTTTTCTTAAATAATACTGATTTCAAATTTACAGAAAATCTTGCTGTTGCTTGAAGGGCAGAGTCCAGTAAAGTAAGGATAAGTAATTTTAGGTAATTTTGTGGACATTAAATGGCTAATGAGACAAAGAAGAGGTTCCTGCAATGGGAGGAGGGACAAAGGAAGATGGAATGGAGAAAATTCACAGGGCTGGCTGCAGATCTCAGCTGCTACAGATCTCAGCTACAGCAGACCATGTGAGGCCAGCCCTGGTTGGTTCAAAAAGCCATGAGGGCCTTTTTGTTGTGGTGCTTTAGGTACCTCTGGAATTATCCTCAAGGGCTATTTCAAATCATCCATTCCAAGAACCACCAAGGATAGAGGAAGAGGTCACATGTCAACAAAGGTCAGCTTAAGTCACAAAATGTTCTCTACCTAAAGTCCTTTATGAAACAAAGTGGAACCAACAAAACCTTAATTTAAGAATGTTGTTTTGACTCTTTTATTTTAAAAAAAAAGTGTTAAGAAAAGTCTTCTAGAAAAAAAATCAGCTCAGATAAATCAACTATAATCCTTGTCCAGTTAAGACTTTAACTAATAAATTCCGCTGTTTCTAGAGATACACTGCAAGTGAGTTACATATCTCTGTCATTAGGATAGCATAGTGTATAGCTATTTTTCCTACCAGCCCTCCAAAAGAAAAAGCCAGCTCCAGGAGTCCACTGGCCAGGCGCTTACAACTGGGGTCCAGCAATGGCAGGCACTGCTTTTCGTCTCCAGGTGCAATGCCTTTGTAAATCAGGGAGAGAAATCTTGTGCCAATAGAATTTTGCAGGGCTGTAGACTGAAATAAAGTTAACATAAAGTGTCTGGCAAGAAAAGCTATTTCACAGAAAAACACAATTTCACTTCTCTCAATAATTAAAAAGACCGTGTTTGAACTGAGGATGTAGTTCAGTGGTAGAGTACTTGCCTACCATGTTCAGGGCCCTAGGTTCTACCCCCAGTACCACCAAGACATAACTAAATAAATAAATAAAAATAAAATAATAATAGTAACATAATTTTTTCTAAATCCATGTTAGGACTGGTAGAGTAACTGAAGTGGTAGAATGACTGCATACAAGCATGAGACCCTGAGTTCAAAACACAGCACTACAAAAGAAAAAAACCCATGTTAGTTCACATTGACAGTTACCTTGTAATGGTTAGGACAGTTGTAACTTAGCTTTGCCTTCTACGCTACTTCTTTCATTTATGTCATCTCATCACACAGGACAACAGCAACTGTTCCTAAAGTTTTTTTAGAATGCTGCTGTGAAAATCAACTGTCTTTTGTTCTACTTTTATTTTATATTTACATTCTAGATAATACCTTCACGTCTAGAGGAAATATTCTGTAATTCCTATTTCAGTATGCTATGTACATAAAAGATATTTAATATAAATGCTTAGACTAACTAGCATAATAAAGTTAAAAGATATATAAAAACAATTTGGTTATGGTTACCTGAGATGGTAATATAACATGCAAGAAGCCAGCTCCATGAAGTTGTTTATAGGCTGACACAACAGACGCCATTCTGGTCCTCTCCAAGTGAGCATCAGGGCCATACAAGTCAATGGTACAGAGCTCCTCAATACTGGCCGTGTGAATAAAACAGAAAGAAAACTAGTAAGTTCTAATATCATTAAACTACTATACTGAGATGTGTGTGTGGTCTATAAATACACTAATTATCTCATGCTCAAATTCATTAACGTAGTCCTGGAAAGCAAGCAGACTACCAGACAAGGCTCACATGCACTAGTTAGCCATGGAAACTGAACATCCAGGAACACTGGCTGCACTAGGACTTTTTTTTTTTTTTTTTTTTTTTTTTGCTGGACTGGGGTTTGAACTCAGGGCTTTGCACTTGCAAAACAGGTGCTCTACTGCTTGAGCCACACCTCCTGTCAATTTTTATACTGGTTATTTTGGAGATGGAGTCTCACAAATTATTTGCCCAAGCTGACCTCGAATTACGATCCTCTCAATCTCAGCCTCCCAAGTAGCAAGAATTACAGGCATCAGCCACCAGCACCCAGAACACTAGGACTTCCATGACACAGTGATAATGAGCTCGACCTGAGTACCTACCTCTGTGGTGTCACTTTTTCTTTCAGATAAGTCTCCAGCATGTCTCTGTATTGGGACTTCTTTAGTGCTTTCATCAGGTTCACACACACGCTGGGAAGACTGGACATAACCTGGACATCGCCGATATTGAAACCTATACTCACAGGCTCACATAATGTTTTCACCAAGAGTTTCATAAGGTCTGTGTTACACAAATCCTTCTCCAGGAACTATAAAATAGGCAGATTGAATAAAAACACTTCTATAAGCCAGCAACTATATTTTTACTAAAGTCCACAAGATTCAGAATATTCACATGACCAGGACAGGAGTTGGAAAGCTTTCTCTAAAGAATTGGACAATAGGCCAGGAGTGGTGGGTACCCTTGTAAACCCAGCTACTTGGGAGGCAGAGATTCAGAAGACTGTGGTTCAAGGCCAAACAGGATAAAAAGTTGGCAAGACCCATCTCAACCAACAAGCCAGCCATGGTAAGCCATACGTCTGATCCCAGCTATGCAGGAAGAACAGGTAAGAGGATCACAGTCCAAGGCCAGCCCCAAGCAAAACTATGAGACTATCTAAAAAAGGGCTGGGGCTCAAGTGGTAGGAGTGAGGCCCTGAGTTCAAGCCCCAGTACCACCAAATAAAAAAAAAATTAAACAATAAATAGTTTAGGCCATACAGTCTCTGCTGCAACTTCTTAACCCATACTAGTGTGAAAGCAGCATGGACAATATGAGCAGAGCCAGTTTTCTGGACCCCTGGTATAGAGCACTGCTGCACTCCCAGGGCCTAGAGCAAAGCCTGGCATGAATGCACTTAGTATATTCACTGCATAGACTGACAGGAGTTTGCTTATACAATATACTTCACAGATACATTTACGAATATTTACTAATGTGTGCTTCTCAAGGCAGATATATGATCATAGTATAAAATGTAGTGTCCAGTTGGTGGCCCACGCATGTAACCCTAGCTACTCAGGAGGCACAAATCAGGAGGATTGTGGTTCAAAGCCAGCCCTGGGCAAATAGTTCACAAGACCATATCTGGAAAACAACAAACACAAAAAGGGCTGGCAGAGAGGTTCAAGTGGCAGAGCACCTGCTTAGCAAGCACAAAGCCCTGAATTCAAACCCTAGTACCAAAAAACAAACAAACAAAAAAAGAAGCATGCAATAAAACACTTAGAAAAAACAACTGTATTTTATTCACAGAATGAAAATCAGAAGGACATGCAGCTTTATGACAGGTTGAGTATCCCTTACAAAAAATGCTTGGGACCAGAAGTATTTCATGTGTCAATCTGAATTTTGAATTTTGGAATATGTGCACAGACTTTACCAACTGAGCATCACTAATCTGAAAATCTGAATGAATGCCAACATAATGCTCAAGTTTTCAGATTTGCTGGATGCCAGTGGCTCATGTCTGCAATCCTAGCTACTCAGGAGAAAGAGATCAGAAGGACTATAATCTGAAGCCAGCCCAGGTAAATAGATTGTGAGATCCTATCTCAAAAACAAAATCACAAAAAAGGCTGGTGGAGTGGCTCAAAGTGTGTAGGCCCTGAGTTCAAACCCCAGTACCGCAAAAAAAAAAAAAAAAAAGTTATCAGTTTTTAGAGCTATGAGTTCAGATTTTTGGATTTAAGGGTGCTCAACGTGTATTTTAAAAGCAAATTCTACATAGTGGTGACTATAGTTAATAACCATGTATACTTGAAAATTGCTAAGAGGCCAAACTTTAAAATGTTCTCACAACAAAAAAATGGTGTGAGGCAATAGATATGTCAATTACCTTGACTTAATCCTTTGACCATATATACATATTATCAAAATATCATATTATATACCATAAACATACAATTCTTATTTGTCAATTAAAATAAATAATAATAAATACCACTCTGGCAATTAAGTTCCAGAGCTGCCAAAGTCACTTCTAACAGGAACATCTTTTTAAAGTATTTATTAGAGGATCCAAGATGGCAACCAGGGTACAGAAGCAGACAGTGTGAGCTCTGTGAATCAAAAACCTTGCTGAGATGCTAGAGCCACACTTGGCGGAAATAAAGCACCAAGGAGAATCCAAACTTTGTGCCCCTAGCCAGTAGAAAGCTTCCCCATGCCATGTTACACTGAGAAAACAAGTGGGCTGCCACTGCCACCAGTGGCCCACTCCAAACCTGCTTGGGAGACACTGGGCAGACCAAACAGGTGAGCACCAAGCATCACACAGTATTCCCCCAGCCACCCATGGAATAAACCAGCACAGCCCCTGGGTAGACTGACACCCCCCACCCCCAACACACACACACAAAAAACACTACACTAAACAATAAACAACGAACTAAAAACTAGCTCACAGCACAGGAAGTAGAAACACTGAAAGTGCACAAGAGAAGGGGGGAGTGGCAAGGAGCTAATTTCCATGCTAACTATCAGTAAATAAATGGCTGGAAAGGCAGGAAGGCTGACAGCTGGTGGGTGATAAGCCACTGCCTGAAGTAGGGAAGGTGGTGGACCACAAAGCTCATCTCTTGAGCCAGTGAGCAACACCCAAAGTCAAAGGCTCTGCAAAAATTGAAAAACAAACAGCAAACCATCACAACACACTGACAGCACGGGGCCAGCTGACAGATCACTGACCTTGCTCCAGAGAAAGGGGGTGAGGCAAAGAAACAAGCTCCCAGTAAACAAGTACAGTGAATAGCCACCTCCAAAGCAGGATAGCTGGTGGACTACAGGGCTGATCTACTGAACCTGAGGACAACATACAAACTTAAACTGCCACACCTCACTGAGGGAGGAGCTGACCAAGCAGCTGCCTCTGAAAAACAGAAGAAAAAAAAAAACACTACCCAGCCACCTGGCAAGACTACAACAGAGCTTCTGCTTAAACACCAACACCAAGACTGGATACTGGGGGAGTAACACTAGAACTTAAACTAAGACTGAAATTCTATTGTTCCTGAACCTGGAGTTGTTTGTTTGTTTGTTTTGATTCTTGTTTGTTTGTTCATCTCTCCCCATTGATTTCTTTGGTTTTGTTATTGTTGTTGTTATTAGTTTTATTATTGTGAATTAGTTAATACTAAATTACACCCAGACCAGGGACAGAAATACCACACACACACTTAGCTAAAAACCCAATACAGCCAAAAAACAAAATTAAACCAAAGGAAAGAAAACAGGTGACTGAAACCACAAATTACCCTATCAAGAACATAGTTGCACAGTACCAAGAGGAGTGATGGGAAGAAGAAAAAGAGATGGAAACCATTCTCCCCTCAAAACTAATTTAATACAGGATTCATAGGGAAATGAAGAAAATGGATACCCAGTTCTAGACTCCAACAAAACAAAGATAAATGATGTCCACAAGATGTACACAAGAACACCCTCAAAGAAGAAATCCTGCAACTAATCACTGAGAATTTTATGGAATTGTTACTAGACATGGTTAACCAAAATATATAGGAGGCACTCAAGAAATTTCAAGACATAAAAAATAAAGAAAATGCGAAGACACAGAAACAAATAAATGAACTCATAGGAGCCCTAAGTAAACACCAAAGTGAAACAGAGAACACTATAAATACAGAGATAAATGAATTAAAGATGAAACAGACAATATTAAAGAGGAAGTGAACAATGATATGGAAAACCTCAGAAAAAAGAATGAAACAGAAATACAAAACACAATAGAAGGCCATTCCGGCAGACTAGAACAAACAGAAGAGAGAATCTCAGAACTTGAAGATAAAATGGAAATCAAAGGAAAAAATGAAGAACTATTAGTCAAACAACTCAAGATCTGAGAAAGGAATATGCAAGAACTCACCAACTCCATCAAAACACCAAACCTGAGAATCATGGGCATTGAAGAAGGAGAAGAAGTACAAGCAAAAGGGATTCATAATATATTTAGTAAAATAATAACAGAAAATATCTCAAACTTAGAGAAAGCTATGTTTATTCAAGTACAGGAAGCCTCCAGGACACCAAACAGACTTGACCAAAATAGTACTACCCCACAACATATTATCATTAAAACAATAAGCACAGAGAACAGAGAAAGAATACTGAAAGCTATAAAAGAGGAAAAAGAAAAATAACATACAAAGGTAAACTCATCAAAATCACAGCAGACTTCTCAACAGAAACCTTAAAAATAAGAAGAGCATGGAGTAAGGTATTCCGGGCACTGAATGAAAATAACTTCAATTCCAGGATACTCTACCCAGCAAAACTATCATTCAAAATAGATGGAGAAATAAAAGTCTTCCACAATAAGCAGAAACTAAAACAATATATGACCACCAAGCCACCACTACAAAAGATTCTCCAAGGAATTCTGCACACAGCAAATGAAAGCAAACAAAACCATGAGAGGACATGCAGTACCAAACCACAGGAGAAGAAAAGACAAGGAATCAGAGAGTAACATTAATTCAGCTGCACACAATCAAACCCTTAAACAACAAAAACAACTAAATGACAGGAATCACCACATACCTATCAATATTAACACCGAATGTGAGCAGACTTAATTACCACATCAAAAGACACCATTTGGAAAACTGGACTAAAAGAAAGATCCTACAATCTGTTGTTTACAGGAGACCCATCTCATTGACAGAAACAAGCACTGACTAAGGGTGAAAGACTGGAAGAAGATTTACCAAGCCAATGGCCCCCCAAAACAGGCAGGAGTAGCAATACTTATCTCGGACAAAACAGACTTCAAACTTACATTGATTAAATGAGATAAAGAAGGACACTCCATACTAATAAAAGGAGAAATACACTAAAAGGAAATAACAATTATCAACCTATATGCACCCAATGTCAGTACACCAAATTTCATCAAACATACTCTAAAGGACCTAAAAGCATATATAGACTCCAACACAGTGGTAGTGGGAGACTTTAATACCTCCCATCACCAATAGATAGGTCATCCAAACAAAAAAATCAATAAAGAAATTCTAGAAATAAATCACACCACAGATCAAATGGACCTAGCTGATGTCTACAGAATATTTCATCCAACTTCTGTACAATATACATTCTTCTCAGCAGCTCATGGAACCTTCTCCAAAACTGATCATATCTTAGGGCACAAAGCAAGCCACAGCAAATATAAGAAAACAGAAATAACCCCATGCATTCTATCTGATCACAATGCATTAAAACTAGAACTCAACAACAAAAACAACAGAAATATGCAAAATGTGTAAGCTGAACAACACATTGCTCAATGATCAGTGAGTCATTGATGAAATAAAAGAGAAACTTAAAAGATTCCTGGAAGTTAATGAAAATCAAAACACAACCTACTGGAACCTATGGGACACAGCAAAGCCAGGCCTAAGACGAAAGTTTATAGCCATGAGAGCATATTTTAAAATGACAGAAAGGTCTCAAATCAATTATCTAATGTTACATTTAAAACTCCTAGAAAAACAAAAACAAGCAAATCCCAAAACAAGCAGAAGGAGAGAAATAACAAAAATAAGGGCTGAAATTAATGAAATAGAAACAAACAAAAAAAGATACAAAGAATCAATGAAACAAAAAGCTGGTTCTTTGAAAAAAATAAACAAGATTGACAGACCCCTAGAAAATCTGACTAAAATGAGGAGAGAAAAAACCCTAATCAGCAAAATTAGAAATGCAAAGGGGGAAATAACAACAAACACCATGGAAATAGAGGGAATCATCAGAGACTACTTTGAGAATCTATATTCCAATAAATTTGAAAATCTTGAAGAAATGAAGAAATTTCTAGATATTTATGTTCATCCAAAACTGAAGATCCTTATCTCAACCAGCAAAAACACTTGTTCCTTCCTATTATTGCTTATACTCTCTCTTCAACAAAATTAGAGATAAGGGCAAAATAGTTTCTGCCGGGTATTGAAGGGGTGGGGGGGGAGAGTGAGGGGATGGGGGCAGTGAGAGGGAGGGGGTGGGGGCAGGGGGGAGAAATGACCCAAGTCTTGTATGCACATATGAATAATAAAACAATAATAAAAAAAAAAGCCAATTCCACCACTAAGGATCTAAACACCTGCATAGAGGAAGAGCTATCAAATACTGAATTTGAAAAAAAAAATAGTAAAAATGGTTAATGACCTCAAAGAAGAAACACAAAAGTTAGTATTTGACCTCAAAGAGGAAGTGAATAAACAATTAAATTAGCTCCAGGAAAATATAAACAGACTTCTTAAAAATCTAAACATAGACCTGCCATATGATCCAGCAATCCCACTCCTCCTAGGGATATAACCAAGGGAATGCAACACAGGTTACTCCAGAGGCACCTGCACACCCATGTTTATTGCAGCACTATTCACAATAGCCAAGTTATGGAAACAACCAAGATGCCCCACTACTGACGAACGGATCAAGAAAATGTGGTATTTATACACAATGGAATTTTACTCACCCATGAAGAAGAATAAAATCTTATCATTTGCAGGTAAATTGATGGAACTGGAGAACAACATTCTGAGCGAGGTCAGCCAGGCTCAGAAGACCAAAAATCGTATGTTCTCCCTCATATGCGGACTTTAGGTCTAGGGCAAATGCAGTAATGTGGTTGGACTAGGATCACATGACAATGGGAGAGCACATACAGGAGATATAGGAATAGGTAAAAAACCCAAAACATGAAAGCGTTTGATGTCCCCACTCCAGAGGAACTAATACAGAAACCTTAAAGTGACAGTGGTTATCATAAGCAGGGGATCAGGAACCAATGTAAAAAAAAAAAAAAAAAACTGAAGCAAGAGGATATTAATCACTTAAATATCTCTATAACACAAAATGAAATCAAAGAAGCAATAAAGAGTCTCCCAAAAAATGAAAAGTCCAGGACCTGATGGAGTGTCTGCTGAATTCTATCAAACCTTTAAAGAAGAACTAATATCAACTCTCCTTAAACTGTTCCACGAAATAGAAAGGGAAGGAACACTGCCTAACTCATTCTATGAAGCCAGTATTACACTCATCACAAAACCAAACAAAGACCCCTCCAAAAAGGAGAACTATAGGCCAATCTCCTTAATGAACATGGATGCAAAAATCCTCAACAAAATAATGGCAAAGCAAATCCAACAACACACAGAAAGATCATTCACCATGCCCAAGTCAGCTTCATCCCAGGGGTTCAGGGGTGGTTCAAGATACACAAATCTATAAATGTAATTCAGCACATTAATAGAAGCAAAGACAAAACCACTTGATCATATCAATAGATGCAGAAAAAGCCTTTGACAAGATCCAACATCACTTCATGATAAAAGCTCTAAGAAAACTTATCATTCGCAAATAAATGGATGGAACTGGAGAACATCATCTTGAGTGAGGTTAGCCAGGCTCAGAACTCCAAAAATCGTGTGTTCTCCCTCATATGCAAACTTTACATCTAGGGCAAATACAGCAATGTTGTTGGACTTGGGTCACACACTAAGGGAAGAGCACATACGGGAGGAATGGGGATAGGAAGAAAACCGAAAACTTGAAAGTGTTTGATGTCCCCACTGCAAAGGAGCTAATACAGTAACCTTAAAATGACAAATATGGGAAGGTGACCGGGAAGTAGTGAAGAGGTCAGGTAGAGATGAATCAATTCTGGTTGTAACACATTTGTGCATGGAAGCAATGCTAGGAATCTGTCTGTAGGACTATCCTTATCTCAACTAGCAAAAACGCTATGTCTTTCTTATTATTGCTTATGTCTACTCATCAATAAAATTGGAGAAAAGGGCAGAACAGGTTCTGCCTGGAAACAGGGGTGGGGCAGGTAGCAGGGCGGAGAAATGGCCCAAACACTGTATGTACATATGAATAAATGAATATATAAAAAAATAATTAGCACGTATTAATTACAGAGTAATGGGTTTCATTTCATATGTGCATGTAACAAATTTTGAACACGCCCAACCCCCATTCTTTGCTCTCCTCTCCCTACTGTCCCTAATCCCATTCCTCTTCTCTACGTCCCCCTTCTACTTGTATGTCATTCCACGTAAAAGAAAATGTATAAATTGTCTGAGTCTGATTTATTTCATTTAACATGGCAATATGTACTTCCATCCATTTTGTTGCAAAGAACATTAATTTTATTCTTTTTGGTTGGATAATACTCTAGTGTGTGAGTGTGAGTGCATGTGTGTATTCTTTATCCATTCATCTGTTGATGGACACACCTAAGGTGATTCCATAACTTGGCTACTATGAATAGTGCCACAATAAACATGGATGTGCAGGTATCTCTATTGTATGCTGACTTTGATTCCTTTGGGTATAAACGCAAGAATGATACAGTGATTTTGAGGAACCACCAAAAAGACTTCCATAATGGCTAGACTAACATACATTTCCACCAACATTATACAAGGACTCCTCTCCCTTCCCTGTTTCCACTCCCCATCATCACCAGCATTTGCTGTCTTCTTGTCTTTTGATGGTACTGGAGTTTGAATTCATGGCCTCACGTCTGCTAGATAGGCACTCTACCTCTTCTGCCATTCCACCAGCCCTGTTGTTTGTTTTCTTGATAACTATTGTAAGGTGAGACTGAATCTCAATGCCTTTTTGATTTGCATCTCCCCGACAATTAAAGATCTAACAAAAATTATTTTGGGGGCTGGGGCAGTGTATAGTATTGAATTCAAGGCATCTGGCAACCACTCTATCACTTGAGCCATTCCCCCCAACCCTTTTAGCTTTACTTTGTTTTTCTGATAGGGTATCGCTCGTGGTTTTGCACAGACTGACCTCAGACCACAGTCCTCTTACTTCAGAGTAGGGGAGATTACAGGAATGTGCCATTACACCTAGTTTGGTTTTTTGTTGTTTGCTTTTAGGTTTTTGTTTGTTTGTTTGTTTTTGGCAGTACTGGAGTTTAAATTCAGAGCCTTATGCTTGCTAGCTAGGCACTTCACCATCTAATCCATGTCTCCAGCCTTTCTTTAGTTATTTTTCGGATTGGGGGGAGGGGGTCTCACCTTTTGTGCCCGGAGCCAGCCTTGAACTGCAATTCTCCTACCTAAACCTCCCACCTACCTGGGAAAACAGGCATGCCACCACCATGCCTAGTTTATTTTGTTAAGATGGGGTCTTACAAATTTTTTGCCCGGACTTGGCCTCAACTATGATCCTCCTGATCTCTGCCTCCCAAGTAGCTGTGATTATAGGCATGCCTGGCCTAACAGAAAGTGATAAAAACATTTTTTGGTACCAAGTACGGATCTCAAGGATCTCAAATTACCAAAGTAGCAGGAGGGACCATACCTTCCATCCTTCTAGGGAAGTGTTGAGCAGGGTTGTGGTAAATTCCATAATCCGGACCACAACTGTGCATTTGCTGTAGTTGTACTTTTCCTCCTCTTGTGGGCTGGGTGGGCATTGCTGGTTTGGCACTGCTGGCTCGGGGCCAAAGCACTGTTTAGCTGCTGTGATATCATGGGCAGCAATGCTTTCTAAAAAGAAGGCCACTGACTTGAAAAGTGAAGACTGTGCTTCAGTACCTAGAAATAAGTACATAAGTACATAAGCTTCTCTTCTTCATGCCACCAAGATTAACTTAAGATTCCTTCTTCATGTATAGGTATTACAATTTCAGCAATAATTCTACAGTTTTTGAAAGAAGGAAAACAGTTCATAAAAGCTGAATAAAATATCAGCTATTTCTTCTCATTTGAAATTTCAAGATTACAATTCAAACAGAACACAATTTCAGACTCATACAAACAAGTTTAGACTTGTCTAAACAAGGTTAAGTCTTATCATGTTATGGCTCAAATACAAGTGTTTAAACACCTAGTCCCCAGCTATTTGGGGAAGTTCTGAAAACTTCAGGAGGTGGGACTAGCTAGAGGAAGTAGGTCACTAGGGGTGAGTCCTGGACCTTTCTGTCTTGTTCTGTGCCTCCTGAAACACGGTCCCCACTGCCATAATGTGCTGCCCAAGCACATGGGACTAAGCAGTCATGGACTGAACCCTCTGAACACATGAGCCAAAATAAATCCTTTCTCCTTTAAGTTACTCCAGTATTTGTTCACAACAATGCAGAGTCTGACTAACTGAGGTTGTGACTGTCAAACATTACTTGTAAGAGTATGAAGTAATATTGTAATCTGGCAACTCATACTGAAAACTTTAAAAATCATTCATGACAATCTTCACCTCAAGTCACTCCACCAGCCCCTGTTTTGTGATGAGTATTTTCAAGATAGGGTCTTACAAACTATTTGCCTGGATGGCTTCGAACCGAGATCCTCCTCATCTCTGCCGCCCGAGTAGCTTGGATTAGAAGCATGAGCCACCAGCGCCCAGTGCAGAATTGTTTTTAATAATGGAAAAACAGAAACAAATATTCTTCAAAAGAGCAATACAAAGTCAAATTGCAGCCAATGTCTAAGCAGGTATGGATGCACACCAACCATCCAATGGAATCAATTTTCAGATCAACTCCACATAAAACTCATCTGTCTGAACACAATCAAGCTGTTTCTTCTTTCCCACCTCAGGTCTTACCTCAGGTTCACTGAGTTAACATTTTTTCCAAGTAATGATAACAGTTTATTTTAAAATGTCAACATTTACAACACACTGGAAATTATAACTATTTCAATTACTTAAAGCTATTGGGAAAATGTTAGTGGTCAATTTTAAAGTGTAAAAGAAAGGGGTTTGTTTTTGTTTTCTTTTTTGTGCATCACAGGGTATTGAACCCAAGGCCCAAGCACTCTATCACTTTAGCCATGTCTCCACTCCTTTTGTTTTTAGTTTGTTTTTCATACAGGGTCTCCTGCTTTTGCCAGGGCCAATCTTCAACCTCGATCCTGGTACTTCTGCCTCCTGAATAGCTGGGACCACAGGCATGCACCATGGCCAGTTCGTTTCCTGAGATGAAGTCTTGCTAACCTTTTGGCCGAGGTGGCCTTGAGCCTCAATCTTCCTGTGTCTACCTCCCAAGTCGTGGATTACAGGTGGGCACCACCACCCACAAAGAAAGGTTTTTAATGTCCTCCTCCCTCCATGGGGTAAAATAAATTAAGCATTTTTAAATAATACTAAATTACAGTGCACTTACCTGATTTGCTAGTAAGTACGTGATCATTAAAATTACATTAAGCTCTATATACTGAAGAGAGATATCTAGGATGTTCAATTTCTTTTTTGAAAGCAAATTACAAAAATAAATAAATAAATAAAAGCAAATCAAAAGCAAGGCAGAGCAGATCAATTCTGTAATCCTAGCTAGTCAGGAGGCAGAGATCAGAAGGATTGCGATTTGTAGCTAGTATGGGCAAAGCATTCATAAGACCCTATCTCTACTAATGGCAGGGTACAGTGGTAAGTGCCTGTCATCCCAGCTACACAAAGAAACATAAAAAGAAGGATTATAATCTAGGCCTGTCCAGACATAAAGTGAGTCCCCCCTCTCAAAAGTAACAAATGTAAAAAGGGCTGGGAATATGGCTCAAGTGGTAGAGTACATGAATAGCAAGTGTGAGGCCCTAAGTCAACCCCCTAGTACCATACCTCCCCCCGCAAAAAAAACAAATTACAGGTAGGGTGTTGTGACACGTGTCTGTAGTCCCAGCACTTGAAAGGGTGAGGCAGAAGTATCACAAATTGAAGGCTAGCCTGAGCTACAGTAAGCTTCTATCTGAAAAAACAAACAAAAAAAAAGCAAACTACAATAAAACATGTAAAGTACCTGTACGACATACTAGTATTCACATGTAATTATATACATATATTTTCTTTTTATTCAGTAAAGTATGTACAAAAATGAGAAAACATACGCATATAACAATTTGTATGTACAGAAAAAGTTTAGAAGAGTAAACACTAAACTATTCTTAGTTTTCAATCACTGGGAAATGCTCTTAGGGGAGAAGGTGTTGCATGTTTTGCTTCCTATACTTTTTCCTTGTTTAAATTTTCAAAATGAGGACAGGAAGTTTATTAAAACAACAAATTTAAGGTATGCCTTTATACTAGTCAGCTCTCCATTGCTGTGACAAAATATCTGAGAAAAATAACTTAAAGGAGAAAAGATTTATTTTGGCTTACAGTTTTGGGGCATGGTGAAGCAGAGCACCATGGCAGGGAGTGCATGATGGAGCAAAGCTGCTCACGTTATGGTGGCCAGAAAGCAAGTGAAAGGGGCTAGAGATAATATATAGCCCCAAGAATCACTGCTTTCAAGTAGATCCCACCTCCTAAGTTTCTATCGCCTCCCAAAAGCCTATCAAATTATGGACCTATCAGTGGATTAATCCATTGGTGAAGTCAGCCCTCACGGATCCCATCATTTCCCCAAAAGCCCCACCTTTGAACATTGCTTCATTTAGAGGAAAATTCGTATCCAAACTATAACACATTTATAATTGAACACACAAACACACATAAACACTCCCTGTTAGGCTCAGCTCTACTTTATTCAAGCTAAAAATAAAGGTACAATAAATTACTGAATAGAAAAATAAAATGTTGGTCCCTCCCTTACAAATTCCTGTAACATAGACTTCATTTCTGACAGAATTAGAGAAAGAATGACAGCTACTTTAGTAACTCACCACCACTTAGCATTGTAGTAAATACTCCTTAGAAGTCATTTAAATACTAGAACACACTAGACACATGTGGCTCATGCCTGTAATCCTAGCTACCTGGGAGGTAGAGATCAAGAGGATCGTGGTTCAGGGCCGTCCTAGGGCTGGCAGAGTGACTCAAGTGGTAGATGCCTGCCTAACAAGCATGAAGCCCTAGGTTCAAACCCCAGTAGTGCAATAAAAAAATTAAATAAACAAATAGAACATAATCCAAGTGTCAAGTCTGAAATTCAGCCCATGGGAAAGAGACTTATAAGAAGCCTAGCTGAAGAACCCGAAGCAGAGGACATATCTACTGAATGACAAGGGGCCCCACCTCCATCTGCAAGAGCTACCTCATGGGTCCCACTAAGAATAGAAGCTTGAAGGATAGAGCTTACTTACTTCCTTTCCCCCAGCATGGGCTAAGACCACACAAAGCATTCCACCCTGGATCCTATCATACGCTATGATTAAAAAGGAAAAGGCTAAGGATGTAGCTCAGTGGTTGAGTGCTTACCTAGAATGCACAAGGTCCTGGGTTCAATTCCCAGCATATCCAAAAAGAAAAAAAAAAAAAAAAAGCGGAAGTAATGTGAAAATTTAAGAAAAACCAAGGCACTATACAGAAACTTGGAGTAACATCACAGAGCCTTTCATCATGATGAGCTGTTCTAACATAATGCATTCAAATAAAAATCTCCAAAGGGAATTTTATTAAAGGGTCGTCTTGTGAACAGGGCTTTAAAATTCAAGGGCTGGGAACATAGTTCAGTGGTAGAGCATTATCTAGCATGCACCAAGGCCTAGGTTCAATCCCTGGCACAGGAAGAAAACATAAAAAGCAAAACCTTTGGACAGGTTTGTGTAGGCTCCCCTTTGTCATATCCCACTCCTCACTGCGATATTAGATGATGTTATAATTTATGATAAATGTCCTCCCACAGACTCAGGTGTTAAAGGCTTTGTTGCCAGCTTGTGGTACTGTTAGAGGTGGTGAAACCCTGTAGGAGGCAGGGCCAAGTGGAAGGATGCTAGGTCATAGGGGTATGCCCTTGCAGGGGATATTGGGATCCTGACACCTCTCAGCCTCTTTATTTACTAACTGCCATGAGATCACCAGCTTTCTCCAGCACGTGCTTTTGCCATGAGAGGATTACCACAGGCCCAAAAACAAGGTCAACGGTGAACTGAAACCTCCAAAATTGTGAGTCAGAATAAACCTCTCCTCCTTTTAAGTCGCAAATATTTTTCTTACTCTGTGTCTTGGCGTTTCATTTTCACAAGAATGTATTTTGGAAAACAAAAGCTTATAATTTTAATAAAGTTAAATATATTTCTGTTGTCAAAAAAAAAAAGTTTAATACCTCGGGTATTCTCTCATAGCACTAGAAAGCTAACAGAAGAGAATGAAGGTAAAGCTTTTCGCACAGCACTGTGAGTAATGAGCGTCTGTAAATCCACGTTGTTAATGTTACTCTGACGTGGCAGTAAGGTGTCCACCTGGGACAGTTCTCAGCAGAACTGGGCAATGCTAACTTAAGGATAAGTTTTGAACAGGTGTAGTGGCTCACCCCATACTCCCAGCACTCAAGAGAGTCCAAGACAGCATGTGCTGCACAGTAAAACCCTGTCTCCAAAGACCTCCCCGCCCCGACACGCAGGGTAAGTTTTGCCTACCTAGGACTTCACGCACTTCCACAGTTTTCCCCTGGATGAACGTGTTATAGCACTCCAGTGCAGCCAGAAGCAGGTCCAGCCACTGAAGGACAGCTCTCAGACTGAATGGCCCTTGCAAATGGAAGAGGGTTGGCTGAGCAAGGATACCAGCTGGCTGGTCACAGCTGCTACCTCCCCCCTCGAATGTGTTTATGAGAAAAGAAGTGTCTTCTTCCTTGATAACATCTTTCAGCCATAAAGAAGGGGATTTGTTGCCTTAAAAGAGAAAAAAGATTAAAGCATACATATAAATAACTTCCCTATAATTAGACTTCTTTTAATCTAATCACTGTACGTAAGTATAATTTATTTTATAACGGCATTCATAAGTTGTTTCACTATAGTTGCTGCCAAGAAGGTGTTTCCACCAAAGCCACTCTTCTCAGTTTCTGTAAACATTATAAAAATAATATCTGGAATAGTTATAAACTAATTCCCTATTCCTACCTTTTTCTTTTTATGTTGCAAAAGAACACCATGGTCCTCGGGTTCTAATGCTGGTTATGCTGCTCAAAGTCATGGAAACCTGGCCTATGTTTCAGTTTCCTCATTCACAAACAAGAATAATAACATCTACCTCCTGGGTTAGCACAAAGATTAAATGAACTAAAGTAGCCAATATTTGAGCACGTGTTTATTAATCTATATTCACATAGAGACAGAGTCTTGCTGTATTGCCCACGCTGGCCTCAAATGCCCGGGCTCAAATGATCCTCTTGCCTCAGCCTCCCAAGCTGGCTGAATGTCCACTACAAAGAGCTGCGAACATATGCTCAGAACGGTATCTATCACACGCTAAGTGCAGTGACTGTGAAATAAACGAACTCAATGACTTGCTTTTTACAAGATATTTTCTTTTAGATATTAAAACTTTTCTTAAATCAAAGGAAGAAACACGTAAAATATATTTTGTAAGCTCTGAAATCAGTAACTATGAGAAGATTAAATCATTCTGCCTTTAACAAATTTAGAGAACAATCCAAAATAATGCATAAAGCAAAATACATAGTATACAACATTATAATTAGTCTAAAGTATAACAAAATTCAGAATTCTTCTAAGTTTCAGAAGCACAGAAACACATAAATTAATTTTTATTCTTGTCCCATGAAAACAAAGCCCAGACTAGTAGAACTCTAAACCATGTCTTGTTCAGTAATGAGTAACCATCCTGCTCACAGACACACACCACATACAGTGTGTCCTGGCTCTGGACTGGTGCCTACTGTACCAAGGGGGAAAGCTGGGGCCTGTCCCAACCTGCGCATTATTTCACTACCTTAATCTTTTGAATCCTACTGTATGTAATGCTGGGGATCAACCCAAGTCCTTGTGTATGCTAAGCATGTACTCCACTACTAGGTTATATCCCCAGTGCCTAATATTTGTAATATTCATTAAGTAAGTTAACTGCAATGGTCACTGAACTCTTCTTTACTACACTTGAATGGGATAGAAAAGCAAAACTGACTAACATCAGAATAGTATTTTTCTTTCCTTCTACAGATTTAAAGATGTACAAATCTGTAACGTACAATCATAATTTATCACCTGTCATACAAATCAGAAATGATTACTATACATGTTTTTGTATTTATTAGAAGCACTAACATTCATTTAAATAACAGATCAAACTCAGAGCAAATGCTCTACCAGTTGAGCCATTCTGACAGCCCTACAGATCATGTTTTTAGTAAGTCTGCATATCTAAGCTGCTAGCAAATCTCATCATTTCATAGAATGGAAAGATCAACATACCTGGGAGTAAAGGAACAAATTTATAAAAGAGTTCTATGGACTTGTGTCGACATTCTGTCTGGGGCCTTCCACAGCGAGCAAAAAGCCACTTGACCAGATCAAATAAACACAATGATGCCGATGGTGGGAATCCTCTGAGTGGAGAGGACACACTGGCATTAATACACTGTCCAACATTCAACAGTTAGAAATCAGAAACTCAGTTTTACTACACTGAAACATGCAGAAACCTCATCTAAAAGGAATTTGATTCATTTTTAATGTATTATCACTAATATGCAATCAAAACATCACTAATTTCACTTTTTTTTTGTGGTGCTAGGGATTGAACCCAGGACTTTGCATTGCTAGGCAAGTACTCTGACTACTGAGATATGCCCAACCTTCTTTGGTTTTCAGTTGTTTTTTAATTTTGTATCTGAGGAAAAATTTAAAAATATGTCTTAACAGAACAGCACCAAGTATTTTATTGTTTCCTTTTCAATGTGCCTTAAATGACCTAAAGCAGCATTTCTCAAAGTGTGGTCCCTGAACCAGCTGTATCAGCATCATGTGTGAACTAGTTTATATAAGTAAATGTGTGTGTGTGTGTATATATATATATATATACATATATATATATATACATATATATATATATATATTACATACTCCCCTTCTTTGATCTCAAGCTATTCTCATATATGCTAACATCTGAGAACCTACTATATAAAGAGATGCCATAAGTCAATAGAGGAATCTGAAGGAAACAATTTTATTTGTTTGTTTGTTTGTTTGTGACTATGTTGCTTAAGCTAGTCTCACACTTAGCAATCCTCCTGCCTTAGCCTTCCAAGTAGCTGGGATTATAGATATGTGCCACCATGCCCAGCTGAATCTATTTTGAAATAGAGAAATTATTAACATCCACTCTACATAGGACAATGCTTGTCCAGAATGGTGGCCGTCAGCATAGACACCAGAGTTCCCCAGATTACAGAGATTTGGAGGTAGGGAGGGGAAGCTGATGCAGGGCACCCCTACCCTGTCTTAAGAATGAAGAACTGCTGGGATGGAAATGAGAACGATGACCAGAAACCACTGGCCAATACCCAACCTGGCTATGAGCAGCTTCCTTTCATAATGCTATAACTCCACATTTGCCAAAATTCTACTATTTCAACATTTAGTTCTTATACTTCAAAATTTATTGCATATTCTAGCCAATTAATTTCTCACCAAAACTGCATTCAAAATCAGTACTGGTAAAATAAAATGTTTCACTTTCAAAACTAAATTTGAATTTGGATCTACTAGTTTAACAAAGATTAAATTATCTTATATCTTAAACCAAGCATTTTCAAACACAGAGATCTTTAACTACTTTGGAAAATTGACACATGCATCCTGAGTTGTCCTTGATCAGCTAAGAATCAGTTTTCTGTTAGGAGGAAATAAATGGAAAAGGAAGCAATATCACATACTGTGGCAAACGTCGTTTTTTTGCTTTGTTTAAAGAAACATGCTTCTTTTCAATGATGCGTCTTAGGTGATCAATGGCATCACAACACTGCCGAATTGTACCTGTTTTCCAGTAACAAAATAGGTTGCCAAAGAAAAACATATAGCTGATTAACACTGTTGACCTAATTTTGTGATTACAAAGGTAATATTATAAACTTAATATTGCTTCATCCCTCCAGATACAAACTTTAAATAATTACATTTCATGTCCAAAAACAAAGCCCAGATTTCAGACCTGAAGGTAGGACAGCACATGCGCATATGGACATACACAATGCCACATCCAACTAGAAACTGCACCACCAGCGCTGTCAGCAGCCACACAGCACAGGCTCACATGCCTGACTGGAGAACAAAGATACTTAGAAGCTATCACAAAAACTTAGGCCAGAGCCTTTGTATAGCAATTCAAGGCTATTCATTAAGGGGTGTAAGTTCCTTGATCCCCATTCCCTTCTTGTGTAGGATAACTATATTATAGATTAATAATATAGCTACTGTATGAGAATAGAACTAACTACCCAGAGAGTCCAGAATTATTTAAAGATGAAGAAAGGGTGCACAATGACCTCTGTCACCAAGAAAAAGGTTTTTTTTCTGTGTATTGGGGTTGTCGGGGAGTATAGAGGAGTGCTGAGGATCAAACCCAGGGCCTGGAACATGGTAATGATTTGAGAAAGTAAAATTTCGCTTGTTGAGAAAATTCATGTACATGGGAAATCAAGATAAACAAATCAAATTTAGGCTAAGGCAAGAGCTAAAGCATTTCTGCCCTTCGTAGACTATCAGCATAAAAGGTAACAGAACTCAGTCTTTTGTTTTAAGAAATAAACAGAAACCAAGATATGAATAAGTGAAAGTGAAGTACTGCCAACCTCAGTGACGCTCCTGATGCTGACCTCCATGTCCTGACTGTACCAAGTTACAGGACCAACAGAGATCTGTATCTAGAAAGTCTAGCTCAGAAGTTCTATGAAGTTCCTAATAGTTTCTGGACAGAATTTAGCTGTTAAGACTCTCTTAGCTACTTTAGTTCACTTTAGACTTACTACCTTTTTAATATTCCTTAATCATGCTGGAATACCTTTATCACAATTTTGCAATGAGATCTACTTTCTCAATTATTGTGAGTTTGAAAACACCAGCCACATCTCAGTGGTTATTGCATACCACTCTCTTCGGCACTATGAATCTACATTTTCACAATTCATGCCATTGCAGTCACTGACTGGCTGTACTGCCCACCTGCCCCGGGTAGGATCTTTCACCAACAAGGGGTCAAGTGCCATGGCTTCCAGGAGCATAGAGGAATCTTGGGGCATGAGGACACAAAGAAAGCCTTTTACAAACTGGATCTGAGGTGTGGGAGCTGGGGAGAGGAAGGGAGATTATCTTTCCTTCACATTTATCAGATTAATTCAAGGGAGACATAAAAAAAGGTGGAGTGGCTCAAGAGGTAGAGTGCCTGCCTAGCAAACGTGAGGCCCTGAGTTCAAACCCCAGAACCACCCAAAAAAGTTTGGGGGGGTTGGGCGGAATGTGGTACAAACAATGTATACATGTAAGTAAATGTAAAAACGATAAAATAAAAGGAAAAAGAAAGAAAATGAGACCTTACGAGAGAATCACCTGAGTGGAAAAACTCTTAAGACCTTAAGGTAAACAGCATGAACATATAAACAAAACTGGATAGCACATACCTAAGGATTTCTCATCTGCATGTGCCAGGGCCAGACTTTCCATATATATCACCAAGGTTTCAAACACAAACTGTTCTACCAGGGACTCTTCTTCCCTGCAAAATTAAGAATATTAAACCTTACACCTAAGAAAACAATAAAGCAAATATTAAATGAATCTTTTCATTTAAAAAAAAAAAAACTTGAAAAATAACCTAAAGTATTCCTCAGAGACTACTACTTCCTCAAAAGCAGACTAACATCTAAGATAGTATCAATAAAGAAGCAGAAATGGCTTTTCCCCATGTACACATGATCTTTGCTCCTCCTCCACTTCTCTCTGTAAGACTATTCTTGGCTACATAACTTCTGAACCACTGTTCTGACCACACTTTACACAGCTCATTAAAATTTGGTGCAGGAGAAAAGAAGTTCTGACCATATGCACGTTCTCTCCAGCTACCCAAAAATAAGACAGCATCAAAAGTAAACTCTTGGGTTGGTGGAGTAGCTGAAGTGGTAGAGCGCCTGCATGTCAGGTGTGAGAACGAGTTCAAACCCTAGTAACATCAAAATAAATAAATAACCAGTTCATTTTGGGCTGGTGGAGTGGCTCAAGTGGTAGAGAGCCTGCCTAGCAAGCATAAGGCCCTGAGTTCAAACGCCAAAACTGCCAAGCAAAAGAGAAAAGTAAACTCTAAGCCTTTTTACAAACATAGCCGATAAATGCAAATAATTCTGTTAATGTCTGTGGAACATTAATTAACAGCCATGCATAACTACATGTCAGTCAATGACAGAACACATATGCAACAGTGGTCCCATAAGACTACAGTGCCAAGTCACATCACAGATATCATAGTTTGGGTAAGAACACTCTATGATGTTCATACAATGATGAAATCACCTAAGGTAGTTTTTAGAGAATAGAACCCTGTCATTAAGTGATGTGTAACTGTGTAGAGTAAACTCATGGGTGGTCCCAAGCACCAAGGGCTAGTCACAGAGGCCAGATCTCTCACTGAGAAATGTATTTGTAAATGACAGGACAGTAAATGATTAAGTATAAAATTCATAACAATTCTCTTAACAGGACAGAATTCTCAGAAGAGTTCATAGAAAACTAAAAGTTCTGGTGGAGTCTTCATTCCCTGGCCATGACTATGGAACAAGAGAAGCAGAACAAGGCACAGAGAATGAAGATGATTTAGAACAAGAACTACAAGCTGGTGTTTGGATTAGCAGGAGTACTATCACAATTTTTTTTTTTTTCAAAAATTTGAAGTCCAAGAAGGAACTTTCAGGGACCTTGCTTTCAAGGTTCTATAAACCCCATGCTTTTCACACCCTCTCTCACCCTAAGAAAAAACGATGTTTCCAATAAACAAAACCAGTATGGATAAAGTCACAGAGTTAAGATGAGAAAAAACTGGGATCAGCAAAGCTGGGAGAAAAGGTCTTTGCAGAACATTTTTTCTTTCTTTTTTTTTTTTTTCTTCAGTTCTGGAGGCTGAACCCAGGGCCTTATGAGAGCTAGGCAAGTATTCTTACCACTTGAGCCATGCCCCCAGCCTATTTTTTTGGTGGTTGTTTGTATTTTGTTTCAGAGATAAGGTCTCACTAGCCTAGGCTGGCCTGGAACTCACGATCCTCCTGCCTCTGCCTCCTGAGTAGCTGGGATTTCAGGTGTGTGCGACCACACTCAGAATTGGAGGAACAATTTGTGAAAGAACTACAAACATCATTATAGTTAAACAGGGGAGGAATTGCAAGACCAGGCTAAGTTTAATAGCTTTTATATTGGACACCAGTAAGGCAGTAAAGTGTTTAGATAGAGAGATATGACATGACAAAAGGAGATTCTAAACTGGGCCCTCAAAAGAAAGGTGTGCAAGATGATTCATTAGCACACAAAAAGGAAATGTCAGAACTTCTATTTATAGGATTCAGCATGCAAGATCTCAAAACTCTCTCATATACCCTTTCTCAAAAAGCCATTTGAAGGGATGGGAGTGTACCTCAAGTGGTAGAGCACTGGCTTAGCAAACATGAGGCTCTGAGTTTAACACCCAGTACTGCCAAAAAACAACAAACAAAAAATGTGACTTTCTTGAAATATCGAAAAGGTAATGATAGGCAAAGGAAATAACACAGGAAAGAAGTAAAGGGATGCCCAAAAGCATAGCCACAGAGACCCAAGGAGATAGGTGTGCACCACACAAAGTAGGCAAGCAGGGACTGAGGAAGAAACACGTTGACAGCTTGGTTCCTTCAGTCTAGACAGAATGCCCAGGTTAGCCAGCGCAAGTTCATTTTTGAGTCTGGTTTAACCATGACCAGGTGTCCAAGTTCTACCTAGATCAGCCAATTATGTTCATTTATCCACAGGAGTATTCTGCTTTGACCACTCTCAGCCGAGAGGCACTTGGATAACGTGTCCCCCGCCAGACCTCAGATGTTGGTCCACTTCATAGCCATCTCGAGAGCCCTGCCTCCCGTAAGTGACTATGGACCCCACGAGCCAACTCCTAAGGGCTCCTGCAATTCCTAAGGAAAGCTGAAGTCAGGCTATGCTCAGCTTACAATCTTCAGAGCCCTCAACCTAACAGTGGAAAGACTGCACTTGCCTCTCATAACTGGCTTGTGCTTACTATCTACTTTCCAAAATGCAAGAATATATTGTTTAGGGATACATGAATAGATAATAAAACTGGGAAGAAAAGAAGGAAACAATAACATAAAAGTCAGGATTACCTCTTGACAGTGAGAGGAAGTTTCTAGAATACTTGTAACAATCTACTTCTTAACCTAGGGGTGGACATGCAGCAACTTGCTTAACTTGTTTTGCTATTATGTATTCTGTAAGTTAACATCTATTCTGCACATAACAGTTTCAAATTTTAAAAAGCTGAAAAATAAAATAACATATGGCTTTAAACTCTTGTCAATTCTCATATAAACACATATATAGATTCCTACCCATCTATCTTATTTTTAATCATTGATTTCCTGTTCTTCCAGCTGCCCCTTTCTGAGAGAAGCTATTCTGACCAAAGTGAGATTCTCATTGTAAGATTACTAAAGTGACCTATTATTAGTAATTACTACTAACATCACTAATTTCAAACATATTATATTTATCTATGTGATTATCTATTTCTCTCTCTGAAATGTAGGTCTTATGAAGGGTTGTAACTTTTTTTGCAGCATTTGGCACAGTGCCTGACACATGATAGTCTAAAAAGTGATGCTGAATAAAGGAATGAACAAACACCACTCACCCTACCTTTCATCACTATCATTTTCTTGGACTTCTGAAACAACCTCTTCACTGTGTCCTGGTCTTCAGTCTTGTCTCACTTAGACCCACTCTCCATGCAGCAAGCAGCAGACAAATTTAGGAGGAAATCTAACTATCACTCCCCGCTCCCATGACTCCAGGGACTCAGCACTAGAGTGACACTCCTACCAGCAGAAGTGTGCAAAGTTCTTCTCACCAACTTCACTACCCAAACCTCAAATGCTAAAGCCTGAGAGTAACAAATGTCTTTACTGCTTCAGATGACAGCCTCCCCGGCTTTTTTTATCTCTACTTTATACCTTTGATCTGAAATACATTAGCTAATTTACATTCATTCTTTATGTCCCACCATTGAAAGGTGTTGCCTCATCTACTCAAAATGGATTAGATACGCCTCCTGTGTCCAAGACTCTGCACATGTGCCTTCTGCTGCATTCACAAAACTGCTGCAGTATTATGTCTGCATATATTTCTCAGTAGTTTCTAAGGTTCATTTTTTGGGGATCAGTATTGGGGTTTGAACTCCGAGCCTCATGTTTGCAAGATAGGTCCTCTACCACTTGAGCCACACCTCCAACCCTTTTCTGTTTTAGTGATTTTTCAGGTAGGGTTTTGTGTAACTGCCCAGGGGGAAGCCTTAGACCATGATCTGCCTACCTACAACCTCCCTTATACATAGGATCAGAGGTACACACCACCATACCTGACTTATTGGTTGAGATGGAGTTTCACTAACTTATGCCCAGGCTGGCCTCAAACTTAAATCCTCTTGATCTCACTCTCCCGTGGTAGCTGGAATTATAGGCCTGAGACACTGTGCCCAGCTATTTCTAAGCTTACTGAATGCAAACTGAATTGTAGTTAATTTTTTAAACCTCACAATACAACACAGCATCCAGCACACAATTACTTAATAAATTTGTGACATACAAATACATGGAGTTAAAGGGTAAGTCACTTATCAAAATCACCACAAAAAGATTCAAGAGTGTCATTTGCATTCTCCCATCATGTGACTTACATACCTGAATTCCTTGTAGATGTTATTAAAAGCAAGTGCTGCTCCTAACCTCTTAAAGGCATTGGGATGAAGTGCAAAACTATACAGCCGCTTGAAAAGTGATTTGGTGTTGATTGGACTCTTTTCCTGCTGCTGTGGTGTTGTTTGTTTAATGGACCATTTGAGGAATTCTCGAATACAGTGACCACAAAAATCTCTTAAAGTACTGTCAATGGGGTCTACAATACCATCCTGAAACAACACAAAGACACTTTTATTGTAAATACGTTTATGTCCATAAAATAACAACTGAATACCATTGGTCTGCCTCTGAGCCTAACTAGAGTATGCTACAAATACTGTTAACATTAGTCAAGAGAAAATAAGCACCAGGAAATCTAATATGATTACATAGAATCTACCCTCAAATAGTAATTCCCTTTTAACATAAGGAAAATGCTATCTTTTAAACAGTTAAGAAAAAGGAGAAAATACTACAGTAGTTTGAGTTTGTCTTCCAAAAGCATGTGCTGAAAACATAATTTCTAGGCTAGATATGGTAGTTTAATGCCTTTAATTGCAGCTACAGCAGAGGGGGAGATCAGGCAGATTGCAATTTGAAGCTAGCCTGGACAAAAACTTAGTGAAATCCCCATCTCAAAAAAAAAATCAGGGTGCAGTGGCACATACCTGTCTTAGCTACATGAAAGGCTTAAGTAGGAGGATCGTGTTCTAGGTCAGCCCAGACCAAAAAAAAAAAAAGTGAGACCCTACCTGAAAAATAACTAAAGCAAAAAAGGCTGGAGGCATGACTCAAGTGACAGAGTGCCTGTCTAACAAGCACAAAGCCCTAAGTTCAAACCCCAGTACCACTAAAAAACAAACTAACAAAAAAACCTATAACCTCTAAAATTCTTATATTGATGGATTTGGAAGTGAGATCTTTGAGAGGTGATTAGGATTAGATAAGGTCACTGGGTGGAACCCCCATAATGGCATTATTGGCTTTATAAGAAGAGCCCTGAGCTTGCACATTCATGCCCTCTCTCTAGGGCATCACCTCCAGTTGACATCTTCCACTAAGTTGATATAGCAAAGAAGGTCCTTGCCAAATACTGACACCTTGATACCAGATCTCCCAGCTTCCAGAACCATGAGCTAAATAAACCTCTATTCTTTATAACTTTACCAGTCTGTGGTATTCATGTACAGCATCAGGAAACATAATAAGATAAAGTGCATAGGCTGATGTTAGGTAAGCAACAACTCTCTCTAGGAAACCTTTGGTTCTCCTTCACTGCAAAGCTGTGCTACCAAGTTCACATTTCTTTGCCTCTCCTGTCCTCAACCATCTTATTTTACTTTATCATCGCTGTATCCATTTCTTTCTGAAATATTCACTTAAGCTATCTTCAAGGATCAAAGAGGGAAAAGAGCTAAGACAGAAACTTCAGAATTGGAATATTAGAGGAAATTCACCCACAAGTTAAATATAATTTTAACTGTACTCATTATAGGTAGGAGTTCCTGGTAGACAATTCAGGAAATTAAACTATAGAAATAATACTATCACCATTCTAATAAAAATCATTCAGTGACCCTCCACCGCCTATAACATGGCATAGGATTGGGGTGACACCAAGAATGAAAGGAGGCTCTCATTAATAACTACACTGCCTGACTGCTCTGGGTTAAGTTGGGATGTGTGGCCACTCGACATATCTCACACATCAAAACCTGAAATAAACCCTTATCCTTACAAATACATCACAGACATAATGCCGCCTTTTCTTCTCTCTGCATGCTCTTGTCAACTCCCGTTTCTTCTAGCTCACATCAAACTTAATGAAAAAATGGGACACAAATGCAAACTGGAATTAATTTGCAAGAACACACAAGTAAAGGATGTTTGCTTGGACAAATTCACTATGTGTTTAACAAGCTTTTGATCCTAAAGTGAATATGCATCCAAAAAGAAAAAGCCTGGTAAAACCACAGAACATGACATTTATTGGTATCAAATTACATTTGCACAAGTTCAAAATTATAATAAAATACATGTCAAAAACACTACAGGTTAGCTGACCTAATTGTCTCTGTCCTCAGTGTGCCAGTGACCAAATACTAACAATTCTACCTCTACTATCAAAGGAGTTCTACATGAAAGGTAAACTGCTGTTTCTACATCCCTTCTGCTGTTGAATGTGAATATAAGAGAAAACTGGATAAGTTCAAATTTTTCTATTATTCTTAAGTATTTTACTATGGGTATTACAAAAAAGAAAAGAGCTACAGTAACTCTGAAAAATCAAAGAACATTCTTAATTCTCCAACCCTCAACACACACATTCTCTGTCTCCTCCCCCACCACACACTTAATGTACATAAAATTTATCAAATTTACAAATGTCCTCCCAGAAAGCAGAACAAAAAACACATGTGAATTCTTAGTAACAAATATTTTTAACAATATCACTTAAGTAAATAAATATGGATTGTGCCTATTAAGATGGCATTCCACAAATGAAACAAAAGAAAAAAAGATGATCCAGACACAGTCTATACTTTGGCATTTTAACAGCAAACTTTTCCTAAAGATCTAAATACACATTAAATTTAACTGATCAATGGAAATAGTCAGAAAAGAATCAAATACAACTCACCAATATGGTTTCTAGCAAGGCAACAGTATCCTGACTTTCAAATTTCTTATTGTTAGTGAACCAGTGAATCAGCTGCATAACAAGTGGCTCATAGAGTTGCCTTGTCACCTAAAGAAATAATACTCTTGGAGTTCATTTCCTTTGTGGTAAATTTACATGAGAAATTAGACATTTAAACAATGAGACATAAAGAAGAAAAACTGCTGCTGTTATTACATTCGATTCCTTTTTTTTCCTCTCCTTTTATTGTTTTTACATTTACTTATGTATGTACACATTGTTTGTGCTTCTCCCCCAACCCCCACCCCCACTGCTTCCAGGCAGAATCTGTTTTACCCTCTTCTTCTCTGAGATAATAAGAAAGACATATCGTTTTTGCTAGTTTGGGACAAAGATAGCTATACAGAGAGATTCCTAGCACTGCTTCCACACACTTATGTATTGCAACCCACATTGGTTCATTTCTACCAGACCTCTTCTCTACTTCCTGCTTCCCTTCCCATAGTGGCCTCTGCTAATTTAAGATTACTTTATTCGCTCCTCAAGAGAGGACACATCAACCACATTCAAGTTTTAGGTTTCCTTTCCTTTCCATATTTCTACCATGTGTGTTCTTTCCTTAGTGTGTGACCCATGTCCAATAATATTACTGCATTTGATGTCCAATAATATAATCCACATATGAGGGAGATCATGAGATTTTTGGCCTTCTAACCCTGGCTAACTTCTCTTAAGACGATGTTCTCTAGTTCCATCCACTTGCTTGCAAATGATAAAATTTCATTCTTTGTGGCTGAGTAAAATTCTGTTGTGTATAAATACCACATTTTCTTGACCCATTCGTCAGTTGTGGGGCATCTTGGCTGTTTGCATAGCTTGGGTATTGTAATTAGTACTATAATAAACATGGGTGTGCCGGTGCTTTTATAATTTGAGTCACATTCCTTCAGGGATATCCCTAGGAGTGGTACTGCTGGATCATATGGCAGATCTATATTTAGTTTTTTAAGAAGCCTCCATATTGTTTTCCAAAGTGGTTGTACTAGCTTACATTCCCACCACCAGTGTATAAGGGTTACTCTCCCCCCCAACTCCCTGCATCCTCTCCAGCATTTAGTGGTGGGAGTGTTCTTGATGATAGCTATTCTAACAGGGGTGAGGTGGAATCTTAGTGTGGTTTTGATCTGCATTTCCTTTATGGCCAGGTATGGTGAGCATTTTTTCATGTGTTTTTGGCCATTTGGATTTCTTCCTTAGAAAAAGTTCTGTTTAGTTCAGTTGCCCATTTCTTTATTGGTCCACTGATTTTGGGGGAGTTTAGTTTTTTGAGCTCTCTGTATAATCTGGCTATCAATCCTTTGTCTGACGTATAGCTAGCAAATATTTTCTCCCACTCTGTGGGTGGTCTCTTCAATTTAGAGACCATTTCTTTTGTCTTGCAGAAGCTTTTTAGTTTTATGAAGTCCCATTTGTCCATCCTTTCTCTTAGTTGCTGGGCTGATAGAGTCCTAATGAGGAAGTCGTTGCCTATTCCTATTATTTCCAGGGTATTCCCTACTCTTTAATGTACTAACTACAAGATTTTGGGTCTGATATTAAGGTTTGTAATCCACTTTGAGTTGATATTAATACAAGGTGACAGACATGGATCTAGTTTCAGTTTTCTGCAGACAGACAGCCACTATTCCCAGCAACATTTGTTGAAGAGGTTGTCTTTTCTCCATCATATGTTTTTGGCGCCTTTGTCAAAGATAAGGCATAGCTGTATGGATTCACATCTGGGTTTTCTGTTCTCTTCCACTGGTCTTCATTATCTGTTTTTGTGCTAGTACCATCCTGTTTTTATCACTATGGTTGAAGTCCAGGGTTCCTCTGAGATGAAGTCAACTTGGTGGTGCTGAATGATCTTTCTGATATGTTGTCAGATTCAGTTTACCATTATTTTATTGAGGACTTTTGCATCGATGTTCATTAAGGATATTGGCCTGTAGTTCTTCTTTTTGGATGTGTCCTTGTCCAGTTTTGGGAAGAGTATAATACTGGCTTCATAGAATGAGTTGGGCAGTGTTCCTTCCTCTTCTATTTCATGGAAAAGTTTAAGGAGTGTTGATATTAGCTCTTCTTTGACGGTCTGGTAGAATTCAGCTGAGAATCCGTCCTGGACTTTTCTTTTTTGGGATACTCTTCATTGCTGCTTCCATTTCACTAGGTGTTATAGATCTGTCTAGGTGGTTAATATCTTCTTGATTCAGTTTTGGATGGTCATAAGTATCCAGAAATCTGTCCATTTTTTCAAGCTTTTCCAATTTATTGGAATATAGGTTCTCAAAGTAGTCTCTGATGATTCCTTAGCATTTGTTGTTATCTTTCCTTTTTTGTTTCTGGTTTTACTAATTTGGGTCTTTCCCCTCCTCATTTTAGTCAGATATCATTAGTTTCCTTTTTTTAGTTCAATTCCATGATGAACATATTCTTTTTTGGTTTTGGCAATACTGGGTTTAAACTCAGGGCCTCAGGTTTACCAAGCTGATGATCTACCACTTGAGCCACAACCCAAGCCCCATAATGAACATATTGTAACTTCTTCTCTATTTCCTAAGAGTCCAGTAAAGAAAAATATGCATACTAATGTTCACTGTTCCTCTAATTAGGAGGGTAATATGGGGTAGATTTTGTTGGACTTTTAATATTCATCTTTGCTTATGTGATCTTTATTGTTTGTTTTTTGAAATACTGCCTCACTAAGTTGACCAGGCCAATCTCAAACTTGTGATCTTCCAGTCTCAGCCACCCAAGTGCTAAGATTACAAGAGTATTCTGCCGTGTCCATTTTATTAATTTTATCTTAAACATACAGATGAAGTAGTCAGTATTATAGACAGACTATCATTCAACTACAAAGCAAATAATGACCCTGTGTTTCTCCACCCCAGGTCTGCCACCCATGTGGTGACAAAACAAAAGCCAGATCAATGTTCTATACAAACAGGCTTCAAATGATATGCCATTCACTTGCAGACCAAGTGCAAAGCCCTGAGTCCAAACCCCAGTACTGCCAAAAGAAAATTTAAAAATCCAGTCTATGCCATAGAAGAGAAACACAGAACAACAGGTTTAATCTTGTTATACGCAGGATAGAGGGCAGCTGTCTCTTCCATCACTGCCTACTCCCAACTACTGAGCAATACTTCCAGCGCTCAGGCCATAGTGTAAGGGAGCATTGATGCTTCACATAGAGGATGACACCCTTCATCATACCAAGATAGTATTAAACTGTTCTGGCCCTGGCTGGGCACCAGTGGCTCACACCTGTAATCCTAGTTACTCAGGAGGCAGAGATCAGGAAAATCTTGGTTTGAAGCCTGCCTGGGCAAATAGTTTGCAAAACCCTATCTCAAAACTACCCAACACTAAAAAGGGCTGGTAGAGTGGCTCAAGTGGTAGAGTGACTGCCTAGCAGGCATGAGGCCAAGTTCAAACCCCAGTACCACCACCAAAAAAAAAAACAAACCCTATTCCTAGCTTACTGGGTTGTATTAGCCTTTTGGGCTTCTATGGAGAAAACAGCTACCTCTTAAATATATTTCTCTAGTAAATTTCCACACAATTTTAATTATGGTACATCCTGACACACTACTGGGTTGTATTCATTCACATATATGGCAGAATGTTACATTCTATCTTAAGTGAGTTTTGTGTCTCATTTTCTTTTTTATGCAGGCACCATCATAGTTATCCCACTTCATAAAATGAACTGAGTGGATTTCTATGACTTTCTGCTTTCTTGGCAGCAGCAGAGGATTTGTCCACGAACTCATCAGAAATGGGCCATTTGCCAACATTTCCAATCTCTTCCATGTCTCTTAACCATAGTTGTGTCTTCTTCACTCCCTGTAAGGCTGAGTCCATCCATGAGCGAGGCAACAGATAATCTACTTCAGGTATATAAACTCTCAGTAAGGACAACTAGAACAGAGGTTCCCAAACTCTGTGGTGCATCAAGATCACTGGAAGAGGTTTTAAAAGTCTGATGCCCAGGTCACATCCCTGACCAATTAACTCAGAGTGTTTCATGAATTAACTCAGAGTGTTTGATGTAGCAGCCCAGCAGTAGTGTTTTGGGGTTTTTTTGTTTTGTTTTGTTTTTTTAAGATGCCCAAGTAATTCCAATGTGCAGCAAGCTCTGCTGATCAATGAACAAGACCATACTCTTTTTAGGTTTTGTTAACTGACTCAGATTCAAAATCATGCACTTACCTGATCCACATCACATGCAAGACGAAGCAGCACAGGAAAAGTATGTTTATAGAGCTGGTACATGGGTGGGGTATCCTGACCAGCTTCAGGCATCTGAGAGGCTTTTCCCAACATGAACATAACCATGCTGTGCAACAGTTCACAAGCTGCTACCTAAAACAGTCCAGGAATTCAACAAAGTATAAATTATCATATTCACAATAGAAAAACATTTTTGAAATGTTTTACTCAATTTAGCCACTTAAGAAGAAACACTTTTATTGCTGATAACTACCATGTAATTCAAATATAAACTAACTGGAAGTAATACTTCTTATCTAAAAGTTAAGGATTGGTATTTAAAAGCCTTAGACATTTGGACTAATATATAGCTAAGAAATATATTTCAATGCTGCCACATTACAGAACTATGTAAACTCACGTCATTTTTAAGCACATTTGTAAACATCAATTTTAGTAAATATATTTTTGGAGCACTTTAGAAACTTACAAATTAACGTTAAAGTTTGAAATTAGCAGTTTCTAATCTCCCTAAGGGAATAATGGAGCACTAACTGATATCACATTCCAATGTCCTTTGTACTGCATTTTCCATTATAAAGAACTTTTGGTATATTAATGCCAGGTTATTATCTATTAAGATGATTTATGTTCAACTTTCATTTATCAGTGACACTTCTGATAAGAAAATATAAAATTAAATGTTAGACTGGCTAAAACACATTATCTATTTCTTAACCAATATATGTTTAAAAACAACACACTCTTGAGTGAAATGAAAAATAAAAGTACTTTAGTTTGTCTATCACTAGATGAGAGAGCCAATTCAGTGACCCGAGGCAAAAATACATCCAGATAAATAACAGGCTTCATCTCTCTGAATGGCACTGCAAAGCTGAGTCTCTTCTCTCTGTCCCAAGCCACACATTTCTTCATCATTTCATCTGAGGATGCAGCTGACAAAAAAGAGGAAGAATGAATGGTTTTCTATTTAGAATCTCCCTAATACCAATTGTCCCACCACCCTTTAGCTAAATCAGAATGCTTTTAAACTTTTAAGTGAAATACTTTATTCATCTTTTTTTAAAAAAAACAAAAATCTTTTATTTGTATACCGAATACATTCTGTTAGGACACAGAAGGTTCTTAGAAATTCTTTTGAAGAAAAAAAATAATACTGATAGCAATACAAGTAAAATTTCTAATACAACCCAGGTGACCAGTCGCTGAAGTCCACTTAAGGAATTACCTTATCTGGTAAGTTATAGTTTAATTTAAACTTGCTTGAGTCATGAGTATTTGGAACTGTCCCCCCAAAATACCACACACATAAAAATAGCCCCAGCAAATGAAAGAGCGTATCATGATTCACTAAATACCTTTAACGGAAAGAAGACTTGACAATTAGAAACAGTTAAATGTTTTTGTTTAAAACACACACACACACACACACACACACACACACACACACACACACCAAGCTAGTGCTCATATTAGAGATGACAGTGTTACTTTTGTTTCAAACATAAAATGAGACATTTAACACTCTATATTTAAATTTTATCTCTTAAGCACAAATAATACACCCTGCCAATTACAGTAAAATGACAAATTTAGTTTTCATTTATCTGGATGATCACTGCAACAGCAAAGTAAGTCTCAGGACCATCATGAAGCTTAAACCTGCAACCAGCCCAGCAGGCATTATTTTCTTGGACCTTGTAAATCTCATACCCATCATGGTTTCCAGGAAGAAGGCTGTAAACAACAGTTTAACATCTTGTTTGTCATTGGATACCCAGTATGCTCCATAGCCAGCCAAAAATCCAAAAAAGAGACCAGCAATCAAAGATGGAACACCACCTCTCCACTTGTATCCCAAAATGCTTCCAAATGTCACAAGGGATGCATAACCAAAACCAACCAGGTCCATTGGTGATGGTGCAAGTCCTTGATTCTCTGAGATTCAGTAGAAAGTGAGCTGGCCATAGGCTGGAGAGGTGGTACTGGCCTCTACCTGGCTGCTGGTCTTCAGACCTTCCCCTTGTTTCCCATAAGTCTCTGCAGCCCCAGCACTCCCCATGCTGGGAAGAGAGAAGTGGGGACCCGGGCGAACGAGTGCAGTACCTGACTCCCTTTATTCATCTTTAAAACACTATTTCTGAATTTAACTTAACTAAAATCATTTTCAAGCAAGTCAAGTAGATCGAAAAACTTAACATTCAAAATTAGTGAGATTTACTTATGGTACTTGGTGAAAATGGTAATTGAACAATATTTTTCTTTAAAATCTCCTCATCAATACAGTTTCCAAATACAGATTCTAACTTCCCAAAGAACTAAAAGTTGCTAGTATATTTAACATCAAATTTGACAAGTACACAGATGAGTTTTTACTAATCAAAAATGTTAGTTCTCATAAAAATCTAAAAATACATACATATTAAGAATCTTGAGTTTAAAAAAAGTTTAAATTTAAATTCCCATGACATAAAGTTTAACAGAAAGGTATCAAATTAGATACTTTTTCAAAATGGAAAACAGACTTAACAAATTAAGCTATACATTGAGTCATTCCAACTACATGGGTATGTTTCATCAAGTGAAATTGTATTCTCTATAATCTTCCTTGAAAATATCATACATATACTATGAACTATAAACATCCAAATAAAAATAAGCATATTTACAGATCAATTTATTTTAAAGGAAAAAATTTACCTGTTACAAGATTTTTATTTATTTGTCCTCCTAGAGATCCAAGCAGTTGTACAACTCTAACTCTTATTTCTTCTAAGGATAGTGCTTCATTCTGAAAATTTATACAATTATATACATGTGATAACTGAGTTAAAAAATTAAAAAGATGATAGGAAAGAAAAAGTATTTTACCGCTCTCCCTATTGTTTATGTCATCTAATGATTAATCAAATCCTACATAGCAGTACTCTTAATTTTACTAGAAATTCATTAAAGAAGTCATGTCTTCCAATTTTTCAGTTAGATGTTCATTTCCTAGGCCAGCAGTTCCAAACACTTAAAGAGGTATCAAGGATCCCCAAAGAGCTTTTGTTTATATGGCTCTTCTTACTTATTAATATTTATGGAATTAGAAATTAAAATTTAAGGGCTAGGTATAGTGGTAGAGTTGCTTGGCTAGCACGCACAAGTCCCTGGGTTAATTACAATGTGGAATGTGAAACCTTATCAATGAACTAACTTTATTATATATTTTGTTACATTAAAATCCATTGGTTTAGTCAGGCACTGGTGGCTCAAGGCTATAATCCTAGCTACTGAGATCCATGAGAATCATGGCTGGAGATCAGCCTGCGAAAACACTTCTCAGGACCCCCATCTCCCATAACCAGAGCAAATGGGACTGGTTGTATGGCTCAAGCAGTAGAGTGCCTGCTTTGCAAGTGCAAGGCCCTGAGTTCAAACCCCAGTTCCCCCCGCCAAAAAAAAATCCATTGGTTTGTCTTTGCACTTTGAATTGTTTTTCCCCATGCTTGATTTGGCAGCATAAGGTATTGCTCATCTGAAACTACTGGTTTACTGGATCAGGCAGAACTTCCAAATGTTGACACATTTCATTGTATATGCAAAAAAATTACATCACCAATTTTATCAAATAAAAAAAAAAGAAAACTCATCGTGATAGTTACAAGTTTTCCCAAATTTTCAGTTAAAAGCTTGAATTTTATCATTATAGTAGATGTGTCAGATGTTCTCCTTGAAGTGGCATGGTTGCTTTGTTCATCTGAAAGAAAATGTCTGTCAAATACCTAATGATTAACCAGGGTGTCTGTCACTTGTTTTTACAAGTAAAAATGGTGTCCATGAAGAAAGTGGCTATTCAAGCTCACAGCTGAAAGCTTCACACAAGTGCTTTTCCTCCAGGTAGCTTCAGGCTTCCCTAGGCAGCAGTCCTGCTTTACACGTGCCCATGGCTCCTATCTCATCTGGCAGAATGTTAAAACACCTGTGCCTATGCACAATCATAAAATGGCTCAAAAAACAAAAACAGTGTTATTCACCATTACCATGGTGCAAATGTCAAAAGTAGTTTTGGACTTGCACCCTAGAATCCCAGGGGTCGAAATTTAGAGAGCCACTACCCTAGGAATAGGCATCATGTTAGATACACAACTATACATAAGCCCACTTTGTGTATGTACAATAAAATTACTAAAAAATTTGGACCATTTCTAATTTCATGCAAATTAGTCAAAAGCTGTCAAAAATAAGGAGATGGGAAAAACTCACCATAGTTTTTAGTATGCTTGCAACATTAAAAGTTTTTCAAATTCTAATTTTTACTTGATAAAAAGATGCATTTAGGAATGAATCACATATTCATTGTTACATACCCATGGTATCTGTACTCTGACTTGCTTACTGATATGAACTAAATACAGGTGACTGGAGGAATAAGCAGGAAAACAAGATGAAGACAAGAAGCCAAACAGTTAACATAGTTTTCATTACTAAAATATGTCAAAATTATTTCTGTATTATACTCTAATATGTATGCAAAAACAACTAACATTTTAAATATTTTTTTACTTTCCTAAACTGATCTCTGCATTATTTAAAGAAAAAGAAAAAAAAAGAAAAGGACTTCTTACTGATGAAATGTTCGTTGTCTTTTTCAGATGCTTTAACACAACTTTATTAAATCCTTTCTGGGCAGCCTGAGAAAGTGCTGACACTTCCCAGTTGTTCTTGGTCTCATCTATTAACAGTAAACAACAATCAGTTTTAAACATCCACTATATATTGTGAAACAGAAACATTAAAATTGTAACTTAAATGATTTAAAAAATTTCTAGGGCTGAGCACAGTGGCTCACATCTGTAATCCCAGCTACTTGAGAGGTAGAGATATGATCACAATTTAATGCCATCCCAGGCAAAACATTAGCAAGACCCTATCTCAAAAAACAAGGTATGGTGGTATATGCCTATAATTCCCACTATGCAGGAGGCAGAGGTAGAAGGATTTTGTCCTAAGGCCAGCAAGAAACACAAGATCCTACCTGAAAAACAAAGTAAAAAAGAGCTCAAGTAGTAGAACACTTACCTAGCAAGTGCAAGGCACTGAGTTCAAATCCTAATACTGCCTCCCAAAAAATTAAGTTTCTAGAACAAAAAATATTCGTACTGGTTGTGTTATTTTTAAATACCACTGTCTACCAAAAGAAACAAGGCTCCTTGGAAAAGTGGCTGATTCTCAGATTCATAAATAAATGCTTTAAGACAACTTTATTAAACCCTTTCTGGGCAGCCTGAGAAAGTGCAGACACTTCCCAGTTGTTCTTGGGCTCAACTATTACCAGTAAGCAAAAACCAATTTTAAACAACACCCACAATATATTGTAAAACAGAAGAGCCATAATCATCTTATGTGCCAGGAGCTAGCTCCTGGCACCAAAATCAACCCACTGAAAAAAGAGTAAGAATCTACAAGACCCTAATGATACAGATCAATAAATGCAAAAGGAAAGTCATTTCTTACGGTAGAATATCAAACAGGATGAAAGGAATGATGAAGGTAGAGATCACCACAATTACCACAGTAATAAATGACTCAGGAAGAATTTTTTTTATTCATTTATTCACATGTGCATACATTGTTTGGGCCATTTCTCCTCCCTCCTCCACGCCCCCTCCCTCTCCCCCAACCCCCTGGCTTCCAAGCAGAATCTGTTCTGCCCTTATCTCTAATTTTGTTGAAGAGAGAGTATAAGCAATAATAAGAAAGACAAAGTGTTTTTGCTAGTTGAGATAAAGATGGCTATACAGAGAGATTCCTAGCAGTACTTCCATGTAACAGTGTGTTACATCCCATCTCTAACTGACCTTTTCTCTAGTTCCTGATCCCTTTCTCATATTGACCTTGGTCGCTTTAAGGTTTCTATATTAGTTCCTCTGCAGTGCGGACATCAAGTACTATCATGTTTTGGGTTTCTTACCTATCCCATACCTCCGTGTGTGCTCTCCCCTTGTCATGTGACCCAAGTTCGGCCACATTGCTGTATTTGCTCTAAATCTAAAGTGCGCATATGAAGGAGAACATACGATTTTTGGTCTTCTGAGCCTGGCTATCCTCGCTTAGAATGATGTTCTCTAGTTCCATCCATTTACTTCCAAATGCTAAGATTTCATTCTTCTTCATGGCTGAGTAAAACTCCATTGTGTATAAATACCACATCCATTCATCAGTAGTGGGGCATCTTGGGTGTTTCCATAACTTGGATATTGTGAATAGCACTGCAATAAACATGGGTGTACAAGTGCCTCCGGAGCAACCTGTGTTGCATTCCTCTGGGTATATCCCCAGGAGTGGGATTGCTGGAAAATACAGCAGATCTAGGTTTAGATTTTTAAGAAGCCTCCATATTGTTTTCCAGAGTGGTTGCACTAGTTTGCATTCCCACCAACAGTGTACAAGGGTTCTTTTCTCCCCCCATCCTCGCCAACACCTGTTGTTAGTGGTGTTTTTAATGATGGCTATTCTAACAGGGATGAGGTAGAATCTTAGTGTGGTTTTGATTTGCATTTTCTTTATGGCTCGAGATAGTGAGCATTTTTTCATGTGTTTTTTGACCATTTGAATTTCTTCTTTTGAGAAAGTTCTGTTTAGTTCAATTGCCCATTTCTTTAATGGTTCATTGACTTTGGGAGAGTTTAGTTTTTTGAGCTCCCTGTATATTCTGGCTATCAGTCCTTTGTCTGATGTATAGCTGGTAAATATTTTCTCCCACTATGGACTCTTCAGTTTAGAGACCATTTCTTTTGCTGTGCAGAAGCTTTTTAGTTTTATGAAATCCCATTTGTCTATACTTCCTCTTAGTTGCTGGCCAAATGGGGTTCTATTGAGGAAGTCCTTGCCTATACTTATTACTTACAGAGTGTTTCCTGCTCTTCACTCAAGAAGAATTGTTAATGGATATAAAGCTATTTTCGTGAAACCTTGATGAAGAACAAGAATATTTAAAGTCTTAAGCACTCCCTCTAAACTACTTTTTGAAAAGCAATCATAGGACTGGAGGTATGGCTCAAGTCACAGAGTGCCTGCTTTGGAAGTACAAAGCCTTAGTTCACACCCCAGTCCCACCAAACAAAAAAGAAGAAAATGTGTTAGAAAAGCAATCATAAATTTACACAAAATTTGAACTGAAAACTAAATTGCCCCATGACCCCTGAATTCTTCAGTATGCATTCTCTACAACAAATATATTGCCCTACTCAACAACCCCACAAACACCCAAACCAACACTGGCATAGACATGACCAACATTTACTCTTTAGATCCATTCAGGGTTTTCAGCATGGAGCCTAATGTTTTCAGAATCTCATGCTGTGTATCACTGTTCAGTCTCTTTAGCCTCCTTAAATTCAAGATAGTTTTTCAGTATTTCCTTCAATTTCATGATTTTAACATCATAAAAATTATATACCAGACCCTTTAGGCAACACGTTTTTCTAAACATTGTAGACCAAAAGCTGCTGGGTTAGCCTTGCACCTGGTAGGGAGGTTATTTTTATTCTGTAGTTTAATGAAGCAGTCAAAAGTTGAATAAAGAGTTGGAGAACAACAAATACATATACATACACACACCAGTAGTTTTATGCACTACAAGCCCATTTGAGTTTGTCTGTTTCCTCATGATTAGATTCAGGTAGGTCATGGGAACCAGCAGCACCTATTTATTTCCCTTATTGACTATTAAATAAAATTACTGGCATGTGTTCATTTTATATTTGTGTGGAAGGTTTTTTGTGTTTTTTTTTTTTACTAAAAAGTTCTGAAGGCTATGTTGCTGGAGGACACTTCACAAAGGTTCAGTTCCAACATGTCTTCTTGTGGTGCCTAGAAATCAATCCCAAAAGGCAAGGGAACTTCATTTCTGTTTGTATCTCAAGTTTTTTTACTTTCTATGATTTCATGCTTTGGATCTGCTTATGCCCAGTAAGCTAATCTTCATGGGTAGGGACAATGACGAAGAGTATGGGCTTACAGTCTGCTGACCATCTTGGGGGCCTTCCATGGGTAGATGTTAAGAGATCTTCTCCTGATGGCCAGAGATAAATACAGAATCTAGTTTTCAGTATTTTGAGCTCCAGTCAGTTAAGAGTTTTGCATACACTGGGAAACCAGCTCTTTGATATCTGAAATGTTCTGTGTTCTCTATGTATTTGTCTCTTGGACTATGAAGCATATTGTACAATTGAAACCATAAGCTCTCGGGGAGAGTCTGTGTCCTGATTGACATATAGATATAGATATAAAAATTATAAGTTATACTCCTAAAATTTTCAGAAAATAAGAAAACTGAAACATTAAAAAGAACCTGACAGAAAGTAACCCAGAAGCATTTCAGGAATCTATATTCACAAAATTAAGACACATATTTAGTAAATGAGACAAGTTGAATAATTTTGGCTTAAATAAATGTCTTACACATCAGTATTAAGTATAATACAAAGATAAATTTTATTCTATTTGGGTTTGTCTTTCCTATCAAGGTTTACTAAGCAAATAAGTTAACATGACTTCTCATGTCATTTTTTTGGCGGTACTGGGGTTTGAACTCAGAGCCTCATGTTTGCTAGGCAGGTGCTTCATCACATGAGCCACTCTGCCAGCCATTCTCATGTCATTTTTTAATTTTGTACTCTAAGTGTACAATTGAGTAGCATGATTTATATCTTCAATGTTGTTCAACCATCAGGCACCATTCATCTTCCAAATTTTTTCAGCATCCTAAACAGTCCTTTATATCTTTTACTATTAAGAAAAACATAGCAAGTTTATATTCAACTAAACTGAATCATTTAGATAAACTTCTGATTTCCTCAATAAGTTAAGTTTTCTGTTTGCTTGTTTGTAGTTTTTTCAGACAGGGTCTTACCAAGTAGCTCAGGTTGGCCAAATTCTCAATCCTCCTGTCTCAGTCTTCCAAGTGCTGGGATTATAGGCCTGTGTACCACACTCAGGTAATAATTAGGTTTTGTAACACATCAGCTGGAAGATAACTTCTAAGGTCTTTTAGGTAACTTAAAACCTTAAACCAAATAATTTAATTAATGAATAATCACTGATACCTTGATAATTTCTAAGTAAAGAAAATACTGAAATACTGATTCCAAAGCATTATTTTAAGTTCATATGCTTCTGCTTCTTGTTTCATATCCTCTCTGAGGCTGGAACTCTGGGTTACATTAATAAGTTGTATGCATACTACCTTCTGGAGATATCTGCAGGAAGTGATATTGTGTGAATTCCTCAGGTCTGATAAACTACTACTGGGTGGCAATTAGCCACCCTAGTCTTCTTGGAGAAAACAGACAATAATCTGATGTTATAAAATTAATGAGTGGTTGCAGATACACTAGAACCAACAGTGCAGAAATATTGTGCATGCTTGATTTTTCAGGAAGGAAAGGAGCTCCTCAGAGCAATGAGTCTCTGGCTTTGTGGTGACTGGATAGCTTTCCCAGCTGGGACTTACCCCAGGGGTTTCTTTGCTAACATGGTTGAAAACCAGTAGTATTTAACATATTGGAAGGAGGAACAATGCTTTTAAAGACTTATTAATTCTATTTTGAGACCATGTTAATATGCATATCATCTCAATATTACCATGAAAATAGTTTTGCTCTCACAAGCTCCATGAGAAGAACTCTATTTTAAAGTTGTGTTGCTTTGCTTTAGAGTAAGATGAGGCATCATAAAGGACAAAATTGGAAATTAACTCCTGAGTCTGAAAAGAAGCTAAGAAATGAGTAAACTTTCTGGCAAAAGTTACTTAATCTCCAAGTATTTAGTTCCTCAGTTTACTGATCAGTGCCTTCAAAATATGAAAAGTCAGTCTTAACTTTCTGTGTAATCTGCCAAAACAGCAAAGATTCAGTGTCTTGCCAAAAGAACTTTCTGAGCTTTATGTTGATCTCACTCTCTGCTAAAAGAGATCTGAGCCATGTGTCTTTGGGACAGTGACAGAGAGTTGTGCTTTGTCCCTTCAGCAAACCTTATCAGGAAGCAAATGCTAGATGGGGTGGGGCTAAGGAAAGGATCTGGTAGTTATCTTCACTAGAAGAATGTCACCCTTAGTTATTAATACACATTTAGGGTAAGATACTTTAAAGCCATATGTGATAGACAAAATTTTAAGATAACTTCATGTCTACATCCCTGAAGTTCTTTCCTAATCATGTTATGTTAATGACAAAAGGGAGATTATCCTGATGGGCATAATCTAATCACAGAAGCCCCTTCAAAGTAGAAAGTTTTCTCCAGCTGGTTATAGAAAGGAAAGCCAGAGAGATTCAAAGCATGGAAGGATTCAAAATGTCTTTAATGGCTATGAAAAAAAGGGGTAGGGGTGGAGGAAGTAGAGGCAGAGGTACAAGGAAAAACAGAGGCCTCTAGGACAGTAACCCCCAAGCCAGCAAGAAAAAGAGAACTTCAGTCCCTTTTTCATGAGGTTGGAAACCTCATAAAACTGAATCCTGCCAACAACCTTAATGAGTCTGGAGATGGATACTCATACCAAGTTTCTAGGTAAGAGCCCAACCCAGCCCACCAATACTTCAATTTCTGCCACAGGAAAGAAACTCTGAGCAGAGAACCCAGCAGAACCGACCTGAACTTCTAACTGACAACTATGGAATAAAAAATTGGTGCTATTTTAAGCTGCTAAGTTTATAACGCATTACACAACAATACAAAGTACTATATAACTTTGAACACAAGTATTTTGTTTATTGACATCTGTATATGTTCACTGTTTCCTATTTGATTTGATAGGTTGTTTCTACATTTATTTATGTTGATGCTCGAATCATCCCCAATTCTGTTTGTGACTATTTTCCTATCACTCTGTGAACACTTCCTTACTTTCTAGATGTTGTAGAAAATACAATATTCTAGGTTCATAATGTTATTTTCCCAGCCCATACTAGAACCAACTAGTAGTGGTTTCCTTTAGTGGAAAATGACAGTTAGAAGCTGTGACCTGGATACTAGGTTGGCTCATTACCATTATGGTATGTTTATTCCCAGGCAGGCCATTTTAGTGAACAGACCTAAAATACATTCATGTTGTACACACGCGTGCATGTACACGCTCACATACTCTCACCTCTATTTCTACATTTATTTACATGCATGCATATGTGTAACTGTATGGAGTGCACAGAAAGAGGGAGAGGGTGAAGGAAGAGGATTAGCTCACACTGACTAATTTACCTTCAATCCAATACCACAGAACTCACCTGTTTGTACTCTTTATGCATTTTACCTCCCTTCTTTAATAGTGAGAAGCCTAGCTTCCAATATCTTTAAGGCATTTATTTATTTGTTCAACCCCCTATATGTAGCCAAACTGCCTTCTTCTAACAGGATCCCCTACCCACTCAGCTACTGCAGTGTGTGAGTGATCTATCGTCACTTGGGCTGACCCCACACCAGCTGCCCCTTGAGGGCTCCCTCCATACACTCCCCAAGAGCACCACAGCCTCCTCCTGCCCATTCCTCACCTCGATCTGCACCATCTAAATAAAGACTCTAGGACAGAACACTTCAAGAAGAGGAGCAGGAGACAGCCTAGATCCTGACTCTCCAGAGGGAATATAGTACCTTTATAGTTACATGCTGACCAAATGATCGTAATGGACACAATCAGCAATGGCATCAACTGCTATTATGTACCCTGGAAAGCACCCAGCATCAGTTCAGATATGGATTGAATTTTATCATAAGGAAACACCAGACAAACTCACAATGAAAGCCGTTCTACAAAATAATTGGCCCATAACTTTCAAAAAATGTCAAGGTTTGAGGCCCTGAGTTCAATCCCCAGTACTGCCAAAAAAATTTCTTGTCCTTGAAGAGCTAATAAGACAAAAATCTTAATAGGAAGTAAGAGAGTGAGATGAAAAACTTTTAAAGCCTCAATTACATTTCCTAGTGTTCCACTTAATTGAGACAAACTAGGGGACATTACAAAAATACTAATCAAACATTTTGGAGCTAGGTATGGTAGTACCTACCTATAATCTCAGCTACTCGGGAGGCAGAGGTGGAAGATCATAGTCCAAAGGCCAACCTGAGCAAAAGTGTGAGACCCTATCTGAAATACTAAAAGAAAAAAGGCTGGGGGTATGGCTCAAATATTAGAGCACTTAACCATCTGAAGCCCTGAGTTCAATACCCAGTGTTAAAAAACAATTTAAAAACTGGGTTCAAATTTCAGAAGTTGGAAAATATAAACAGTCATACTCTGTTACCACAACACACATCCCAATTCTTTCAAACATTACCTAATAAGGTGGAAGTCTTCAGGTATCCATCAAGGTAAGGGAGAATGTCTTTGTAATAAGGCTGAATTACATGCTTGCACATGTGAGCTGACCACTCTTCAAGGGCATTCAGACCTGTTTCTGCCAGTGGGGTATAACTCAGGCCCAGCTTGAAAGCCATCTATAAGTCAATGCAAAGAAGGTAAACTGAAACACAGAGAATTTAAGATTTAAAGAAATAAAAAATAGCAACTGTGGTTTCTAATTAATATGACCTTTTATTGCTAGATCCCAGAAACTGCTGGAGGGAAGTTCAGACCACCATGAGAAAAATGAGTAGCACCTGTATACATGGCTGGTGTTTTACTGCAGACTTTCAACACCTACAAGGTTGAATTCTCACATCAACTATAAGCAACGCTCAGAGAGGCCACATTAGACATCCGAAGCCCCCAAACCAGAAAGTGGAAGAAGCAAAGGCTGAGCCAGGTATGCCTGCTGTGTGATTGCCTGGTGTAAGTGCCAGGGCGAGGCCTTGATAATTCCATGTTCTTTAGGAAACATAACACTGGTGAAAAGATGGGTATGCTCAAGAAAATACATCTACCTGCAATGCAGGAATGTAGCTTCTAACATCAAGTTCAATGATGTCATGTGGCAGAGACAGAACAAAGGTCAAACAGGAGGCCAACAGTTCATCTTTGTATTGCTTCATTTTAACTGATACCTTAACAAGAAAAAAGATGACAGTGCTGTGTACCTGAATAGTCAATAATGTGAAAATCAATTTAAAAAATTTACCTTCTCAAATATGAAAAAAACAGAATATAACCTATATTTGACAGGACTATACATGCTTACAAATTAAAGGCTAGTCTCTAAGTAAAGTTAACTTGCTGAAGTACTTAATTTCCCCTATATGGAAAAACAAAAGAATGCATTTAATTTTGAGTTGCCATCCCTCAACTGAATTATTTTGAGAACTAAGGTACCTCTGAAGTCTCTTCCTATGTTAGTTTTTACTCCTAAGGTGGGCGTGATGGAGTACACCTATAATCCCAGCTACTCAGGAAGCTGAAGAAAGAGGATCACAAGTTTCAGGCCAGATTGGAATACATAGAGAGTTCGAGACCAGGGTTGGGGACTTGACTCAAGTGGTAGAGCACCTGCCTAGCAAGCTCAAGGCCCTGAGTTCAAATCCCAGTATGGTCAAAGGAAAAATAAAAAAGAGAGAGAGACAAAAAATTCAAACCCTATATGGGAGATGTCTTAAAAAAAAATGTGGATTTTTATCACAATCTGGATTTACTAAACTAATTTTAAAATAATTAGGTCTTGGATGATCACAGGGATTTAGTTCTCTATACATTCACTTAAAAAGAACCCATGACACATTAAGATTAAATACTTAAAAATTACCTCTTTGCCAAATTTTGCAAGTAAAGCAAAACAAGAACATTTTTCTAGATCCTTAGGAGAATGTTTCAGACTGTTTGGGCTAACTCCCTGTGAAATAAAATAGCAAATTAGTACACTGAGCAAGAATCAGCAATTTCATATCCTAACCCAACAGTTCCCAACCTTTTGAATAAATTTCACTTCACCAATCTACTGTGGAGAGGAAGAAAGATTCTGTTCCAAGAGTGTTTCCAGGCAGAAGACAGTCAGAAATAGCAAAAGAAAAGGTAGGTTCTGGCTAAAGGCCAGAGGCATGACTAAGTCCTCACTCTTTCCCATTCTCCAATAAGATGAACTGAGAGATCTGCTGATCCTTTAGTTACCCAGGAGAGTTCCTCATGTAAGTAACTGGAGCCCCAGCAGAAGAACTCCAGTCATTCTTAAACGTAAGGGCACCAGAGTCACCTGAAGAGCTTGTAGCACAGATCTCTGAGGCTTGTCCGCCAAGTTCCTGATTAAGTGAATCTGCAAAGGGCCTGCAACTTCCCAAATAATGATCATCCTGCTGTTACCAGGACCATGCTGAAAACTCTTGCCAATCTTACATAATTAGCTAAATGTTTCAAATTCAGTCTCACACCTATAATCCTAGTTACTTGGGAGGCTGAGATCAGGAAGATCGCAGTTTGGGGCCAGCCTGGGCAAATAGTTCTCAAAACCCCATCTCCAAAAAGTAACCAGAGGAAAACGGACTAGAGGTGTGGCTCAAGTGATAGAACATCTGCTTTGGAAGTAAAAGAAGCCCTGAGTTCAAATCCCCATCCCACCAAAAAAAAAGAGAAAAAAATCAAAACAGAAAATGCTGTTTTTTTTAAGCAAGTCATCTAATTGACAGTCACACATCAACTTTTAAAAATATATATAATTGAACTGGCTGCCTATGGCTCATGGCTGTAATCCTAGCTATTTGGGAGGCAGAAATCAGGAGAATTGAAGTTAGAGGTCAGCCCAGGCAACAAAAGCAAGACCCTTTCTCAAAACAACACCCAATAGAGAAAAGGTCTGGTGGAGTGGCTCAAGTGGTAAGAGTGCCTGCCTAGAAAGCATGAGGCCCTGAGTGTAAACCCCAGTAACACACACACACAAAAGATATACATATACATATCTACACACTATATAAATACGCTATAAATATATATATATATATACATGTACATATGTATATGTATATATACACTATACATATACATGCTACATATATATACTATATATGTATAATACATATATTATATAGTATACACATAATATATATAAAATTCCATCAGTAGACTTTAAAACTGGATATTCCATAATCACATATTTTATAATGCATTTTATACACTCATACAGTCTTAAAAAATACAGGAATATTCCATGTGCTCCAAAAAAAAGACTTACCTCAAAATATTTTATTTTCCTGGCATTTCTCACTGCAACAGAAAGCAATTTGTAGAAACCACTGATGAGTGGCAACCGTGTAGACTGCACAATTAACTCATATGCAAATGAATACACCCATGGTTCAAAATGTCTTACTTGTTTCTCAGGGAGAATCTCTCTGCAAAAACCAATTAAATGTTTTAGGTAGAAATTATTATTAATTATTACTCAGTTTGAAAATTAAAAGGGACATAAAAATTATGCACTAAACTTTTATTAAGTATCATTTTCAGGTATTCTAATATTTTTAAGTATGTATGCATTCCTTTCTTCCCTAGTGATAGTCTTTTAACTCTAATTTGATATATACATTTTGTGTGTGTGTGTGTGTGTGTGTGTGTGGCACTGGGGTTTGAATTCAGGGCCCCACACTTACTAGGCAAGCACTCTTATCACCTGAATCACAACCCCAGTCCGTACTTTAAAGATCTAGATAAGTGACTTTAGGTTTTAAGTCTTTTGCTATTTCATTTCTTAAGTTTATATAAGGGTGTTTCCTCCATTATAGCTTATAACTGATAACTTTCACTCTTAAATAATTAAAATGTTATAAAATACCTGCAAAATTCCACCAGGTTAATGAAAGCTGAAAAATCTTTAGGTTTAGCAGGATGCAAGTTAGCAGTTGGATCTGAAGTTGGGATTACCCAAATACCAGCAGCCTCAGTTTCATCCTGAAAAATTAATTGTACCACACAAAAACTGTACCATTTAATAACACATCACTCAACAAATAACTTTCCAAATGACTTCTCAGTCTCAATCTGATGCTGTGAAGAAAGAACACAAAACTAAAAAAGTTAGAGACTGGTCCTCAAGAACGTATACTTTGAGGAGAATGATAGGATTCAATGAAACATTAAATCAAAGGACTCACAGAGAGTGATCAAAGAATAGGACAAATACAGAAACATGGAAGGGTGGTATCATTTTTTGATAAAGCTAACAGTAATGCCTTGACTGATTTAGAACCTCAAAAGATACAAAGTATCAATAATGACTTGGGTGATTTCAACTACAAAACAGAGGAGTGGCTTCAGCATGAGGCCATGAGTTCAAACCCCAGTGCCACCCGAAAAAAAAGAAGAAAGAGAAATGAAAAAAAAAAACAACCCATCATTTAGGGGACTTCTGTTTGGTTGTTTTTTTTTTTTAATTGTTGTACTGGGGGTACACTGTAACATTTACCAAGGTTCTTACAATATATCATAGTTGAATTCACCCTTCCATCATTCTCCTTTATCCCCCTCTCTGGTTTGGGGTTTTTTGAGACAGAGTCTCGCTTAGTAGTCCAGCATGGCCCTGAACTCATAATCTTCCAGCCTCAGCCTCTTAAATGCTAGGATTATAGGCATGTACTATCATGCTTGGCTAAAAAAATTGTTTTTTAATACATTAACATGTAAAGATCTTTTTAAAAAAGATCTTCTATAACACCTTCTATAATTAGGCTACATACGAAAGGAAAGCATCAATGTGGCTGGCAGTATGGTTCAAGTGATACAGCCCCTGCCTACCAAGTGCTAGGCCCTGAGTTCAAACCAAGTACTAGAAAAAAAAAATTAGAAAAGTAACAATGGCACATAATAATCCCAAAGAAATCAAGTTTCTCCAATCCCCTGAATAGATGCTATTATCTATACCCTGAATATTTTTATATGCAAAGAAAGCTGGCATAAAAATAATGCAAAATTATTATTGATAAAAACTTCTAACCTCTTGTTCCCCAGCAGTCCGTTTTTCTAGTGCAAGATCCAATTTCTCCACAATCTTCAAAATGGATTTTATAAATTCATCATAGAGTAAGCGATTGAGACTTTGAAGGGAGGAATTCACAAAGAGAAATGGTTCATCTACTAAAATTAAATCCTTTAAATAAAGAAAAATTAAGTTCAAAATCTTGTACAGAAAGCATCAGTATGAATATTTTATAGGAGTTAAGATACGTACATACACAGTCACATGTATATTGAGATATTATGGAACAGGAATATCTAAACTGTAGCAGATTTACCTGGAGTTTTCAAGCTTCAAAACTTAGACACCTTCCCAAATTATTAAGACAATATTACTTTAGCCAGAGAGTATGATTTACAAAGTTGTATAACAAATACTCTACATAGCAGTGAATGAGAAGATTTTGGCAAAGTCTTGTCAAAGTGTTTACCCCATTAATTTTTATATGCATATATAAACACACATATGTATGACTCATACACATATACACTATGTTTTATGTTTATTTATGCACACATACATGTAATACTAGTATGTGTGCATACATACATGTGCACATTGACAAAAATTTCTTGTTCTGGGCTTCACCAAAGTGTTATATTAAAATACTAATCACTATTACTAGGCTTAAAATAGAAACTAAAGAAATATCTTATCTTTCAGAAACTCATTTGGCAGAAGGCATTATTCTAACATAAGAGATACTCATAACAGCTATACATCAATCCCTTTCATACCTATTTAAAATGTCAATTAGATTTGCCCTCATCTTCAGCACATAGAGAGGGCTGAAGGTGTAGCTAAGTTGTAGAACATGTTCTTAAAATGCATGAGGGGGTTCAATTCCCAACAAAAACAGAATACCTTTATATGGTGTTAATACTGTTATACTTTTTGTTGCCTAAAAGGCTAGATCTGTCGGAAAGAAAACTTAGTATCAACTATACTACACTGCTACATAAAGCTAAAATGAAGACTCAGCTATAGTAATCAATTTCAAAAGAGCTCTATGTTTGTTTCTTTCATTTACTTATTTTCTAGTCTCACTTAACTGTCTTCACTAACAGTGCTAATTTTTATTACTTGATGATTTAAAAAGAACTTTTGAAAGTTAGTTAAAATGTAATTCTGAAATAAGTAAGTCTTTGAGTATACAACTACAGAGACTCTTTTTCTTTCTTTCTTTTTTTTGGCAGTACTGGAGTTTTAACTCAGTCCTCACACTTGCTATGCAGGCATTTTACCACATGAGCTACTCCACTAGCCGTAAGGAGACTCTTAATAACAAGAATTGAAGCATTTTAATGGCTTTCAAATTATAAATTTTACCATCATCTGGTCACAGCTCAGGAGATGTCTAAAGAGATCCACATAGTCTTTGTAGGTGGGCACTTTCCATTTACCAGATCTAACCTCCCCTGAGGCACGATGGTCTTCAGACTCAACACCCTGTCATGGAAGATAATAGTCCCACAATGACTGATGAACTCACAAAAACAGCTTTGCTGCTAGAACCTGCTAATTTTCAGAATTTCCTAAACTAAAACAGCAAGCACAGAAGACTATACAACTAGACTGAGCAAGACATTGTATTAGGAAAGCATAATAAAAAGAAAGCTGAAAAAAATTCTTTTGTGACACAAAATTCTTTTTTGATACAACATTGGCTGCAAATCATTTATCTGTCTTGTCTCATCATGTTTCCTATAACTTCTACTAAGATATGCCTCTCAAAATACACTTTTGCATTTTCTTTTGAGTTTCAAGAGAGGAGAAAAACATTTCTATTTTTTATAAAAATATGTGACAGGCGAGGCACCAGTGGCTCATGACTATAATCCTAGCTACTTGGGAGGCTGAGACAGGAAACATCATGGTACGAGGCCAGCCTGGGCAAAGAACACATGAAAACCCATCTCTAAAATAACAGTAACAAAAAAAAAAAAAAAACACACTGGAAGCATGGCTCAAGTGCTTTGCAAAGCACAACATCCTGAGTTCAAATCCCAGTCCCACCAAACACAAAAAACAAAACATACATGTACATGACAGGAAAGTTATGCTTCGAGATATGTTTCATACCTTAGGAGAACTGTATTCACCTAGCAAAACAGAGATATAACTTCAACATGTAAAGCATGGGACTGAGGGCATGACTCAAGTGGTAGAGCACCTGCCTACGAAGCAAAAGGCTCTGAATTCAAATCGCCCCCCCCTCAAAAAAATAAAGGCATGGCTAATAACTAAGAAAGGCCACTTTTATATATTTACATATTAAAACCTCAGCAACATTTCTAGCTTCCAAAGATAAATGGCTAATTTTTGAAACAACAGATTCAGAATTTACCTTTTGAAGGATCACTGGTTTAGAACATATTCTTATTAAACCCTGATGCACTGAAAAAAAGAAAATGAAAAATAGAGGAAAGGCTGAAAAATATAACTGCTCAATAAAAACCATTATAATTTTACCTATCAATTTCTTTATTAAATTTGTTAACATTTTTAATTTTAAATTTTGAACTATTAAGATTCAGCAGCTAAACATAAGAAAACTAAAAAAGGGTTTTGGCCCACCAGAATTTTTAAAGTGTTCTAAAAGGCACTAAAAATAACAAAGAAACATTAGCAACAAGGCTTTCTTGACTTACATCAAATAACGTGTTAAATATTCATCATCAATTTAATAAGAATGAAACTTACCCACAGTACTAATGCAATTCCAGAGAACTGGCCCCTTTTCTGCTAAGGCTAGGAAAACTTTCACTATGGCTTTAGAACATAGCAACTGCATTTTTGGACTATACTGTGGGAAAATGTCTATCTGTACCACCATGAGATGTTCCAGAACTGGAGTGTACACCTCAGGAACCTACCAAAAATGGAGAACAAACTAAAAGTTAGAGGAGGAAACACATACAAGAGTAAAACAAATGCCCAAAGTAACTACAACTGAATTAGTCACAAATTAAGAGAAATGAAAACCAGGCTTATTATGTTCCAAGCTTACCATTTATTATTGTGACTGCCTAAAAATAAAGTAAAATTGTCTGAATTATACTTTAGATGCAATTCTATGATAAATGGTAATTCTTAATCTTTTACAAAGATGGAACGAATAACAGTAGTTTTTCCTGTGCAACAAAAAATCAAGTTTCATGATGGTAATTCTATTTACACAAAATACTAACTTAAAATGGCATGCTAATAAAGGAAATGCAAATTAAAACCACACTAAGATTCCACCTCACCCCTGTTAGAATAGCCATCATCAGCAACACCAACAACAACAGGTGTTGGCGAGGATGCGGGGAAAAAGGAACCTCTACACTGTTGGTGGGAATGTAGACTGGTACAACACTCTGGAAAAAAATTTGGAGGTCTTAAAAAGCTGGACATCGATCTACATTTGATCCAGCAATACACTCTTGGGGATATACCCAAAAGACTGTTACTCCAGAGGCACCGCACATCAGTTTGCGGCCTATTCACAATGCAAGTTATGGAACGCAAGATGCCCCAGCACAGACGAATGGATTAAGAATATGTGGTATCTATACACAATGGAATTCTATGCAGCCATGAAGAAGAACGAATGTTATCATTCGCTAGTAAATGGATGGAACTGGAGAACATCATTCTGAGTGAGTGAGGTTAGCTGGCCCAAAAGACCCAAAATCGTATGTTCTCTCATATGTGGACATTAGATCAAGGGCAACACAACAAGGGGATTGGACTATGGCAATGATAAAGCGAGCGCACACAGGGAGGGGAGGATAGGTAAGACCCTAAAAAACTAGCTAGCATTTGTTGCCCTTAATGCAGAGAAACTAAAGCAGATATTAAAGCATGAGGCCAATAGGAAAAGGGGAACAGGTATAGAGAAAAGGTTAGATCAAAAGAATTAACCTAGAAGGTACACCCACGCACAGGAATCAATGTGAGTTAATGCTGGTATAGCTATCCTTATCTCACCAGCAAAACCCTTGTTCTTCCTATTATTGCTTACTCTCTCTACAAAAAATTAGAGATAAGGGCAATAGTTTCTGCTGGTATTGCGGGGGGGGAGCGGGAGGGGGTGGAGTGGGTGGTAAGGGGGGGAGGGGAGGGGGGAGAAATGAACCAAGCCTTGTATGCACATATGAATAATAAAAGAAAAATGAAAAAAAAAAAATAAAATGGCATGCTGACCAAAGTGGTGTCTGTACTAAACATATCATATGACTCCTTCAGATTGCCTGAAGAAATTAAATACTTTAAAAATGTTCTCAGTTTAACTATTTCACTTACTGTGTCAAGTTGAAGCAAGACACTTGCAATAGACTGGAGAAAACTCGGCATCTGATAAACATGGTCATCAATAGTGTCTGTATGAGTGAGGAACATCTGCTTGCAGCGCTGAATGAGCTCAACATACATGAAGTCAACATCTTCTGCATTTATAATCTTGCAAGGCTTTAGGAAAGGTAAAACGAAGTTTTTATTGATCTTATCAATGCCAAAACAAAGACACTTAGGTGTCATTTTGAGCCACGTGATTACAAACAGTATTAACAAGCTATTCACTTGCTTATTTTACTGTACATAAAATACAGTACCTTATAATGATGCTTTTTATAATAACTTGTAATCACATTCTAAATATCTGTTCATATCCTAGACGCCGTTTAGTTGGCCCAGGCTGGCCAATTACTCCCTATGTAGCCCATGCTGGCCTCAAACTCTCAATCCTCCTTTCTTAGCCTCTCATGTGCTGGGATTAAATGCATGGACCACAATGCCCAGCTCAAATTAAGGTCTTATTTTTACTGATTCTGTGTAAATCTTGACAAGTTACCTAATTTCTTTGGGTCTTAGTTTTCTCATGCGTAAAACAAAATACTCAACTTGTAGTAGAATTACAAGGATTTGAGATACCATGTATAAAGAATTCTAGTACATAGCGGACACTAAAAATACTCTTATTGCTAATAAAATAAATGACACTTAAGATGGCACTACTATTGTCACAAATACGACACACTACTCAAAAATAATTAATTCCTTTAAATACTCAAGTAAAACCAAAAATATAAAATAAATTAATGATCCATACTCCCGCAAATAGTCCATATCCACGAATAGCAATGGATAACTCCTTGTTATTTGAATCCACATTTCTGATGATTCCATAGAATTGTTCCATAAAGTACCGCAGCGTAGTCTTATGCACCTCTGCATCTTTTGTCACCATAAAAGAAATCTGCAATTGCATATTTATTCTTTAGAAATATTTAATAGCAAAACAAATGAATTTATACAAATATGAAAAAGCTATAATTGTTTGGATACTATTAATATGGTGCTACAGTTGTATTCAATTGCTTTTACTCATAAAAAATCATTTGCTTCAATTTGTTTATTCTCCATCAAGTTCAGAAAACACAGACTCTTAAATAGGACTACACTCTATGTGATGCATTTTTCCTAAAGAAAGGGACTAAAAGGTACCTGGAAAATGCAAGAAAAACTCTGCACATAGAAAAACAAGTTTGGGCTGGAGGTGTGGCTCAAGTGATAGACCACCTATCTAGCAAGCCCAAAGTCCTGAGTTCAAACCTAAATACCACCCAAAAAAAAGAAGAAAAGAAAGAAAAACAGGTTTTGAATTAAGGCTCCCTGATGAAGCAGAAAGTAGTCTTTAGCGCTCACATCTTCCAAAAAGTAAGTAAGAGCTAGCATGCCTAACGTCCAGTGAATTTAGTTGTTATCAACAAAAAGAGATAAGAGCTTACAATCAGAAAAACAAGGCATCTCAGTTTTTAGAAAAATGAAAAAAGAAAGGCTACAAACTATAAAGCTTAAGTTAAATGAAAGAGAATAAAGTAAAATAAAGAGAATAAAGTAAAATTTTAAAAAGAAAAAATAGGTTTATACAGTATGGCTGGCAACATTAACTAGCACTCGCTGTTAAAGGGAAAGCAGAGGACTACCAGACACTGAACTGTATCTGCCTCTATTTCCAACAGACTGATGTTCAACTTTTGCTCACAAAAAGTCAGGAAATTTTTATTAATTTTTTTAAAAGATAATATAAAATTATAGCAAAAAAAGGAACCTGAATTTAGTAACACAGCAACAATCCACAGTGGCGACGGCAGGAGAAGAGAGTTAATTTACTTGATTTTCTGTGGTTGTTGGTGTTCACTAATCTCATGATGATGGAAGCTCCACGTTTTTTTGAAGGGATGAGGAAGCTGCTGAAGGTTTGGTTCTCTAGGCAGCAAACCAACACAAAGCAAGGATCTGGGCATCTTCATACTATCCCAAGATCTGAGTGGGGTGTACTTTTGAAGGATGTGCAATGTTCAATCACAAGTGTAACAAAAACTGACAAGCAGAAAGTTCATGTACTCAGTGAGAACAGCATATTTGTCTCCAAGAAACACCCTCTTACTAAAAACTAAAAACACTGGTTCCCCTATTGAAGCTTGCAAGGGATTACAGTAAGTTTGACTCAATTCAAAGCTTCTTTTATTCATATAAGAATTTTATGACGCCTTCTCACCAAAGATACACACACCATAATTTCCAGGAAGAAGTAAAGTATCTTAATGCAATTTTCCCAAAGTGATCAGCAAATAGTATGGGATGTATGAATTCTGACTGTTGATACTTGTTTACCTTGGATTTTCCAGAGAATCAGGTAATCAGTCAGTCAGATCAAACCCTGGAAATTCTGATAAGAGGGTGTTATTCCAAAGAATGTCAGTTGTGAGAGCAGAACTCATGACCTGATACTGTCATTGATACTACACTTAATCTTTGTGGCTATCCAATAAATGGAATGAAATTAGATGGCACTTATTGGATGATTCACATCATTCTTAATTTTCTTATGTTAACTTTGAAATAAGCTTAAGTCAGACTTCCTGTAAAGACAGGATCAGGAAAATTGTGAAAGTCTTCAGCCAGCAAAATTTGTGATAACCTTGTTTGTTAATCAGAGCACAATTAATCGCACAGTACTTTCTTCACCCCCCCAGAAAATTCAAGGTTTTAAACATCTTGATTGCCAGAGTGCTATGTTAATTATTATTTTATTTTTACCAGTTTTGCTAAGAAACGGCAACAACAGCAGAGTAGATTAAGAAAAATGAAGAGAAAACGCCAAAAAGAGAAGACACATAGAAGGTGGTGGCTGCTTTCTAGATATTGATACTGGGGATAATGCTTTACATAATCACCACCTTGTAGTTGCAGAAAGCCCTAGATGTAATGATAGTGTAATCATTTTGAATTGCATGCATTAATGTATCAAGGAATTAGATATCTTGCATGAATGCTCTCTTCTGTATGTAGATATTCTATGCCACTCTTGCTATAAAATTGAAGTGCATGTAGAAAAAAACTTTTTACTGTATGAAACTTTCTAACACTTGTGAAAATAAGTCAATTTGGCTTATACACAGTGTACTATTTCTGCAGGTATCATCCAAAATTCCCCACAGGCAAGGCTTTCATCCTCATTAGCTATTGGCCTCAGCTTAGCACCTGGGACTGTTCCATTGCATTGCTGCCAGAATTTTACATTCAGTTACCTCCGCTTTTTACAACATGTTCTCTACTAATGTTATTGAAACCAATTTCTACTTCATACAGATGTTTTTTCCAACAGCAATTAAAGTTTTATCTTCCACAAAAAAAAAAAAGAAAAAACAACAGTGAGCAAAGTACTTGAGAAACAAATAGATCACTATCTGCCAAACTAATAAGTGATAATAGCCTATGTGCAAGAACACAAGTGCTCAAAAGCGCATTCCTAATTTCAATACAAAGTCTGCCCAAATCAAATACAGAAATAAAGAGATAATTATAAAGCCAGGAGGAAACAATCCATCTTTCATTGCCAACTTGCCAATATATTCCCTAATTCTACCCAAAGCTATTAGGGTCTAAGTATATATTCTTCCCAGTTCTTTATTTCCATTTTGGAATAATGGTTTATTACATATTGCTTCATAATTTCTTCTTTTACAAAACATACCATGAACATGTTTTTCAAGAAGCAAAGAAATATTATATTCTTAATTACAGAAGTTCATTTTGTGAATATACTGTAATAGTTAACCATTTAAACTACTGATAATTTTTTACTATTTCATTTCCAGCCAATGTTCTTTTTATACACTTTTATTCAATTATTTTCTGCTTATAAAAGCAAAGGCTTAAAAATAATTATCAACAGTAGAGACAAGATAGATAAAACATTATGATTCATAGAAAAAATATTAACGGCTCATAAATACAACGATATATTATGTTGCCATTAAAATTAATCATGTAGATCTCAATATGCTGTCAAGAAAACACCCAACACAGCAGGAAATCTTAAGGTTACAAAAAAATCATGAGTAACACTCCTTTATATCAAGATATCTCTTCTCACTACTTTCTACTTGAGAGAGAGGAAAAGAGAGGAGAAAAAGAAGGAAGAAGAAGGAAGAGAAAAAGATAGCAGGATCAACCAAAATGCTAAGTGACTATTTTCTTGGGGGTGGGATAAGAAGATCTGAACATTCTATGTACTCTTTTATATTTTTTTGAATTATATGCAAGTAACCTGCAATACTTTTATAAAGAGAAAAATGTATTTTCCATAGAAGTAATGTTTGAAATCAAAACTGTACATAAAATAGTAAAACTAATAATGGAAAACAAAGTTGTTGGAGGACATCCACTACTTAATTTCAAGACAATATAAAAGCTAGAGTACTTAAGACAGTGAGGTACTGACAAAAGGACAAACATAAAGATGAATGCAATAAACTAGAGTCCAGAAAGAAGTCCACATATATATTGCCAATCGATTTTTGACAAAGATATCAAAGATACCTTTGTCAAAGTCTTTTCAGTAAATAGTGCTGGCCACAGCAAATGTGGGGAAACCTAACATCACCCTTACTTTATACCATACACAAAAAGTAATTCAAAATGAATTACAGACAGGGCACCAGCAGCTCACACCTGCAATCCTACTACTCAGGAGGCTGAGGATCGAGGTTCAAAGCCAGCCTGGGCAAATAGTTAAAGAGACTCCATTTCTAAATTAACTAGAGCAAAATGGGCTAAAGATGTGGCTCAAGTGGTTGAGTGCCTGCTTGGTAAGCTCAAAGCCCTGAACTCAAATGCCAGTCCCACCAAGAAAACATGGAAGAAAGTCTTTCTTAGATAGGTCACAGAAAGAAGGTAAGAGTGTAGGAGGGTGCATAGGATATAAGGTAAGAGCGTAGGAAGGTGAATATGTGGAAATATTATGTACTCATGTATGAAAAACAAAAAAAAGGGACCTATTCAAACTATGAAACTATTCTAAGAATGGAAGAAGAGGGGATAAAGGAGAATGATGGGGTAAATGCTTACAGTTAATACTGTAAGCATTCTGTAAATGTCACAATGCACTAGGTATAATAATAACATAATAAAAAAAAAAAAGATACCAGTTAAAAAATTAGTAAAGTGGGTATCTCCAAAATTTAAAACTTCTGTTGTTTGAGAAATGTTGTTTAAAAAAATATGAAAGGGGGTGGAGGGAGGGGGGAGAAATGACCCAAACATTGTATGCATATATGAATAAAAAAAAATTTTTTTTAAATATGAAAAGGCAAGCAACAGAAGAAAAAATATTTGTATTACTTTTAGAAGAATTTATATCTAGAATATGAAGAAAACTCTTTAAATTCACTAATAAAAAAATATACAACTTAAGTTTAAAAGGAGTAAAATATCTGAACAAATACATCACAAAGCAAAATTTAAGAATGGTTAACAGGGTTGGGGGTATAGCTCAAGTGGTAGAACATGCCTGCTCTGAGTTCAAACCCCAGTTTAAAAAACAAAACAAAACAAAAAATAGTTAACAGCCATTGGGGGTGGAGGTGGAGGATTAACATCAATAAGCACTGCAGAAATCCAAATTAAAATCACAGTAAGAAAACATTATCATAACCAAGTATGGCTAAGTACGTAGGGTAACTAGAATTGCTGTGCAGTGCAGGTGGGAATGTAAAATGGTATAACCACTCTAGAAAGAGTTTGATTGATTCCTACAAAGTTTAATGGATAGACCACCAATCATGTGATCTGTCAATTCCACTTCTAAGTTTTTACTGAAGAAAAATGTTAACATTGTGTCTACAAAAATACTTGGGCATGAAAATTCTTAGCAGGTTTTATATAAGTACACACACACACACACACACACACACACACACACACAGACACGTATAATAATCCAAGACAAGAAATCGAAAAGAAATCGAGGCAGGCTAGAAGATGGAAGTTTGGGGCTCATGTAGGTTTGCCTGGGTATGTCCCTGACCACCTGCACCTGGCTGGGAACTGCCCATGCCCTGCCCCACTCATTCATTATTGGGTGGAAATCTCCTGGGTTTGACTTCCCCATGGGTTAGTGTAGGTTTTTAAAGCATCTGAAAAATAAAAACAAGTTCTCTCTGCCAATAGACTCTACCTGCGCCCACCATGCTCCCTTTGTATTTCCTCTCCTAATTTTTAATAAATCCCATTTACACCCACGTATTCTGCTTGGATTCTTCCATGCTGGATCGTAAGAACCAACATCTTCTGAAAACACTGTTTGCTGTTAACAAAATGACTACCAAATGTCCATAAACAAACTACGCTATATCCACTATGCAACAATAAACTACTGATACATGCTACAACATGACTAAACATTCAAAAAAACTTAGTGCAAAACAAGTTAACCATGAAAGAAGATGTACTATAAATGTCTCTAGTAACAAAAAGCACTAGTTGCCTGGAGGTATAGGTACAGATAAAATGCAAAGAGGCTTGAAGGAACTTATGAGGTGATGGAAATGTTCTGTTTTTTTTTTTTGGTGGTATAGAGTTTGAACTCAGAGCCTTACGCTTGGTAGGCAGGTGCTCTACCAACTGACCCACACTCCCACATTCCCAGTCTTTTCTATGTCTTAAATGGATGATTATTACAGTGTAAGTATTTGCTAATTAATACTATAAATTTAAAATATATGCTGCAGTATATAAACTACACTTCAATAAAGTTGACTAAATGAACACATGTACCCCAGTGCCACCAAAATTTTTTAATTTTTAAATATATTTTTATATATACATACATACCTACATAAATAAAATACATGTATAGTTGCTAAATGCTGAACTTCTCAGCAGCCAGAAAAGTGATCATAAATGTCTCAATAGCTACCTGAGAAAAACAAAGTGATACTCACAAGAGTACAGTCTTTCTTAGTAATGAGATGGGCACTGTAGCCACAACAATTTTAGGTCAGGAAGTCCCATGCAACCACTGACACAATGGAAGTCAGCAATGTAATGCAAAGTGCACCTTGGTGTTTAAAAAAAAGAAAAGAAGGCAGCCATGGTGGCCACACCTATCATCCCAGATACTCAGGAGGTAAAAGCTTGAGGATTACAAATTCAAGGTCCATGTAGGCAAAGTTAGTGAAATCCTGTCTCAAAAACAAAACACTAGGGCTAGGAGCATGGCTCGAGTGCTGGGGGACTTTCCTGGCATGTGTGAAGCCCTGGGTTCAGCCTCTATTATTGCAAATGCACCTGGCATTTTCTTGGTCTCTACATTACTTGCTTTTTCCTTTGATCCCTCTGACTTTAATCTCTGCCATCTAGTTGCAGTAAGTCATTACTATTAGTATAACAGCTTTGAGTCTTGTGCATCCTTCAAGCAATTATCAAATTTGAGGCAGTTTTAGAAAACCCTAAACTTGCAACAAGAGTCAATCACGAGGGCAGGACTGAGGGGACTTTTTCCTAACTTCTTAGTTTTCTATACTCTTTCTCCAGACTACAGTAGTATGTAGAATAAACATGCTCAATGAAACTCTTATAGTACTTATTCAGTCTGGTTTTTATTAGAAATTGTAGCGAGAATCTGAAACTATGTTCTCTGGTAAAGATCTGCAATGTACACAGCCTGTGTGGCTCATTAAGGGCAATCATCCAGCTGAGGAAGAGCTGACAGTTGTCCCTGCAGGCCTCCTCCCCACCCACTTTCTTCGAGGATGAGCAGATGTCACTAGGAAGCAAGGTCTCAGGGAAGGTTGTGAGGCGTGATCCCTTTACATAAATCCTACTTCCTTGCCTAAATCCTGGATGTTCTTATTCACCCACAAATTCTGAAGTTCCATTTCTCAAGAGAAAATGTTTGTAAGAATCAGTAAAAATAATAATAATAATTCCACAAATTTCTATTTTCCTTAAACAAGATCAGCCAAATAGAGAGAAGCAGTTTTTATGAGGAAGAGAGAAGCAGCAGCAACCTTAATACCAAAAATATCCTGAGAGATACAAATCTGTTGAGAACAGCAAGCAAACACTAAGTAGTTGAGAAGGTCATCTGGGAGCAGGAGAGGCCAGAGACACAGCAAGCCTATTTCAGTTTTGTAAGACTGCATCAGACCTAGAGAAAAGGACAACAGTGCTTTTTTTCTCTCCCTCCTATACATCAGGTCATCAGTCTCAGGCCAAAACTATCTGTACCACAGTTACACACAGGTTTTCACGGACAAGCTTGTGAATTTAATGTGTAATTATCCACTTTTGACAATGCTCCAAACAAAATATTTGCTGTAAATCTGCAGCATTTTCCATCAAAGCCAACATAGCAGCCTGGATCTTAGTGCATGGCCTGAACTACATGGATTTCCAGATTCCTCTGGATGCTCAGGACATCCTTGAGCCCAGTGCTCAGATACACAATCACAACAACAAAGTCTGGCTTCAAAATATGTATCTCAATGGAATATCCACAGGGGGAAGGGACTCTATCTTTCTAAGACTCATCTGTCATCCCATGGCAGCCAGCTCTCAACTCCTCAGAAATAGATTCTTGGTCCCTGACTGCTTACCCTCTGGCTCAAAGCAGCCCTGACTTCACAGCCCTTCCTTCCAGCTCCTCTCTGACACAAACATCCATTAGATATACCTTGATCTTGGCTCTGGGTCATGACGAAGTCTGGTATCTTCCTAGCTCTCTCAGTCCAACTGTCACCCACGTGACTAATCAATAATAAAGCTTTCTGCTGTAAGTGCTACAGGAGCTAACTGAGCAACCTGTATTTCTTTTGGAAACATGCAGTTACAAGACTGGAATTTATTTTTTTCAAAAAAAAAAAACTTTTTTTAATGAAATTTGGACTACCTGTTTCAGAAATGATTCCAGGGCTGAATGTGCGGCTTTTTTCAATTCCACGTTTGTATGGCTGCACCATTTTGACAGTACTTCAAATAAAGAAACATAGTTGTCCAGAAGGCAGATGCTAAACTGAGATGCATGCAAGGCAAATAAACGTAGGCCAGCTGCAAATGCAAAAAACATTGCATTTAAACTAAGACAACATTACCCAGAATAGAGAACAAAGAAAGCTTCAGGTATAGGTCAAAACTAAAACTATGTTCATGATGGTTTAGTGCATGACCCTACCATAACCCTGGCATCCCAATGAGCCCTCCAATGCCACCACCACCGTCCAACTAGATCAATAGGCCCTTGGCCAATAAACCCCAAAAACAGGTCCAGAAACAGGATCAGGATCTATTAAATCAAAGCAGAATCAAGCAACTTGAATTCCCTAAAAGATGTCCTGAATATGAACATCTGTGCCAGAGTTTGTGTACTAAAAACTTCCCATCTTGTAAAGACATTTGATTTAATATATGTTTTTAAACATTTCACTATTGACTGAATTCTACTTTTGCCATCTGAATTGACTTAATGTAAACATTGTGAAGTAAGTATATTGACTTCTCGTGTAGACAGAAATGTAAATGGAAAATTAAACTATTCCAACACTTTAAAAAAAACATAATTTGATTAAAGCACTATACAGACCTAAAGTACCAAGGCGAACCCTGCCTTGGACTACCAACATACACTTAGGAAAAAAAGGGGGAGGGACAGAGAGGAGAAATGACCCAAACAATGTACACACATGTGAATAAATGAATAATAAAGAATTAAAAAAAAAAAAGGCAAAAAGAAAAAATAAGTCTTTTCTGGGGTTGGATACCAGTGGGAAGGGGGTAGGCACAAGGAAAGGGGGAATGAGGGTATATATGGTAGATGTATTTGGTATCCATATATGAAAATGGACAAATGAAATCTGTTGAAATTGTTCTAAAAAGGGGAAGAAGGGAAAAGGGAGCATGATGGAGGGGTAAATCTAACTAAGATATATCATAAGCGCATATGTAACTATCACAGTGCATCCCCTAGTAAAACTATTATACACTAATAAAATTATTTTTTGAAAACCAAACTTCCCAAAAGCCACCTCATAAATAATTAGGTGTGAAACACTGCAGATGCTATTTTATTCACTTTCCCTCATAGTTTAATAAACACCTCATGATATTAATTTAGTAATGTAAAAATACTATACCTTATTAAATACAGAATCTTACCTAAGGGCACAGCATATCTCTTCAGATCAATCTAGTTCAGAAAAACAAAAATAACCATCAGTGTTTAAAAACCACAGGTCTTCACTATAAAATAATTACAGTAATATTGATCCTACCTGAGGACGAATTGCTTTTAGTGCAAAATCAAAAATCTCCTTTGAAGTCTGGGGGTCTGGGGGAATGACAGAAAGGCTTCTGTTACAAATCCTTAAGTCTCTGACACAGTTTATCAAGGACGTGGCAAGTGACAGCCTCATTTCAGACAGGCCTACATCTTCACTAAGCTCAACAATCTCCCAAGAATTCAGGATAACCTTTTCTACTCTGGACCCAGCAAGTTGCAACTTATTATCCATGTAGCTATTACTGGGGAAAAGCACAAAGAAAATGTGGAGTAGCAATGTCAGTTTAAATTTGAATTCATCACTTATAAACTGCTGGATAATTTCTCAGAGACTCAATTTTCTTAACTGTAAAATGGACAGTTTAAGGGGCTGGTGGAGTGGCTCAAGTGGTAGCGAGCTTTCCTAGCAAGCTTGAGGCCCTGAGTTCAAATCCCAGCACCACCAAAGAGGGGGGAAAAAGCCATGCAGTTTATGCTTTTTTTGGTAGTACTGGGATTTGAACTCAAGGCTTCATGCTCTATCACTCAAGCCATAACCCTCACCTTTTTTTGTTTCAGTTATTTCTTGGACAGCGTCTCATGTATTTGCCCAGGGCCACTCTTGAACTGCAATCCTCCTATCTATGCCTCATGTTCAGCCAGGATTATAAGCATGCAGCACCATGCCTGACTTGCTCTGTTGAGATCAGGTCTCGCTAAATTTTGTCCAGGCTGGCCTCAAACCATGATCCTCCTGACCTACACCTCCTAAGTAGCTGGGATTAAACTAGTATACCACCACACCAGTCCCCAGTTTATACTTCTCTTTAGGATTGTCTGGAGGATTAAATGAAATAACTAATTCAAAGGCAAATATATAATTTCCACCCCCCAAATACTTTCAGATATTTATACAACACATAGTACATGTCAACTACAGGATTGACAAATGTAAATAAAACATGATCTTTGGCCTTAGTAACTTATGGCCGAAACAGGAAGACAGAACAGGCAGGCACACAACTATAATGTAAGGTTCTCATCCTGCCTAGACTGACATCAGTTATCTATATGTCTCTAAAACGTCATGCACTGTAGCTGTACAGAAGTCATGGTTTAGTCCTCACTGATTTCTCTGCCCTTCTAGCAGTGACTTGCACACAGCAGAAAACTACCTTGACTGCAAGAGCTAATGAAAGACAAAAACAACCCACATAATTACATGATAGGAGCTGGAAGAAAAATGTGGTCAGAGAGGCCTAATAGTGATAAAAATGACTTGTTTTTAGGGTACCCTAAAAGAGCACCCTAAAAACAAAAAAAGGTATTTTGAAATTCAAAATAAGGACAAACTTTTGGCTGTACTATTCAAAAAAGGCTTTATAGACACAGTAGCATTAGAACTGGGACTGACACAGGTATTAGTTGGGGAAAAAGGTCATTGCAATAGAGTAATGATGCAAACACAGTGTGCAGACACAAGAGTACCAGATACTCCTCAGCGTACAGGGGTCTGGAATGACTGGGTTTGGTGAATACAAAAGAGGATTGACCCATTGGTATGGGGTGGGCACCACCTTGGCATTTGAGCCTCTTCTTAGGCTGAATTTCACACGGCCCCTCTCCTGAATACCCTACCCCTCTCTGGTAGACCCTATACAAGCATACTGTATTTATTTTTCTCATTGTGGTAAAAATGTAGATAATATTCATCATTTTAAGCAATGTGTAAGGGAATAATTTAGTGGCGTAAAATATTTTCTCACTGTTACATAACCATCACTATACACAAAAGTTTTCGTCATCTCCAACAGAAAAACTGTACCCATTAAACGATATCTCCCCATCCCCCATCCCCTGCTCTAGTCCCTAGAAACTCCTATTCTATGTCTGTTTCTATGTGCCTAGTCTAAGTACCTCACATAAATGGAGTTGTACAATATTTGTTCTCTTGTGACTGGCTTATTTCACTTAGCATAATGTCAAGATATGTGTTATAGCATATCTTCCTTTTTAAGTCAGAGTAACATTTCATTATAAGTATGCAGCAAGAACCTGACAGAGTGAGACGCAGATGGGAAAACAGGGCACAGGAGAGATGAGAGAGAAGGCAAAGGAAGGGAAGTCACTCAAAGCTGCTCCAATGTTCTTTCTTGGTAAGAAACAACACAGAAGGGCTGGGTAGAAATTGAAACACATGCTGGCCCAAAAGACCAAAAATTATATGTTCTCCCTCATATGTGGACACTAGATCAAGGGCAAACACAACAATGGGATTGGACTTTGAGCACATGATAAAATCGAGAGCACACAAGGAAGGGGTGAGGATAGGTAAGACACCTAAAAAATTAACTAGCATTTGTTGCCCTTAACGCAGAGAAACTAAAGCAGATACCTTAAAAGCAACTGAGGCCAATAGGAAAAGGGGACCAGGAACTACAGAAAAGGTGAGATCAAAAAGAATTAACATAGAAGGTAACACACACGCACAGGAAATGAATGTGAGTCAATGCCCTGTATAGCTATCCTTATCTCAACCAGCAGAAACCCTTGTTCCTTCCTATTATGGCTTATACTCTCTCTACAACAAAATTAGAAATAAGGGCAAAATAGTTTCTGCTTGGTATTGAGGGGGTAGGGGGGAGAAATGACCCAAGCCTTGTATACACATATGAATAATAAAATAAAAGAAAAAAAAAAGAAATTGAAACACATGAAATAACAATTTTTGCAGAGAAAAGATTATTGGATATATCGATTCGGCACTATAGTTCATGTCTGTAATCCTAGCTATTCGTGAGGTGGAGTTTGGGAGGATTGTGGTTTGAGGCCAGCCCAAGCAAAAAAGTTAGTGAGACTCTGTATCAACCAATACAATAGGTGAGTTTGTTGTGCATCTGTAATCCCAATTAATGCAAGAGGCATAAATAAGAGAACTGCAGACCAGGCCAGACTGGGCAAAAACATGAGTCACTATTAGAAAAATAAGTAAAGCATCTATGGTCATACCACCCTGAATATGCCCGATCTCAACTGATCTCAGAAGCTTAGCAGGGCGGGGCCTGGTTAGTACTTGGATGGGAGAAAAAAAACTAAAGCAAAACGGGCTAGGGGTAAGGCTCAAGTGATAGAGCGCCTGCCTAGCAAGAGCCTCATTCTTGAGTTCAAACCTCAGTACCACAGGAAAAATAATTATTATTAATCAAAAACCTGGGCTTAGTGGCACATGCCTGCAAGGATTTGGGAGGCTGAGGAAGGAGGATCATGAGTTCCAGGCCAGCCTGGGCTATACAGAAGAACCCTGTCTCAAAAATAAATAAATATTTTATTGTATATCAGCAACTTTGTAAGTTTTATGTAATGGAAGTAAAACAAACAACAAAGGTATAAAATGTTGGCAATTACTTGGGACATAAATGGTAAGGGAGGGGAAATTTTTTTTTCCTTTTGGCAATATGGGGTTTGAAATCTCAGCCTCCTATTTGTTATGAAGGTGCTCTACCACTCAAGCCACACCAACCCATTTTGTGTTTTTTTTGACAGGGTCTCCTTCTGTAGCTCAGAGTGGCCTCAAACACACAATCCTCCTGTCACCACCTTCTAAGCACTGGGATTACAAAAAGGTGTGTGCCACCACACTTGGCGACAAAATTTTTAAAAGGCAAAACTTTTTTTGTCTGTGTGGGACTGGGATTTGAACTCAGGTCTTCATGCTTACAAAGCAGGAACTCTACTTCTTGAGCTATGCCTCCAGTCCATTTTGTTCTGGTTATTTTGGAGATGGGAGTCTCATGAACTACTTGCCTGGGCTGGCCTCAAACCATGATCCTCCCAATCTCAGCTTCCCAAGTAGTACAATTATAGGCATAAGCCACCAGAGTCTGGCTTAAAGGAAAACTATTAACCCTAAAGGATTCTTTTTATAGTTTATTTATTTGGTGGTACTGGGGTTTGAACTCAGGGCCTCACACTTGCTAGGCAGGCACTCTACCACTTGAGCCATTCCACCAGCCCAAAGTATTCTTAATTTTTTTAAAGAATCCCTGAGAGTTAAAAGTCTTACCTTTAAAAAAAAGTAAATTACAGCTTGAATAGAGAAATTGGAACACTGCGCACTGCTGGTAGGAATGTAAAATAGTGTACCTAATTTGAAAAAACAGTAAGCCTATTCCTCAAAAATTAAGAATGTTACCATGTAGTCCTGCAATAACTCCTTGAAAGCAGGCCAGGTGAGGTGCTTATGTCTGTAATATAAGTGAGTCAATAAGCAGAGCCTGGGAAGATCTAAGTTCAGCGTCAGTCTGCGCAAAAAGTTAGCAACCCCATTTCAATATGTAAGCCAGGCATGTTGCACACCTGTGGTCTCAGCTAAGTGAGAGGTATAGGTAGAAGGGTCTTGGTCTAAGGCTAACTCCAAGCAAAATCTCAAGACCTTATCTGAAAAATAATGAAAGCAGAAAGGGATGGGGTGTGGCTCAAGTGGTGCAACGCCTACCTAGCAAGTGCGAGACCCTGAGTTCCATTTCCAGCATCGCCACCACCAACAACAAAATAGCTGGGCACCTGTAATCCTAGCTACACAGAAGGCAGAGATCAGGAGGATCACCATTCAACGCCAGCACCAGCAAAAAGTCTGTATCAGGAAAACCCAATACAAAAAAGGACTGATGGAGTGGCTCAAATAGTAGAATACTTACCTTCCAAGAATGAAGCCCTGAGTTCAAACCCAGAAACCACCAAAAAAAAAAAAAAAAAAAAAAGAAAGAAAGAAAGAAAGCAGGAGCCAACTGATTTTTGACAAAGGAGCCAAAAACATATGGTGGAGAAAAGACAGCCTCTTCAACAAATGGGTGTTAGGCAAAGTGGATAACCATATGTAGAAAACTAAAACTAGACCCTTACCCCTCACCCTGTACAAAACTCAATTCAAAATGGATTGAAGATCCTAATGTAAGTCTGAAACTTCATAAGTACTACAGGAAAGCAGAGAGAAAACACTTCAAGATACAGTCTTAGGAATGACTTTCTGAATAGGACTCCCAATTGCTCAGGAAAAAAGAACAAGAATTGACAAATGAGGCTGCATCAAATTAAAAAGCTTCTGCACAGCAAAGAAAACAATTACCAGAATAAAGAGATCATCCACAGAACAGGAGAAAATCTTGGCAACATACTCATGGGACAAAGGATTAATATCCAAATATATAAAGAACTCAAAAATTAAACATAATTTGATCTCCAGCACTATAAAAAACAAAAAAATTAAATACCAAAAGAACAAATAATCCAATTAATACATGGGCAAAACTGTTCTAGAAAGAATTACAAATGGGGGCTGGCAGAGTGGCTCAAGTTGTACAGTGACTGCCTTAACAAGCCTGAAGCCCTGAGTTTAAAAACCCAGGTACAGCAAAAAAAATAAAGAAGTGCAAATGGCAAATAATTACATGAAAAAATGTTCAATATCCTTAGCCATAAAGGAAATACAAATCAAAACCACACTGAAGTTCCAATTCACCCCAGACAGAATGGCAATCACTAAGAAAACAAACAACAATTAATACAGTCACTTGAGCAACTCCACCAGCGTGTGTGTGTGTGTGTGTGTGTGTGTGTGTGTGTGTGTGTGTGTGTGGATATTTATGAGATAGGGTCTCACAAACTATTTGCCTGGGCTGCCCTCGAACCTCCATCCTCCTGATCTCTGCCTTTCGAGTCTCTAGGATTGCAAGCATGAGTCACCAGTGCCTGGCTAGTGCAGCCACTATGGAAATCTGTATGGAGGTTTCTCAAAGAACTAAAAATAAAACTACCACATGGTCCTGCTATACCACTTTTAGGCATATATCCAAAGGACTGTAAATCAACATACATTAGGGATACCTGCACAGCCATGTTTATTGCAGCACTATTCATAATAGCCAAGCTATGGAATCAGGTGTCCAACAACTGATGAATGGGTCAAGAAAACATCATATACATATAAAAATACAAAATGCAGTATTATTCACCCATAAAAAATAATGAAATTATGTCATCTGCAGGAAAATAGATGAAACTGGAGAACATAATGATGAGCAAGATAAGCTAAGCTCAGAAAGACAAATAGCACATGTTTTCACTCATATGAGGAATCTAGACCTAAAATAATAACAAGAAGACATGATTGTCAAAGGGGACTATTGGGGAAAAGGAATCTAGTGCAAGGAGAAGTGGAAAGGGAGAGTAATGGAGGTGAATATAATTAAAGTACATTATAGTCACATGTGAAAAAAGCATAATGAAACCCGCTATAAACTGTTTAAAAAGACAGGGAGCAGGGAGGTGGTTAAGAAAGAGTAACAGAGGGGGTGAATTTGATCAAAGTACATTACATGCATTTGTGTAAATATCACAATTAAATACAATGAAAGCCCTTTCAACTATCAATTTATGCTAATTAAAAAATACTGATCTAGGAGTCAGTGGCTCACACCTGTAATCCTAGCTACTCAGAAGGCAGAGATCGGGAGAAGCACGGATCGAAAGCCAGCCCAAATAGTTCACGAGACTCTATCTCAAAAAAACCTTCACGAAATTAGGACTGGCGGAATGGCTCAAGGTGAAGGCCCTGAGTTCAAGTCCCAGGACCACCAAAAAAAAAAAATTTGAAAGCAGGGACTTTATTTTTATTTATTTTTTTTCTTTTATTATTCATATGTGCATACAAGGCTTGGGTTATTTCTCCCCCCCTGCCCCCACCCCCTCCCTTTACCACCCACTCCGCCCCCTCCCTCTCCCCCCGACCCCCTCAATACCCAGCAGAAACTATTTTGCCCTTGTTGTAGAGAGAGTATAAGGCATAATAGGAAGGAACAAGGGTTTTTGCTGGTTGAGATAAGGATAGCTATACAGGGAGTTGACTCACATTAATTTCCTGTGCGTGTGTGTTACCTTCTAGGTTAATTCTTTTTGATCTCACCTTTTCTCTAGTTCCTGGGAAAGCAGGGACTTTAAACACATTTTTGTATACCAGTGGTTACAACAGCACTACTGATAACAAACAAAAAGTGGCAAGCAAATCAAGTGTCCATCAATAGATGAACAAAAGGTGTTATATTCATACCACATTTACTGAACCGAGAAAGAAAACCAAACGAAGCCCAGTAATACCTTCTTCCATGGACTTAGTGAAGTTGCACAAAAGTGAGGACAACCCCTTCAGACAGCCAGCCAGAACAGGAAGTTTGGGCTCTCTTACTGTAGATGTCATCTAAAAGAAAATTTTAGAAAAATGTCACGAAATGAGAAAAAAGCAATAAAGTATATGGAAGTGGAATATCATAAAGTTTATCATACCTGGGTCTTAAGTTCACCCAGAAAAGCCCGGAACAGGTTTTCTGAATGATTTATCATCTCACTAGGATGCACTTCACCTAATACTCCTAGGAGCTCATAGACTTTTTCTAAAACTGAAAAATAAATTTTAGACAAATGAGGGCCTAAAACTATGTTTCAAGTAAGTTAAATTAACAAAAACATATGAATAAAGAAAATGAGAGGATGTTTAGTTTAAAATAAAACATACAAAATACCTAGTTTTGCATATTAGAATCTTTCCCAAGTTTTATGTAAATCTACTAGTATAAACTAAATTATATTTGATGTGATGAGTTTTCTGTTAACAGGAATCATTTTGTAAAGATTAATGTTTTTATAAACAGAAGTCTTCGGACATTGTTTTTGTTTCTATTTTGGTATGTTTTGAGCAAAAAAAGATTCGTCAGTAAAACATATAAGATCTTGGTAGAAAGAAAAAAAAAAAAGACCTTGGTAGAGAAAATCTAAGTCTTATGCTAAAGGCTAATGTTAACTTGTTAAAATATTTGAAAATAATATTTAAATACACCTCACCTGTATCTGGTACTTTTCTTTTCAATGTAAGTTCTCCATAGAATTTATTAAATAATTCTCCAACCTTAAATTCATCCATAAGTCTAGAACTTCTCAGCATCTGAAGTAACTGAAAGAATACAAATTGGTACTTTCTTTTTTTTTGGCACTAGGGGATTTGAACCCAGGGCTCACACTTGTTAGGCAGACACTTTACTATTTGAGCCACTCCATTAGTCTTTTTTTTTTTTTTTTTTAATTCCTAAAGAAATTTATTGCTCACAGATCTGGAGGCTAGGTCCAAGATCAAGGTGACAAACTGGCTCTTTCTAAAGAGAAAAATACAAAAAAAGATTCCTCTACCTCCACGGATTTGCATAGAGAAGATTCAGAATAGTGTCTCTAGAGGACTGATACTGAGCCTCTCAGGACCCATCTACCAGGTGACTTGGGGAGGTAGGGCTTGAGGTGAGTGGTGGGAGAGCACAAGGAAGGGTTATCTAGACTTAACTTTACATTCCTCGGAAACCAATAACATAACTACAACTTTTCCTCAAAGGCACTCAGGACCACAGACCAACCAGTCCCAAAGAAATTCTAAAAAAGAAATGCAAAAGGAGATGGCCGGATGCTGGTGGCTCATGCCTGTCTGTAATCCTAGCTACTCAGGAGGCAGAGATCAGGAGGATGGCAGTTTGAAGCCAGCCCTGGGCTTATCTCAAAAAACCCATCACAGAAAAAGGGCTGGCGCTGGCAGAGTGGCTCAAGTGGTAAGAGCACCTGCCTAGCAAGCATGAGGCCCTGAGTTCAAACCCCAGTGCTGCAAAAAAAAAAAAAAAAAAAGACGCAGATGCAAATAAGTTGCCAGGGGCCAAGGCAATGCAGTAGTCCCATTCCCACTCCTGAGGTTTAACGAAAACTCATGAGAAACACAAGGGCAACTTTTGGCAACTCCTAACTAGCATCAGGTCTTGCCAAAGGCAATAAGGGTGATAAATAGAAGAGCAGTAAATCCTTAGTTATTTTTGTCCTTTGTTCCCTTCACAACCCCAATTTCTTCTTTTACAATCCAGAAGGCTATGAAAACTAAACATCTTGCCAGGTGATGACAGGAAACACTTATCTTATCTACCCATCAAAGTGATTCTACTCTATCCTCCCCCAACACTTACCCAAAACAAAACTCAAAACTCCAATTTTCTCTTTTATAAGCTAAATATTTAACAAAAAATATATGTGCTTAGGAATATGAAATTACCTTAATGAGAAGATCTAGGGCTGGAATTTTACATTTAGCAGCTCTGTCTTTTATATAAACACTGGTGCAAGTATTCTAGGTTTTAAAAGGAAACATACCAAAATCATCAATCACATATAGGAAGTAAGACTTAATAGCTAAAACTATGTCCCTAAGGAGCAAAACCAACGTATAACAATAAAATATGGCATTTAGGAGTTAGGAATATACCATTAGAGTATATAAATAGATTCTGACTAATTTAAACTAATTCAGAGTAATTCAGATTAAGAATTACTGAAAATACTGATTCAATGTGCTATGATAACAATGTGAATAATCAAAAAACACAAAGTAGAGCTGCCAGAGAGCTCAAGTGTAGTGTACCTGCTTAGCAAGCACAAGGCTCTGAGTTCAACCCCTAATACCATCAAAATTAAAAAACGCAAAGTACATGGACACTTCAGTAGGATTTTTAAAAATAACAAAAAACCACTTATTCCTTCCTACATAGATCCCAAAGTATTTGTTAGTATAACCAAGAAAGAAACATGTCCCAGCTATTCAAAAGGCTGAGGTGGGAAGATCACCTGAGCAAGAATTTGAAAGCAGCTTGGGCAATATGGAAGAATAAATGAAAGGGAGGCAAAGAAGGAAAAGGGAGGAAGAGAGGGAGGGAGGAAGAAAGGAAGGAAGAAGACCAAAGAAATTCAGAGAAGTTGGGCACTGGTAGCTACTCAGGAGGCAGAGATCATGAGGACCAAGGTTTGAGGCCAGCCCAAGCAAACAGTGTGTAAGACTCTATCTCAAAAACACTCAACACAAGAAAAAAGGGACTGGCAGAGTGGCTCAAGTGGTAGAGCACCTGCCTTGCAAGAGTGAAGCCCTAAAACTTTGTAAAGTGTGACACACTCTGCAAATATTAGCTACTCCTATCACTGAGATAATTTTTTTAAATAGTAAGATTCCTATCAAGATAGACTAGAAAAAGACTAGAAATCTAATGAAAATAAAATATTGGTAATCATTAAAAAATGTATATATATATATTTTATAATTTTAGCTACCTATAACTTTTAAAATACAATTGTCCTTCAGTTTCTAGTGGGAAAGGGGAGTGGGATTTGTTTCACCCAAAACCTGCACCAGTCTCTTATATAAAATTTAATATTTTCATATAACTTACACACATAACTCTATATACTTTGTTATCTTACTTACAATGTAAATGTCGCATAAATAGTTGTTATACTGTACTTGTTAGGGAATAATGACAAGAAGATAAATTTGCAACTTTTTAAAATATTTTCAATCCACAGGTAGTTGAATCTGTGGATGCAGAAGAACCTGCAGATACAGAGGCTGAGTGTATCTTCTTATAGCTGACATCAGACTCAATACATACTTCATCATCAATTCTTAGCAAATAAAAACTAGAAGCAAATTCTGAGCCAACACAACTTATCTTGAGATGTATTAAAATTATAAAAAAAGCTGAGAAAGAACAACTGCATTTATAATTACTAGTTCTATAGTTAATTATGAGAAAACCTGGCAAAGGCATGTTGAAGGAGAAAGGCAAGCACCAACAGAGCTTTTGCCAAAGAAAACACGTGGATCTTTCCCAGTGGAAGGGTTCTTTAAAATTATCATTTAAAGTATTTGGAATTTCTCCCCAAAAAGAAAGAAATCAATTCAAAAAATCCAATTTATTATGACATTAATGGCAAAAAATTATCAAGATAGTTACAAAAAAATCATCAACGGGAGTAGATCCTTTCTCTGACAAGGGTCTTAATCTTACCAAATCTAAAACCAAATAATGAAGAACCCACTTCATTTCTCACAAACCAAGCAGAAATAAGTAAACTTCCTAACAAGAAAAGCATAAATAAAATTCTAAGTTCCTTACATAAATAGATGTTATTTAATGAGGTATGTTTTTACCTTAATATCAAGAGAATAAGGCATGATGTTCTGACCAATCTTTTCTAAGAAAATACATAAAAATTTTAGGGCTTCTTCTCTACAATCACGAAACTATAAGAAATAAACACAGAGAATATGGGTAAGAATAAGAGTCATTCCAACATAAAGAACTATAGGAGACAAAAATAAAAGGTTTACACTTACTTCATCAATGCTAAGTGATTTCCGAACAAACACAAGCAAACCAAAATCTCTGGAAAAAATTAAGGAGGTCTGTAATGCTAAACAAAAAAAAAAAAAGAGAGAGTTGCCAAGAAATATTTCATGAGTCACTTCTAAGAAGGCTGAAGGATTTTCAGGGAAGATTTGCAATAAAACATCAACCTAAGGCTGCAATACTGACACAAAGCAGAATTTGTAGATGATGGTCCATAGGAATTAAAGTAAGCAAATTAATGGACCTCCCCCTAAAGATGACTGCACCCTCATCTCTGATGTCACACACTGGATATTAAGCTTACATGGCAAAAGAAATCAAAGTTATAGATGAAATTAAGGGTGCTCAGCAGCTGACTTTAAAATGGTAAGATCATCCTGGACTGTCTGGTGGACTCATTGTAATCCCATGGGCCTTAAAGTAAAGTAAGGTACCAGTGGCTCACACCCGTAACCCTAGCTACTTGGGAGGCTGAGTTCGGGAGGACTGCAGTTCAAGGCCAGTCTTGGCAAATAATTCTCGAGACCCCCATCTCCAAAATAACCAGAGCAAAACGACTGTAGGTGTGATCAAAGCGGGTGGTAGAACACCCACTTTACAAGCAGGAAGCCCTGAGTTCAAACCCAAGTCTCATCAAAAAAAAAAAAAAAAAGGTGGTGGGAGAGAAATGGGAAGACGGGAGAGCAGGAGAGATTTAAGACTCTCCTGAGAGGGATTTGGCATGCTGTTTGTTGTTGCTGGCTTTGAGAATGGACAAAAGGACTCTGATCTAAGGGAAGTGGGCATCTTTTAGAAGGAACATCAACAAAGAAACAGGGGCTTCAATCCTAGGACCTGAATGAATAAGGAAATGAACTGTTCCCTAGAGCCTTCGAAAAGGCTCTGCCTGATTTGTTTCTAGCTTGTTGAGATGCCCAGCTTCTGACTACAGAACTTTAAAGTTAGAGATGAGGTTGTGTAAAATCAAGCTAGGCCCAGTATGGTGTGCATGCCTGTAATTACAATGCTTAGGAGGCTGAGGTAGGACCATGGCAAGTTCAATGCCAGCCTTGGCTATGCAGTGAGACCCTATCTCAAAACCAAAAACAAAACACCAGTAAACTTGGGTGTTTTGTTACAGTAGCAAAAGGAAACTAATTCTTCTACACCTCCAATATATTGAATTTTGACAGTAAACTGCTTTAGAAGCAAGATAATAGAATTGAACTCTACCCTTGAAACCCCAAGGACAGGAAGAAATTAATGTTTATCTTATACATCTTTGACAATACATACTATGTAGCTTCTTCTTTTTATTTGGAGTGCTGGGGATGGAACCCAGGACCTGGCACTACTAGACAAGTGCTCTACTACTGAGCTACAAGCCCTAGTCCTTATACAGCATCTTGTTTAAAAAGTTTTAAAGTTCTTACATCTCTACACAGTATTCAGCTGACCTCCTTAGAAGACCTTATCTAGTTCTTAAGAGGGTACACCTTGATATAAAAAGGTCTGCGTATTTATATTTTTAAAAGGAATACAAAGTTTTCACGGCAATGGTATTTTTAAGTCTAAAAAATGCTAGCCTGGGGAGATGGCACGATTACACGCCTTTAATCCCAGGGCCAGGGAAGCTGGCAAAGGCAGAGCGAACACAAGCTCCAGACCAACCTGGGCTACATAGTGAAACCTTGCCAAAAAAAAAGAGGAGGTACTTCCACAAAGTGGGGTGCGGATGGGGGCAGGGAGTAGTTCTCCCGCAGGCATTGCCCAAAAGTTTTAAACAGCACAACCTTTCAGTTATATTTCTGCAAGTATTCTCAAAGCCAGGAACAATGAAAATAAGGGTGTGGAAAAGGAACTGGTGGGTTTGGCGAAATTAAGGTGAAAGACAATACTGTTGTCCTGTTTCCCACAGTGGATAGCAATGACTGTCAAATTTGGGTCATTTCCACCAACTTCGGAAGAAAAAGCAGTATGACAAGTCACTTCTTTTATGCACATCCACAGAAGCTCCGGAGCTCTCAATATACAGCTGACTATTACACCCACAGAGGAGAAACGCTGGGCCGCCTCGCTGCGCTATGACAATGAAAGCGAAAGACCAGCAGCGGCCCAAGACCGTACCCACCCAGCACCGCCGGGCTGGCACTCAGCACGCACTCCTGCCCCAGGCCGCGGATCAGCTGGTGACTGGCCAGGGCAGCGCTCTGGTGGTCCGCGGCGGACAAGGACTCCTGCAACTGCATCAGAGGACCCCGCACACCTGCCCTGGACTCCGCCATGACGCCGACCTCCAGCCTCCGCGCGTGCGCACAGCCTGCGGCGGGAAATAGCGTGGGGCGGGGCGGCGGGTGTAGGAACCATCCATGGGACTCTCGCGGAGGGGTTCTCTGGCTAGAAACGTTTGCCTTAGACCTGATTTAGTATACTGGCAGATTTATGAACGTATAGCACTTAGTGTACATATCATCTACACATGGAAACGCAAGGGGAGCCAAGAATAGATGGGGAGGAAACCTATTGGACTGGAGTAAATACCGGAGGCAGAAAAACGCAAGGTTGGGAACTAGTCAAGGTCGACAAATTTGTTCCTCGATAAAGAGAGAAAAATACACTTGAAGTGTCTTTAGAAAAATGTCTAAGGGATAACGAAGTATATACATCTTAGCCAATACTAAGATGAGGAACACACAACCCCCCCCCCGGAAACTTTGGTGGAACTCCCCAGATTTCCCGCGAAAACGCGCTTGGGTAGCAGGTCAGACCATCTGAACTGAGGGTAAGGCCCAGCAAGGCCTGGGTCTGTTTTCCACAGGAGACCTCTCAGTCCCCCCTGTGGGAGGTCAGTGGCACCTTCCGGAGGTGGAGCCGTGCTCTAGCGCTGCTGTGATTGGATACGCGCCGCCATGGGCGGTGACTACCGTGCAGCTGGCGGGAACGCTAGACCTGCTTGCGTTGTCTTGAGAGCGCTTTGCCAGGTGGTCCCAGGATCTGCGGGTGTTGTGCGGCAGCAACCTTTTCTGGTAGCCGCGCTTTGGTGAGAAGGAGAAAACCCCGCGGGAACGGTGGGCGCGGTGCGAGCCTGTCCTTGTCGCTCAGGTACCCCAGCACCATGTCGTCCCCGGCGTCTACCCCGAGCCGCCGCGGTAGCCGGCGCGGGCGTGCCACCCCTGCCCAAACGCGTAAGTCTTCCTTTCCTATCCCCCTGGGAGCCGGTCTTGCCTCCCGCGCCCCTGTGTCTCCGCCCCTTCCTCCCTGGCCTCCCTTCCCCCTTTTCTCCCCCACACCCAATCCCCAACCCGGAGCGACTTGGAGGTGTTGAGGGTCTGGCGTGCGGGTGACCAGCGCCGGGCATTTCCTGCCGCGGCTGCGTGTTCCTCTCCATCTCGGCCAGCATGCTTCTTAATCATTTCGAACGGTTAAACATGTCTACATCCTTTTTCGCCTCTATTGGGTTTCTATGTAAGTAATCAAACCACTCCAAGAGAAAACCTCACTTGAGCATTGATAGCCGTCTTCTGTGTTTTGTATGACACAAGCCCGAAGTGAGGAAGCCAGGTCATCTCCCTCTCAGAGACGTAGAGGTGAAGATTCCACCTCCACAGGAGAGCTGCAGCCCATGCCCACCTCGCCAGGAGCTGACCTGCAGAGCCCTGCCGCTCAGGATGCCTTGTTTTCCAGCCCTCCTCAGATGCACTCTTCAGGTGGGTTTCTGAAGATCCAGGTTATACTGTGGTTGACAGTAAAGATGATTCTTAAGCCAGTTGGTTTTGCTGGTTGGATACCACTAGTTGACATAACGTCTAAGCATTCCTTGTGTTCGAGCTGCTAGGCTCTTCACCAAAGTGCTGAAGAATGAAGCAGAGCCGGTACATGTTAGAGTCTAATGAGCAGAGAAAAATAGTTTTTGTTGGCCATTAATGCTCAAAGTCCTAAACACTAAGGGTAGTGGTCAGATGACAGCTCAGCAGACAACAAGCTGTAGTTTTGAGTCCAATGTACTACCAAAATTTGATGGTGAACTTGTACATCTTGTTTTTATAGCTATTCCTCTGGACTTTGATGTTAGCTCACCCCTGACATATGGCACTCCCAGCTCTCGGGTGGAGGGAACCCCAAGAAGTGGGGCTAGGGGCACACCAGTGAGGCAGAGGCCTGACCTGGGCTCTGCACGTAAGGGTCTGCAAGTGGACTTGCAGTCTGATGGGGTGAGTACATGGCAGTTTCCTGATAGCTTCAATTTGGAAACAAAAAGTGGGTAATCCCACTGACACGGTTCTGTCATTTTTCTCTTTAGACAGCAGCAGAAGATATAGTAGCAAGTGAACAGTCTCTAGGCCAAAAACTTGTCATCTGGGGAACAGATGTAAATGTGGCAACATGCAAAGAAAATTTTCAGGTACACTGTGTTAAAACATTCATACTTTAGTGTTCGAAAATATTGGGAGAAAGTGTTTATGTTGTATGTACAAGTAGCTATAATGCCCTAGGGAAGACTTCTGGATGGTTTAGAATTGTTGATATTTCTCAAAAAATATGTCTAAGTGCAGATAGCCACATACTCATAACTATCTGCATTTAAATAATAGTTACTTCAGTTCATTAAGCTTGACATTTTTTCTCTCCAAATCAAGAAATTTCTTCAGCGTTTTATTGACCCTCTGGCTAAAGAAGAAGAAAATGTTGGCATAGATCTTACTGAACCTTTGTATATGCAACGACTTGGAGAGGTATTCAAATGTTACTTACAAACTAAAAACATGACAATAAAATTAGCAAAATATGACTTACTCATTTTATCTTACAGATTAATGTTATTGGAGAGCCATTTTTAAATGTAAACTGTGAACACATGAAATCATTTGACAAAAATTTGTATAGGCAGCTTATCTTCTACCCACAGGTAAGAATTTAACTTTGACTTTGGGGAATTGCAGTAAATATCTACAAAGGATATTATGCATAGCAGGATTTCCTTAGTAACAATATGCCTCCAAGTTATGAACGCTTTGTAAAGAAAACCTGTTTGCTTCCTTTAAAATGAATGTTTTTCACACTTTAGTGTTTCTCAGAATAGCATGTGTTACTGTCATTGATGTACCAGTTTAATTGGTAGTATTTCTGAAAATGATAACCAATCTTACAAGTGATAGTTCCATAGATTATGTAAGTAATCTTAAATAATCATAAGTGGAAGTATTTTAAAAAGCATTGTATGGTTTGTACCATCTTTAGCAGAATATGTATTAGCCACAGTATATTCTTTTTATTTAACAAAGATCAGGTTATATTAATGAAATGTCAACTGTAGGCATAGACTTTGGAGATGCCAACTTGGATTTTCAATCTTGTCTTTGCTGATTAGTAGCTATATAATCCCAATCCTTGGCCTCCCAAAAGCTGTTTTTTCTTCTGTATAGTGAGAACAATGAAATAACCATGATTTAATCTACCTTGGTATCATTTCACTCTGGAAGAAAAATGAAAATATGACAAACAGTATGTGCTCAAAATCTCTCCCTTTCCAATAAGCATAAAGCATGCCAGGTTTGAAAATGACATATATGCATGAGTCTGTAGGGTGATACTTCGGAGTATGCCATATTTTTTTGCTTTTATACTTTGTTAATATGAATTTTTTTTCTTAAAGACAGGATTACAAGCATTGCTTGATATCTGCATATTTGTTTTTGCAGGAGGTTATCCCAACCTTTGACATGGCTGTCAATGAAATTTTCTTTGACCGTTACCCTGACTCTATTTTAGAACATCAGATTCAAGTAAGACCATTCAATGCATTGAAGACAAAGAACATGAGAAACTTGAATCCAGAAGGTAATGTATTTAGTAGTAGCCTTATTTTATCAAGAAATTTGAAAAGAAGTGGTAGTAGTGGTAATGGATTATAAATTGAGAAAATAATATAGATTCTTTTATTTTATGTGCTCTTGTGAACCCATTATACCTTTCTCTAATTTAACTGAGATATCTGATACAAAAGATGTTTGTTGGGCATGGTGGTACATCTGTAATCCCAGTTACTTGTGAGATGATGACAAGAGGATCATGAGTTCAAGGCCAGCTTGGACAAAGGTAGCAAGACCCCCATCTCAGAAACAATACAAACAAAGATGGATTAGGGGTATGACCGTAGAGATAGAGCACTTGGCTAGCTTGCGCAAGGTCTTGAGTTCACTTCCCAGCACTGCAAAAAAAATCTAAGCCAGGTGCCAGTAGCTCACACCTATAATCCTAGTTACTCCAGAGGCAGAGACTGGGTTGGTTCAAAACCAACCCAGTAAATAGTTCACAGGCCCTGTCTTAAAAATACCCAACACAGGGCTGAAGGAGTAGCTCAAGTGGTAGAGTGTCTGCCTAGCCAGTGTGAGGCCCTGAGTTCAAACCCCAGTGCCACCAAAATAAATAAATAAACAGTAATAAAATAAGTAAACAAAAATGTTATGTGTGAGCAACTGGAAATGCAATTAAAAAAAAAAAAAAAAAAACCCAAACACAAACCGGGCACTGGTGGCTCATGCCTGTAATCTTGGCTACTTAGGAGGATCAGTTGGAAGCCAGCCCAGACAAATAGTTTGAGAGACTGTAACTGGAAAAAAAAAGACGCATCACAAAAAAGGGCTGATGGAGTGGTTCAAGGTGTAGTCCCTGAGTTCAAACCCCATACTGAAAAAAAAAAAAAGAAATCTAACACAGAAGAGGGATGGTGGGGTGGCTCAAGTGGTAAAATCGCTTGCCTAACCAGCATGAGGCTGAGTTCAAACCCCATACCACCAAGAAAAAAAAAAAATCTAGATATTATTTCATAGTTAATAGGGAGGCATTAATACTTTCTGAAGAGGAAGATTTTGCCACTCTTGATGGTTTACTAAGGTTCTTGAACTTAAATTATGAATGATATATTGAAGTTAGGTTAGTAGATTCCTACATTGGCCCAATTATGGGGTATCAGAGTCCTGACCTAAACAGTGGCTATAATAGTGAAAATATAGGACATACATGGTGTTCTCCATGTATGAAGTTTGAGATGTAAAAGTTGTTAAAAGCTAATAAAAACCTCTGCGGACAAATGTAGGGATGTAATAAATTTCAGTAAGAGAAGTAGAACCAGTAAAAAGGAACAAGTCATTTTTTACATTTTTTATTTCACTATTTACTGAAGAGTAAATCTGTAGGTTTTTTTGTTTTTGTTTTTGTTTTTGTTTTCTTTTATGAAACTGGCTCCTGGCAACATCTTTCTTGTAGGGATGTCATAGGCCCTAAGAGGGGTGTGTTTAAATTTTCAGAGGCAGAGAACTATTGATTTTAAAACTCTTAGGTAAGTCTGGGGACACAGCCCAGTGGTGAAGCACTTGGTGTAGCGTGCTCAAGGCCCTTGGTTCAATCCCCAGAATCACAAAAGAAAAACAAGATTAGAGATGATCATACACTTAGAAATCAAGAACATCTGACCTCTTCCCAGCAGACCTTGACCAGCTTATTATCAGTGGCATGGTCATCAGGACATCAATTGGTTTCAAAAGTTGCATTTTAAAATAAAAGGATTAGCTGAGAAGGAAGCAAGAAGATTTATAAGTAGGTGGAAAGTCAGGTCAAATAAATTCTAAAGACCTTGTGAACCAGTGCTGGTGGGGTGACTTGGTGTGGTTAACAAAGCTGAACCACAATCATGTTTTGTTGACTACTGAGACCAGTGTAACGCATTTAGAACCAGCAGTAGGAATTACTCAGGTAGAAGTACAACAAAGAGGAAAGAAAAGTCTGTTGGGAAAGGCCTAAATAGAGGAAATGTGAGCAAACAATGGAAAATGTTAGTATAGAAGGAGCTTGTTGTGTAGATAGTGGTGACTAGTAAGGACTGATAGGCGCACTGCCTTACTAGGTGTGGTGTATATACTAAATCTTCAACAGCTTTAAGATCAGTCCTGTTCTTATTTCCTATAGATGTGGGCACAAAGGATAAGGGTGTCCCCAGGGTTGCACATAGTCCAGATCGTCTGGCTCTAGAGCTCAGGCTTTTCACTGGAGGCTATGGTACAAACTATACAAATTCATCAAACTTCTGATCTGTCGAGATGCCTTTTGGGCTGCAGGCCTGAAAGAGAAAGTACTGGGATTGAAAGGAAGGGCATCCTTGGCCAGTCTTGAGGGTACCCACCCAGCTGCTCATGGATAGCCAAAGCACATTCTGCGACCCCCAGTTGTACCCAGCACCCCTGCCTCAGGTAAAGTTCTGCTGCCTTGTGGCAGGACCAGACCTGGCTGGGCTGATGGGGGTGGCTGGTAAGCAAACCAACCTCTCTCCCCCAACAGACATTGACCAGCTCATCACCATCAGTGGCATGGTCATCAGAACATCACAGCTGATACCTGAGATGCAGGAGGCCTTCTTCCAGTGCCAAGTGTGTGCCCACACCACCCGGGTGGAGATGGACCGCGGCCGCATTGCTGAGCCCTGTGTCTGTGGGCGCTGCCACACTACCCACAGCATGGCGCTGATCCACAACCGCTCCCTGTTTTCCGACAAGCAGATGGTACGTGGCCATCCTGCTCCCCGGGCAAGACTCCTAGGCACAAGCTTCTGCCAGTGTTTGAATCCTCAGAAAGCCAAATTTAACTTATTACTCAGAGGCTCTCTACTTTGCTTTCTAAATGGCATGATTCAAATCCTTCCATTCCTTAGACATGTAGGTTTGTTAGTGGATTGTGGGCTGGAATATGTATAGCACACTGAGGCTTCAAGTGTTGGACTGTCCGATCCATTATTATATACTCCACATTCTTAAAAGCTATAGTCATTTATAAGTTAACATCACATTGGCTTACTCTTTGATTTAGTAAATCAAATTTAGCATGAGATGCTTTTATGGGGACTTGAAGATTGTGTATAGGTTGTAATACATAGAAAATTGTGATGAAAATTATGGTTAAATTCCATTGCTTTGCAACTATTCTACCAATAGAGAATGAATGGAGAAATTCTTCTGAAGCCTGTCTGGGAAAAAGGGCAAATCTCCACTTGAAAAACAAACCAAAAGCAAAAGTACTAGGGATATGGTTCAAGTGGTAGAGCACTTGTCTTGCAAGTGCAAGACCCTGGGTTCAATCCCCACTACCACCAAAAAAAAAAAAAAAAAGCTTGCATACAAGGATAGGATTGGTTAGGTCTTCTTGGGTTATACTGTTAAACTTTTGTTTCCATAGTGCAGTGTTGTACTGAGAGCTGGAGATAGAAAGGCAGAGGCCCTCCCACAAGTATTTTGTAGTCTGATAGTCTCAGACTCATTGAAGACTCACAAATTGGCTTAGAATAAAACCCCTGACAGCCTCAGACCCAAATGAGAGAGAGGTTACCTGGTTTTACAAAGGTCTTCCTTAAGCATCAAATCTGTTCCCATTACCTGAGGTCTCTGCAGCTTTATCCTGTTTTGTATCTGTCTGTTACATTTGTCACTGTCACATCTGAAACATGCTCCATTCCATGACGGAGTGTCAGTTCCTAACACCTGCATCAGGGTCCAGCCTGAGATAGACATTCAGCAGGTACCTCTTATGTGAATGGATGTAGACAGAGATGTGGCAAGTATCTGACTGCAGAAGTACCTAAATCAAGGTTGCACAAAGGCATGCATTTCTTTTGTTTTTGTTGTTCTCATTTCCTTGGTGCTCTTTATGTCTCAAGTTCCCTCTTCACTGTTCTTCTTCAGATCAAACTTCAAGAGTCTCCTGAAGACATGCCTGCGGGGCAGACACCTCACACTGTTGTCCTGTTTGCTCACAATGATCTTGTGGACAAGGTTCAGCCTGGGGACAGAGTGAATGTCACAGGTAAGAATGTAGGTTTGTTATGACACAACAGGGTGCTTGTCCTGCTTTTAATGCCCTTCCAGTGAGTACTTCAGTTCCATCATTAGCTCATTTGAGTGGAGCTGATTCTGCCTGCTGTTATCAGTGCAAGTATTTGAGGCTGTGGAGCTCTCCCTACTTTACCCACCTTCTTTTTAACTTAGTTCCATGGTTCAGAACTGTGAATCCCTCCGTTCTTCCTAGCCTTGGATTTTGTAATTCATGGTCCTTATAGTCACTTTCCTCATGCTATGTAGGTTCCCCAGAGCTATGTGTGTGTCTCAAATTGATAGTGTTGATACCCTAAGACAGCAGCTTCAGACAAGGTTGGTATTGGTAGTTGATCTGTGCCAGCATCTCAGGGAAATAGCACCAACTATGAAGTCGAATAATTTTCCAGTTATTTCCCACATACACAGCTAAGGATTAATACTCATTTTAGAGAAGAGCAGTGCAGAGTACCCACTTCTGTGCTGGGAGGCAGGTGCAGAGACATGAAGCTTAGCACTGTGGCACATCTTTACTCCAGGATCCAGATCCTGTCTCTTCCTGACAGGAGTGCCCTTTTCACACTTTGGAGGCATGCAGGAACTTGGTCTGTCAGGAGGGTGTGTGGTGACATTGTTTTACATACGGGGATTGGGGATTGATTACAGTAAGCACTGGTTTCTGGGATTCATAAATCCATCTTTTTTATTTATTTATTTATTTATTTTTTTGACATACCGAGGATTGAACTCAAAGTCTAGCAAGCACTCTACCATTTGATCCGTACCTCAGCCCCAGTAAGAAGTCCTCTTCCTGTTTCTTCCCCTACCATAAAGGGTAGTAATAGTAAGTTGTAAAAGTATGTGAAGTGGTTGAAAATTTGAAAGGATATCTAGATATATACAATCCTAGTTCTGCCACCACCTGCTCTGAAATCTTTGCTAAAGCATTTTTTACAATGTATTATTAGTTTTCTCAACTGCAAAGTGGAATAATGTGATGACACATGGGAAAGTATTTGGGGCAAAGGGGTTATGCAAAGTGCTGTGTAGGTGTAAGATAAGTGTCATCTATGCAAAGATGAATCACAGCAGGCACCTGTAGGAAGATGACTAGGAACTAGGTCACTTCAAATGTCATAAACATAATCACCTTTCCTTCATTCATCTTGGTAAGAAGTATAATCTAGTATGTTTTCTAAGAATGTCACATACAAACTGATTTTTATGTTTTAAATGAGAATTACATTGCCATGTTAAGTAAATAGAGGACAGTGGTCTATGCCACCAGGATGAGAGAGAGAGAGATCAGACATACCAGTTAAGGAAACCTTCCTTGGAAAATACATGAGTTGGTGCAGTTGAAGTATTGTTAATCCATACTTTTGAGTCACATTCGTTGGTAGGTTGGTTTGGGGGGTTTGGTTTTTGTTTGTTTTTGCAATGCTGAGGATCAAATCCAGGGACTTGTACGTTCTAGACAAGCACTGTATGACCCTGTTACACCCCTAGACCTTGAATTGTATTCCCAAGAAACATTCAGAAATACTTTATTATTATGGACCCAGAATAGTCACTTTTCTTTCATCTTTGACTGAGTAAGCCATCCTGCTATCAATGAAATAATTTTTCAAATATTTGAGCTTTTAGAATTTCTTTTCTTTACAAATTTGGTATGGGGTTTTAGTATTTTGCTCCAGTCACTCAGCCTAGGGAAATTAAGGTACTATGTATTGAACATGACCATGAGCCAGACATTGTGCTGGAAGCAGCCTATTTTTATTTCACCCCTAGAACAATTATATGCCATACAGTTATCCTCAGATGCTGTCCATGGTCATAGGTAACAGGTAGACACAGCCAAACATGCTATTAGGTTCACTGTTCTCAAAAACCTGTGTTCTTCTTAGCTTTGACCTTTTTTGCTGCTATCTCCCCACTTGATCAAAAGGGAGTGACAGCTTTGCATTATAGGCCTCCTGAGGGGGTCCTCACTCCAGAAGACTCACAAGAGCCCATGTACAGCAAGACAAGATGGAGTACTGCCAGTTATCTGAGTTGGCCACTGAGCCCTAAGAGGGAGAAGTGCAACAGGTAAAAGTCTTTCTCACTGATATGCCCTTAGGCATCTATAGAGCAGTGCCTATTCGAGTCAATCCAAGAGTGAGCAACGTGAAGTCTGTTTACAAAACCCACATTGATGTCATTCATTATCGAAAAACGGATGCAAAACGCCTGCATGGCCTTGATGAAGAAGCAGAACAGAAGCTTTTTTCAGAGAAACGTGTGGAATTGCTGAAGGAACTTTCCAGGAAACCAGACATTTATGAGAGACTGGCTTCAGCTTTGGCTCCCAGCATTTATGAACACGAAGATATAAAGAAGGTAACGATAGGTTTTTGTAATTTGGGATTGGGATTTACAGGGTAACCATTCTTTCGTCATGCTGCTATCATCACCCAAGGATAAGAGCTGTTGGTTTGGTTTTTTTGTTTTTGTTTTTTTTTTTTTTAATTTTGATTTGGTTTTTGGGTTTGTTTTTTCTTTTTAATGGAACTGGGGTTGAACTCAGGGCTTCATGCATGCAAAGCAGGCACTCTACTACTTGAGCCACACCTCCAGTCCATTTGCCATGGTTATTTTATAGATGGTGGTCTTGTGAACTATTTGTCTAAACTGGCCCAGAACCACAATCTTCCCGATCTTAGCCTCCCAAGTTGCTAGGATTACAGGCATGAGCCACTGGCACTGAGCTGTTTCCTGTTTGACAGAGCAAGGTGGTCTGGCCCCTTGCGTTGGTCATTAGTTAAGAATCACAGCTTTACTGTTTTTTTACTCATCCCTGCACTGAACTCAGCTATGTTCCTAAATGTAAGAGGCCCCACATGATCAGAACAGCGATTTTTGTAAGTAGTGTTTGGGATGATGTATGCTTAGGTTTGAATCAGAGATAATTTAGAGTAACCAGAGTAGAAAAGAACCTCAAAGTTGAAGCTAAATCAAATCAAGTAGGATAAATCAATCAATGTTTTCCTATGTTTATATATTTGTCTTTTAGGGAATCCTACTTCAGCTCTTTGGTGGAACAAGGAAAGATTTCAGTCACACAGGAAGGGGTAAATTTCGAGCCGAAATCAACATCCTTCTGTGCGGTGACCCTGGTACCAGCAAGTCCCAGCTGCTGCAGTATGTGTACAACCTGGTCCCCAGGGGCCAATACACGTCTGGAAAGGGTTCCAGTGCAGTTGGCCTCACAGCCTATGTTATGAAAGACCCTGAAACCAGACAACTGGTCCTGCAGACAGGTGCCCTTGTCCTGAGTGACAATGGCATCTGCTGCATTGATGAGTTCGACAAGATGAATGAAAGTACAAGATCAGTGCTGCATGAGGTGATGGAGCAGCAGACTCTCTCCATTGCAAAGGTAAGTCTCAGTCCCCATTGTGACCACAGACACACTTAGACATGTGGATCTTTGAGATGAAGCATCTGCATAGCTGTGCAGCCTTACCCTGGTTCTGACTGGCGAAACCAGTGAGTACTCTTCCTACGAGATTTCAACTAAATCTCTTTAAGTAGCCTCTTATCTTTTGTGCTTTGTTAACCCACTGCTGTGTGGTATTCATGGAATTTGAATTTGCACTGATGTTCACACAAGGTTTGCTTTCTGATAAGGATGTGACCACAGCACAGATTGATCTAAGTTCAATCCTAGGCATGAATCTGAGAACAGGTCATGTCCATCTGCAACTGAGGAAGTCAGTGAAGGTGATGAGGCTCTTGAATGGCAGAACCATAGCAGAGCAAATGAGATTTAGCCAGAGGTTAGGTGAAGATGGCTATGTTCCCTGCCAACATCAAGGAGAGGCTTCTAACTGCACTGTCTTTGATAGGCTGGAATCATCTGTCAGCTTAATGCACGAACCTCTATACTGGCTGCAGCAAATCCCATCGAATCTCAATGGAATCCTAAAAAAACAACCATTGAAAATATTCAGCTACCTCACACATTGTTGTCAAGGTATTAAAACATTCTTACAAGACAGATGTTTTTCTTTGCTCACTTGTAGAATTTTCAGTGGGAGACTGAGAAGGAAATAATGGTAAGAGAATGTTTCAGATTTGGTTGGTGAGGGCTTTTTCTGGCATGGATTATGTGTTCTCTGCCCAGTTGTACGTAACATCTTAACATTCATTTGGTTTTTTAGAGCCATTAGGACATTTCCTTTTAGAATCTTTTTCAAATGATAGTCACTCCTACTTGTCCTCATTGTAGAAGCTACTACTGATGATCAGCAAGGTACAGAGAGTAGCCTTGCACAGTAGATAAGGTTCTGAAGAATGAGATTTGGTAAAACTCATATGATCCTCACCTTTTTCAGACCCACAACCACAAATATTGATGTATTTCATAAGTGGATTTTAGGGGCTTTTTTGTTTTGTTTTTTTGGTGGTGGTAGTACTGGGGTTTGAACTAAGGGCCTACACCTTGAGCCACTCCACCATCCTTTTTTTTGTGAAGGGATTTTTCAAGATGGGGTCTCAAGAATTATTTGCCCAGGCTGGCTTCGAACTGTAATCCTCCTGATCTCTGCCTCCTGAGTCACTAGGATTACAGGTGTGAGCCACCAGTGCCTGGCATGGATTGTAGATTTTTATTACTTGGGTTTTTTTTTTTGCCACTCATGGGAATTGAATGCAGGGCTTCACACACGCTAGACAAGTGCTCTACCACTGAACTACACTCACAAACTCCTACCAGATTTTTTTCCGAAGACAATTGAATATATTTTCATTCAGTTTTCTAGTCTTCAATGTTATAATAACATTTCTCCGAGGGAAATCTTTTTTTTTTCTTGTGGTAGGACTGGGGTTTAAACTCAGGGCTTCGCGCTTGCAAAGCAAGGGCTTTACCACTTGAGCCACAACTCCAGTCCATTTTGCTCTATTTCTGGAGGTGGGGTCTTGTGTACTATTTGCCCAAGCTGGCCTCAAACCACTATTTTCCAGATCTGAGCCTCCCAAATAGCTACAATTATAAGAGTAAGCCAGTGGCACCCAGCTGAAGGCTTACTTCTTTAACTCAACTATTAACCTGGGCAGACTTGCGAATGAGGTCAATGGAATTGACCCCATGCCCTTTTAAGGATAGAGAACTGTTCTCCGCTGGTGGCCCTCACTGGGTACAGGATCACTGCACAGTATATGGTGGCCCAAACAACCTTTAAGCTCTGTTTGTAGTTATGTTGGTATTCCAATTTGGAAATCTGTCTTTTTCCTCCATTTTCCCAGGTTTGATTTGATCTTCCTCATGCTGGACCCTCAGGATGAGGCATATGATAGGCGTTTGGCTCACCACCTGGTAGCACTGTATTATCAGAGTGAGGAGCAGGTGGAGGAGGAGTTCTTGGACATGACATTGCTGAAAGACTACATCGCATATGCTCACAGCACCATCATGCCACAGCTGAGTGAAGAGGCCAGCCAGGCTCTAATTGAGGTAACTAGGCATGAGAAAAGATTTTACTGAGCCTGTGGCCAAAAGCATTAATGCAACTACTTAATCATCCTCCTGAAATCATTAAGAATAACATCCTATAACTACTTACTGTTTTCTCTCACATTACAAAATTGACTTTTCCAAATGTAAAATGGGCGGTGGGATTTATTTAGGTAGCTAGTACACACTTTATATATTTAAATATTGTAAACATAGTGAATTTAATATCAGAAGACCTCAGTTCAAATATCAGTGAGTCCATTTCATAAATGTGTAACTCTGGATAAATCACCTGGTTTTTCTAAACTTCTCTGTTTGTTAAAATTTAAATGAGACTGGCAGAATGGCTTAAGTGGTAGAGCACCTGCTTAGTAAGCAGGAGGCCCAGAGTTCAAATCCCAGTACCATAAAAAACTAAAATTTAAATGAATGGTAAGTATTTTAGTTCAACGCATCCTTGTGCTTTTTGGTGGTGGTCCTGGGATTTGAATTCGTCTCATGCCTGCTAGGCAGGTGCTTTCCCACTTGGGCTACTTCACCAGCCTGGTGTTACTGTATTAAGAAGGTTCCTTTTGCTTAGCTAGGCTTTATATACTAAGTGAGCTCTGAAAATACTCAGTAAAGGTTATAATCAACATGTAAATTTTCATCTGTATCACAAAAGTAAAATTATGTCATTATAAAATTAATTCAGTTATCCTTGGTAACGTTATCACAATCATGCTTTACATGCCTCATCAAATGGATTTCTAGCCAGGGAATACACCAGACTCAGGTCCAGATCCTTTTTCAGATGGACCTTCTCCTTCATCCTCTGATCACAGCCTGCTACTTGTCCAATGTGCCATGTCCCCTTCCTCTACCATTCTATTCCATATGTGGTCCTGGGGGTAGGCAAGCACTCCAACAACCGATCAACACCCCTATTCCTGTATTCTCCATAACTACATTTCACTTCTCTAAGAAGTTTCTCCAGATGTCTCAGTTAGATATTTCTGACCATCACCGCACACTGCTGTTAACCGCCCCCTCCCAAATTCCTATATTCTTGCTTGGTAGGCGCTCTGCTACTTGAGCCATTCCACCAACCCTCAGATTCCTATATTTTGTTTTTGCACTTAGTGTGTGTGTGTATCCACCACTTGATGAGCTCCAAAGCAAAGTACTAGGTCCTGCCAGGCACCAGTGGCTCATGCCTATAATCCTAGCTGCTCAGGTTGCAGAAGTCAGGAGGATCGAGGTTCGAAGCCAGCGCAGGCAAATAGTTCCAGAAGACCCTATCTCATCTTCACAAAAATAGGGTTGGTGGAGTAGCTCAAGGTGAAGGTCCTGAGTTCAAGCCCCAGTGCCACAAAAAAAAAAAAAGTACTAGGTCTGATTTTTTTTTTTTTATTCACCCACATTCCCCCATACTCCACAAGGCAGCCAGGAAGGATTTCAGTTTATTTAAGAGAACTCTTAACTGTTCAAGTTCAGCCATGACACTACAGTTCTTGTCAGCAAGGAGTTTTGCTTTTATTTTCTCTACCTGAACTAGGCTTATGTAGACATGAGGAAGATCGGTAGCAGCCGAGGAATGGTGTCTGCATACCCTAGACAGCTGGAGTCATTAATTCGCTTAGCAGAAGCTCATGCTAAAGTAAGATTTTCAACCAAAGTTGAAGCAATTGATGTGGAAGAAGCAAAACGCCTCCACCGGGAGGCTCTGAAGCAGTCTGCAACTGATCCCCGGACTGGCATTGTGGACATATCTATTCTTACTACAGGTTTGTGACTTTTATGTATTGAGTTGGTATTCCAGATTTAAGCTAATAGTTAAATCACTTGAAGAAGAGGTTCTTCACCATTTTTGGATCCTGGCACCTCCCCCCTCCTGTGCCCCATCTTCTGATAAAAATATACAGGACATACAGTTAGTATCTAATTTTAAGGGGATTCTATCTACTCTTCTGTCTTGGCACCTTGGCATTTTAAAGAAGGTGAGTTAGAAGGATCACTTGAGCCCAGGAGTTCAAGGCCAGCCTGTGCAATATAATGAGACCCTGTCTCAAAAAAAAGTAAAACAGCCTTTCATTTCTTAATAAGTATGATTATGCTTGCTATACAGATTATGTAGACTATCTTTTGGTGGAAAGTTGTACTGACATACAGAAAATTGTAAATAACAAAACTCGTTATGCTTTTGAGGCTATTCTAGTTTTATGCCACTGCCCTTTTACTTTTCTTGGCAATAATACTGAGAAAATGTTCATGGGGATTTGAAACATTTCACTTCCTAGTAACAGAAATATTGGTGTATTTTTAAATCAGGAATGAGTGCCACTTCTCGTAAACGAAAAGAAGAATTAGCAGAAGCATTGAGAAAACTTATTTTATCTAAGGGCAAAACGCCAGCTCTAAAATATCAGCAACTTTTTGAAGATATTCGGGGACAATCTGACATAGTAAGTATTTTTATGTATTTTTCATTTAGAGAATTTTTCTCTTTTCCCTTAATGTTGCTTTTGGCTTTTTCCCTTAATTGTAGCTTAAGTATAGATAACAGTAACTCATATCTGTCATCCTAAGTACTCAGGAAGCAGAGATCAGGAGCACCGAGGTTTGAAGCCAGCCTGGGCAAATGTTCATGAGACCCTATCTTGAAAAATACCCAACACAAAAAAAGTGCTGGTGGAGTGGCTCAAGGTGTAGGCCTTGAGTTGAAGCCTCAGTAACAGGAAAAAAAAAAAAGTATAGATAAGAATAAAGAAAAACTCATCACCAAGAAATATTCACGGTTATGGGCTAGGAGTGTGACTCAAGTGGTGAAGCACACCCTGAGTTCAAACTCTAGCATCACCCACAAAAATAATAATAATCACAATTACAATTCTGTTTGTTATGCACTTTCAGAGTTTAAACTTGTTTTGTAGGAATGAGATACTTGGATGTCCTTTTGCAAATAATTAAGGTTCAGTGGAAAGAACTACATAGGTCAAATGCAGCCCTGCCTATTTGGTATTTTGTTTTTATAACACCTCTTTACTTATTGTTCATGACTGCATTGGCATCATGAGGGCAGAGCTAAGTTGTAACAACCAAGACCATATGGATGCCAAATCTACAATACTTTGCCCTTTGAGGAAATGTTTGCCATTCTGATTCAGAACATAAGAAGTGCATACAACCACCAAAAAGAGACTCTGGGTGATACTTTAAATTAAAAACTGTGTTTCTAACAGCTAAGGGAAACTTTACCTATGAAATATTTATTTTTCTTCTTCAAAGGCAATTACCAAAGATATGTTTGAAGAAGCCCTGCGTGCCTTGGCTGATGATGACTTCTTGACAGTGACTGGCAAAACTGTTCGCTTGCTGTGAGGCCTGTTGTAAGCCATGCTGCTTGTATGTGACCCACAGGGTCAGTTCCTGCTGCCATCAATGCAAATAGATTCTGAAGGGTGTTACTTAGACACATGAAAATTTCCTAAGCTGGGTTCAATTTTCTAATAATTGTATATTTTCCTTTTTTTCAACATTTTGAGTAAAATACTATGCCAATTTATAAACGTACACAGTAGTGATTATTTCCTTGATGTGCTGATTTTTTTTAGCAGTGGGCGTTTCACCTGTGAGTACACAAAGTATCAGTCAAGTCTTTGAAGGTATAGTCTGGGTCATGGTTCTTGTACTAATAGACTGCTGATGGCAGTCATCAGTGTACTTGAGGATTTTTTCTGGTTAAAGGGAGTTGTTCTTGAGTTTTTGTTATTGCAGTGCTAGAGATGGAAGCCAGGGCTTCACACATGTTAGGCAAGGCTCTACTCATGGGCTATATCCCCAGGCCCTGGAGGTTTTCGTGACAGTAGATAGCAGATGTGACCAGGACAGGTGGGTCAGTGTGAGTTGATGAAGGTCTGGTGCCTTTTTTCCTTTTACAACACTTGCGTGTAATTTTCTTTAAGGGCTCATTTTTCTTAAAGATTAGTTTTCATAATGAGCACATTTCTTTAAGGATGTGCTCAGAAACATCCTGGCCTTCCCTTGGCTACCTGATCTGATTCTTTACTTAAGTAGCCCACTGGCTGGTGAGTGATGCCCCGGAGCCGAGTTGCCACTTTCAGGGCAGTCCTCCCTTTTTATAGATATATAATTGAAACTTGTCCTGTACCAGGAGACCCAGAGCTGGACCTGTCATAGGGGCATTTTTAAACTGTGGAATGAACTTGCTGACTTGTCATCTCATTCAATAAAAGGCTAGGGATCCTTCTGCACTTTCTTAAGGATCTGATATAAGGGCATGGCTAGGTCTGCATATGCCCAGATCCAAATTCTACAGTATATTGTCATCCTCAAAAAGGCCCTAAATTGTTTTTAGAGTCTTAGGTAGAGGAAACATAAGGATCAGACGGATCCTGTCTTCTCCTAGGGCCCTCATTTCTTTCTCCAGAACAAGACCTAAATATGTAACTCTAGACTGGCACAGTTGGGATTTTTCTTTAGAGATTTTATAACCTCTATCTGCTAGGATGTTTAGTAAGGATTCAATGGTTTATGAAATGTCAGGCTTACTTGGTCCACAGAGGAGGAGGTTATCTATATACTATTGCAGAGTAGCTTATGGATATTGCCACTCTGCCAAGTCTTGGTTTAGAGCCAACCCAAAGAAATGTGGGCTGTCTCTGAATCCCTGGGGGAGGACAGTCCAGGTGACCTGTCCAGACTTTCATGTGGGGTCCTCAAAGGCAAAGATAGGTTGGCTTTCAGGGTGTAAGGGAATGCAAAAGAAGGCATCCTTTAAGTCCAGGACAAAGTAAATAACACCCAGGGAATATTTTGGCTACAAGGGTATAGGGATTTGGAACAACAGGGTGGAGAGCAGGCAGAGATCTTGGACTAGCCTCCATTTGTTAGGTCCCTTCCTGACCCGAAGAATAGGAGTATTATATTGGCTAGAGCGTTCTATTAGCAGTCCCTGTCTCTTTAAGTCTTTGATTGTGGGAATTAGTCCCTCCTTTACTTCTGCTCTTAAAGGATATTGTTTTTGATGGGGAAACCGAGAGGGGTTCTTGAGATTAATTAGGACTGGGACCACCATTCCTGCCCATCCCGTGGTATGTCCATCCATCCACACCGTGGGTTCTACTTTTCCTCTGTCAGGGACAAGCAAAGGTACTCTCCTGGGGGTAAAAGGAGCTGCAGCCCTGATTTAGACAGAAGGTCTTGCCCTGGCAGAGAAGTATGGTTTCAGGACAATTAAAAAGGAGTGACAGAAGTGAAAATCCCCAGGAGCAGGCTAGAGGCTGAGTGAAGTGACACTCTAGGGGCTGGCCTGATATCCCCCAAACAGAATTTTCTTGGAGGACCTGGGTCTGGGAGAGAAAGGAATAGCTGAAATGCTTGCTCCAGTATCAATAAGGAGGCTGACCCTGTGCTTTTTCAGAAGTAAGTATCACCTGGGGATCCTCTGGTTTTGTGGTGGTCACAGGAGCCTGGATAGGAGGGCCCAGGACCTGTCATTGGGTAGGGGGCTCTGGCCTCAGTTCCCTTGGGAACCAAGGACAGTGTGCCTTCAAATTATTTCCCCAGCAGACAGAGCAGGGTCCTGGAGGTGGCTTCCTCTGGGGGCACTCCCTCTTAAAATGGCCTTTCTGTCCACATTGAAAACATGTACGTGAGTTTGGACTGTGCCCCAGGGAAACCTCTCAGCGCTGCAATCAGAGCCTCCTACCATTTATCCTTTCTCTTTTTCTTTTCCAGGTCTTTTTTTTCTTTTTTCTAAGTCCCTATTATAGAATACAGATGTGTCTACATGGACCTGTTGGTCCAGATATCTGCTCCCTTTAGCTGCCAATTTTTGAAGTTTTTTATGAATATCTGGGGATGACTGTGTCAGAAATTTATCTTTTAGGACGATCTCCTACTCCTGTGACTCTGGTACAATGTTGGTATGCGTTTGTAAAGCATCCTTAAGTCTCTGTAGGAAAGCCACTGGGGTTTCTAAGGGTCCTTGCTGTACAGCTGCGACTTGGGAATAATTAAGGAATTTTATCTTGGCTTTCCTTAGACCCTCAAGAATGCAGTGGATGAAGTGGCTATAGATTCATTCATCCTGTCATTCTCATGGTCCCACTTAGTATCATATCTAGGCACTGCCTGATCCTCTGTGGGAATTGGGAATCAGGATTCTCTTTTAGGTATCCAGTGTCTCTGTCTTCCTTCCCCTCCCCCTCTTCCTCTTCCAAGAGCCCTGTTTGAAATAGGCCCATAGGGCCACATTTATCTAAGTGATAATCATCCTCAGCTGCTGTGTACTCGCTGTTTCTCCAGAGAAGTGAGAATCTGAGATAACAATATCTTTATATCCTTCCAGCTCAGCTCAAAATTTTGGCTGACTTTCCTGAATGCCTGGATATACTTACTAATCCAGGTTTTTAGTATAACTTCCTAAATCTTTTTTTATTTCTTTAATCTCAATTTAAAAGGAATGTGAGCCCTGTCCCCTCTGGGAATTAACTGGAGGGGGTAGAGTCCTGTGCGATGATGTCAGGGACATGAGATAGCTGAGTAAGGGGGTATTGGCAGGAAGGTGTTGATAACAAGAGAGGACAGTGGTGGGAGCCCTGCTTAACAAGAAGGGGTTAGGGGCCTTGGCTTCTGGCAGCAGTGTGAGATCTGACTGGCTCACCAGTCTAGATGTCCTGGGTAAGAGGGTAGAGGAGGAGCTGTGGGGGCATCAACCAGTTTCCTCGGGGTGGACTATATCCCCTGTGGTTCCCTAGGAGATTTGATTTCTACCATGAGGGAGGCCCCCTTTGATATTACTGGGGGCCCTTGGGCATCAGATGGTTTTTCAGGTTGTTCCTGAAGGCAGTCCGGGTTTTCTTTTTGCAAAGAGTCACCATGGTCTGGGTATCTAGCCTGCATTTGCTCAGCCATTCTGGGTGGTCTCTTAGGAAAAATAAAAGTTGAATATATGTGTCTTTAGTCCTCTTCCCCTCCTTTTTACAGAACATATCTAATTGAAGAATGGTATTATAATTAATGCTCCCCACTTCTGGCCATTTTTCCTGGTTTCCCAGAGGATATTGAGGCCAGGCCTGGGTGCAGTAAAACTTGAGTCACTTCTGTTGAAGACTTTCTGGATCAATATCTTTCCAATGTTTTAGTAAGCAGGCAAGGGGGGGATCCTTCTGGGATCCTGGAAGCTTGATTCCCCATCTAAAAAAGGGAAGCAAGGGAAAACTGATCACCTTAAGAGGAGTTTTCTCCTTTTACATAGGTGTCCCCAGGTGAGGAAATCCTCTACATGGTAGAGGGCATCCCTCTCCGCCACTCCCACCTGTGACTAAGGTCATGGGGAAGACATTTAGGTACATCTGGCTGTAGCCACCTGGCCAGCATAACCCTGATCAAAATAATTTTTTTTATTTTGCCTGTTCAGGTACCTGGTTCTCCTCTGCCAGCTGAAGGTTTACAATTCAAAACTAACTCTTATCAGTGAGGGGCTTTAAAGCAACCAAGAGGGCTTGTGTGGCCAGAGGGAGGACCCCTGTGGAGGCATGGATGGGGACTTTTGATGAGGCAGACTTTTGTTCCCCCATATACTCCATGACACATACATTCTATGAAAAGAGAGGGAGCATCTGAGGGCATTGTTCTTTTGCTGGTGGTAATGGACAAAAACAGAACTTTGAGGTCTCTATCTCCTTAAGGAGATCTCGGGGGTAAAGCATTCTTTTCTCCCCTGAGGGCAGACCATGGGAACCAGCTTAACTAGATCAACCAGATACCTATCAAAAACTGTCAAACCCAAGTTAGAGAGTACCTCTTTTTGGTGTTACTCAATTGAAAGGGGGGCTGCAGAAGAGACATGGGACATAGTCTAAGGATTAGGTTTTGAACAGAGGAATGTAGGGCGCTCTCCCAGACTTGGCTGAAGAAGGAAGCCCAGTGCTATCTAGGACAAATGGGGGTGGCCACTCATCCTGATCTACTTGGGAAAGAAGAAGAAGCTGAGGGTTGAGGGAAAGAGGGTTCCCAGGCTCAATGCATGAGGGATTATTAGTCATCACTGCTGTCCAGGTTGATCCCACCAGAGGCAGTACTGGAGCCCTGGAAGCCAGGGGTGACCTCCACTCTTTGGCCATGGAAACTGTAAATAAAGTATGGAGATCTGATTGTCTATGTGGCTCAGAAATAGCCGGAGGTAAAGAAGAAGGGTCCCTTCTTGTTCACCAAAGTTGAGGCACTGGGAAGCTTGGGAGGTGATGAGGGTCCATTGTTCCCCTTGGATAGAAATCAGAGGCAGACTTGAGCAGCAAAAGTCAGAAGAGTTCTATTTGCAGAGAACAGAAAGGAAAGGCTGCTTGGATCATGCAGTGGGACCTAGAAACTGGTAGTCCCTGGGTCAGGTTGCAAATCAGGTTTTATAGCTTTTCTATTGCCACAGGATGGAGATTTTGGCATGAACAGATGTCTCTCTGGTGCTAACATGTTTCTTGGGAAGGAGAAGGGGGCGTTTTTTCCCCCAGCTAATTGCTATCTTTTGGGAACACATGGACTTCCCACAGTCTGCCCCTCAATATGACCAAGGATAAAAATAAGAAAGAAATAGATGTTTAGGCAGGTCACCTGAGAGGCCATTGTAATCTTGTAACTAGAGTTCTAGAACACAGGCCCAACTCCAGGAGTTCCACCACTCACCCTGATACACCAAATGAAAAGACAAGTAGTGAAGAGCAGAGAAAGGCAATACCTTGGGAAAAGGCAAAGTAAGCACTTCAGCCCATCTTTGGGATACAGATATGATCTTTAGGTTTAAACAGAGAAAGAATTAGAGCAGGGGCAAGAGGTATATTTAAATTATTAAACAGTCTCAAACAGTGTGGCCTGGTTGATCATTATCAAGGGGTGCCAGAAAGTTGTCATCACTTGAGGGGAGCAATCAGGGTCATGAAAAGAAAGGCATTGTAGCTGGGAGCCAGTAATCCTAGCTATTCAGGAGGCAGAGATCAAAAGGATTATGATTAGAAGCCAGCCCTAGGCAAAGTAGTTCAGTTTATGAGACCCTATCTCAAAGCAAATAAACAAACAACAACAACAACAAAAAAAAGCAACATTAAAAAGGGTGGTATAGGCCCTGAATTCAAACCCCGGTACTGCAAAAAAAAGAAAGAAAAGGTATTGTAGCCAGGCAGTATCTGATGCCTACAATCCAAGCTACTCAGAAGGCTGAGAAGATGTTGGTTCGAGGCCAGCCAGGGCAAATAGTACATGAGACCCCATCTCCAAAATAACCAGAACAAAATGGACTGGAGTTGTGACTCAAATGGTAGAATACTTGCCTTGCAAGTGTGAAGCCCTAAGTTCAAATCCCAGTCCCACCAAAAAGAAAAGAAAGAAAAGCACTGTAGTCTGGGAGGTGACTCTCCAGGAGAGTCTCTTGTTCCTGTTGGGGGTCTGGAGACCTAAGGCAGATGAGTGCGTATTCCATCCCCCCATGGGGAGCACTATCATTCCTGCATCCTGAGGAGTTGTAAATCTGCATTTCTGCATCCTGAAGAAGAGATACAGGTTCTGACAGATCTGCTACAGGGCTGATGAGCAAAATGCTCTCAAGATTGTTTCCCTCTCCCCACCCCCACCCCAATAAGGGGCAAACTAAACCAGTTCACCTGAGAAAGCCTGAGAATCCATGGCCAATGAAAAGAACCCACCTAACCCACAGTTAAAACATCCATAAAAACCCCCACCCTTTACCTGAGCAGCAAGCTACAGGTTTCTGGGCTCCACTGCACTGTTCTAGCTGTAGCCTTTCCTTTCTCTCTAATAAATACTACTTCATATACTGGCTTTGGCTCATCAATCATTTGCCTCATGAGCCAGTTCTCTGGCCTGTGGAGGCAAGAACCCTCCACACTGGCCTACAACACTTAACTGGCACGTAACATTCCTTTCTTTGGGGCAGTTTCATCCCTCATTTTAAAACTGTTACTGATAAGTCCTGAACTTTCTGGAATCCTCAGTGATTTCAGGAGAGAAAGACTCAGAGTAAAGAAGATAGATGTAAAATGGAGGCCAGGATGCTAAGCTTGTCTCTTGCTTTCAGTTAATTTGTGGCCCCAAGCATTCAATATTAGCAAAAGCAGTATGAAGAGCTCATTAGACTTAGGAAGTCAAACTTTGGAAAAGTTTAATAATTTGATAATAATTACAGCAACACCACCACCAACAGGTGTTGGCGAGGATGCGGGGAAAAAGGAACCCTCTTACACTGTTGGTGGGAATGTAGACTAGTACAACCACTCTGGAAAAAAATTTGGAGGCTACTTAAAAAGCTGGACATCAATCTACCATTTGATCCAGCAATACCACTCTTGGGGATATACCCAAAAGACTGTTACTCCAGAGGCACCTGCACATCCATGTTTATTGCGGCACTATTCACAATAGCCAAGTTATGGAAACAGCCAAGATGCCCCAGCACTGACGAATGGACTAAGAAAATGTGGTATCTATACACAATGGAATTTTATGCAGCCATGAAGAAGAACGAAATGTTATCATTCGCTGGTAAATGGATGGAATTGGAGAACATCATTCTGAGTGAGGTTAGCCTGGCTCAAAAAACCAAAAATCGTATGTTCTCCCTCATATGTGGACATTAGATCAAGGGCAAACACAACAAGGGGATTGGACTATGAGCACATGATAAAAGCGAGAGCACACAAGGGAGGGTTGAGGATAGGTAAGACACCAAAAAAAACTAGCTAGCATTTGTTGCCCTTAACGCAGAGAAACTAAAGCAGATACCTTAAAGCAACTGAGGCCAATAGGAAAAGGGGAACAGGTACTAGAGAAAAGGGTAGATCAAAAAGAATTAACCTAGAAGGTAACACCCACGCACAGGAAATCAATGTGAGTCAACTCCCTGTATAGCTATCCTTATCTCAACCAGCAAAAACCCTTGTTCCTTCCTATTATTGCTTATACTCTCTCTACAACAAAATTAGAAATAAGGGCAAAATAGTTTCTGCTGGGTATTGAGGGGGGAGAGAGGGAAGGGGTGGAGTGGGTGGTAAGGGAGCGGGTGGGGGCAGGGGGGAGAAATGAACCAAGCCTTGTATGCACATATGAATAATAAAAGAAAAATGAAAAAAAAAATTTGATGATAATGAGATAGAAGGAAGGGCCCCTGGAAACCTTCATTATGACCTCTCTGTGACCATAAAGAGTGGAAAGAAGGAAAGGCAGGACAGATGATGTGAGGATCAGGACCCACCAATCAGAACATTTTAGAAACAGCCAACCACAATGTTGCTTTCTGAACACCTAATTAGCATAGAGATTGAGCACCACCCTGAAGAGAATGGATAAAAAACCTCATCATGTTTTTCTTGGGCACTGTCTCTTGGGACCCCCCTCCCCAACTTTGGGGACTCTACTCTTCCATTTTACATTTTTCTATCTCAATAAATTCTCCTGCTTTACTTACTTATGTTGTCAATGAAGTTCATTCTTTGGCTTTTGTGAGAAAAGAATCCCAGAACTTTGACCCTCAAATCTCCCGTTTCAATGATAATGGGTTTTTCTTCACAATACATAGCAGTTAGACATAAACAGTGGCCATAATAGGAAAAAATTATTACAATTAAACTTCCCAACTCCATGAGTGACCACTCTTTTTTAAGATTAAGGTAGCCCATCAATGAACTGGTGCCAGTAGCTCACGCCTATAATCCTACCTACTTGGGAGGATGGAGGTTCAAGATCAGCCTAGGCAAATAGTTCTTAAGACCCTCATCTCCAAACAACCAGAGCAAAAGTGGACTGGAAGTATTGCTCAAGTGTTAGAGTGCTACCTGAGTTTAAACCCCAGTCCCAACCCCACCTCACTGCCCACCCCCCACCAGATAAAGGTAGCTTATCAAGACCAAGGGATATCATAGGATGCTCTGAAGTCTATCACTCATCTAAAGCTTAATCCTTCCTTTACTTGACTAAGCTACACCCTAAACATCAACTAGACCTGGGGCTGGGA